GAAGACGGCAACTCTGCTCACGGCCACAAGACTACTAGCAATATTTGTGCTACTTGGCGTACTTCTATGGGTAATACTCTATTCCCCCATCCTGCAGTTAGCCCTGATATGAATCCTATTGAGAAGTGCTGGAGGAGAATAAAACAAGCTCTCTATAGGCGCCTAAGGCAGCCAACAACTGAGGTTCAAATGGTTGTAGCAGTATTAGAAGAATGGGACAAAATTCCTCAGGAATGGATCAATGGGCTTATTGAGCAGCAGGACTTCTGGGTACACGACTTAATTAAGCGATGTGGCTGGTCTACAGCTAATTAATTAATAAAATTCATGATTCTGATGCCCTGAACGCACGGACTTTTGTCCCCATGTTCGTAAGGCAGAACTCGAATTGGGAGGGAGTTTACAGGCTGCCAATAAGGGGTGTAGTTAAGGCGGAAATCTTTAAATGTCTCCTATGTTCTTGAACAAGCGAAGACCCTTTATGCATCAAAGTAAACAAACGTCCAAAAAGTCCACGATCTCAGCCTTCTATGACCACGAACCACATCGAAGAAAATCAGTCGCTATATCACAACCAGGTAATAGCTCTTCATTCTGTTCCAAGTCTAGATAATGAGTTCTGACAGTAGGGTAGCCATGTCAAACGAATTCTTCCAGATCAAGAACCACCCGATCGCAGATTACGGAAAGGGAGTCTTTGCGCGGAAGACCCTCCTGCCTGGCGCAATCATCCTCAAAGAGCAGCCACTTTGTCGCGCCGGCAAAAGCGACGCAAGTAAGGTGGATGCCTACAATGCTCTGGATAACTCGGATTCTGCTCGATTCCTGACCCTTCACGGAACATGCTGCTGTACGGATCCCGCACGCTGCAATGAGACTCGAATCACCAAGATCTGGCACATCAACGCGTTCGCTCACAAGAACGGCTCGTACGTCTACCATCAAGCATCCAACTTCAACCATGCCTGCTTGCCTAATGCGTTCTGGGCGATTGAAGACGAAGCTACAATCACCATCACGGTCATTCGGAAGATCGAGGAAGGGGAGGAGATTACCATTCCATATTTTGACACCATTGGGACTACTGAGGAGAGGATAAAATGTACCAGAGATCTCTGGAACTTCACATGTGGATGTTCTGCCTGCAAGTCAGGCATTGAAATCACTAACAGGATGTGTGAAGAGTGGTCAAAAGCTGACTGGTAATGTAGGATGGATTGATTGAGACATTGTTCTGCAATGCAGAGTGTCCTTCTTTAAGACGTCCCTGCCGATCCTCATTACACTAAGCTTCAGCGCGGCTCTTAGATTCCTGATATTCAGCATCAAAAGCAGTTGACTAATCCAAATGAAGGCACTCGCTGTTGGACCTAGGAAGAGACGCAGCTGGAGGAGAAGGCACTTGATCACAGAAAGGAGGAGTGAAAGAAATGTGCTTGTGCTGTGATTTCTTGCCCTTTAAAGCTTTAGAGAGAGATAGATTTCTGAACACGGAGGGAAACAGCACAAGACTGCCTCATTCCAAATACTTGGCTTTTTCTCTTCCGTCACGTGCATATGCTAGTAGAAGCGTTCTGTCTACTTTCTTCATTGAAGTCCCACAATTCCAAGTCTGGCATTTCTTTCATTATCATCTTTTGTCCTAATCAGGCGGTACAGAGCATTTGTGAATATCTACTCCGTACCTTGGTATGAATCAATAGGGGATATCGTCTAGTTTCGGTTAATATTTAGACGAGATTCCCCTGGATTTCGAACAGGGTGAGCATTCGCTTCGCTGTATCTGAGGATGCACCAAGGAGGAAGAGTCCTCTGGCATATCTGCCTCACTGGTGAAGTCTGCAAGATTTTTCTTTGGTCTTCAGCAACGCATGACAAGGACAGTGACAAGGACAGTGACATCACGAGTGACAGAGAATTTGGCGTTTTTGTTGTTAACCTACCCAGGCTGGCTGACTGCCCTGCTTTGAACTCTATTTCACTCAAAGTTTTTATGAAACAAAATTGAAGGAAGAAATTCGAAAGAATAGTAGCGGGATAGGAGTTCTCGACGGACATTCGATAATCACCGAGCCTCGAGGAGGGCGTGTACTGTTTTTAGCAGCATATGTTACACGAGTGTTTTCATTTCCTCCAAGGTATAAGTGCCAGGATGGCCTTATTATCCTTGTGATTTCGTTGTAAATAGGCACAAATCGCCGGAAGCTCATGCCTAGCGCGCAGATCAATCCACCATTTACTTTCACGGGCTCTGGTGTACCACAAGCATAATAGCAAAAGCGCTACTGGGTCCTTTCTCTTCAAGCAGGACCCAAAATCATTATGCATGTGCCTCAAGATCATCATGACTGGCCCCAGCGAAATATCATTCTTCGGAACCTCCAAAAGCCGAGAGAGGCTATGAGCAACTGTGAAGTAAGGATTATTATCTCCAGTGGACGACTCATCAATTCCACATAGTTGCAACAACTCGACGGATACTCCCTCTGTGCCTCTTGCAGGCAATGGTTGACGCATTCGTGAGAAGGTCTCGGACATGGTGCGGAACACACTTTCAGGCCGTAAGGGATTCACCACATGCCATAGTGCCATCTTGCCAGTCCCAAGTCGTAACCACTCCAGATCAGAAGAGTCGGATGCTCCGAGAGGCCATACTTCTTCTGACAGACAAGCATTGATGGACGAGAAGGTCAGGATACCAAGAATCCCAGCTGTAGCCCAAATAGGATCTTTGTTTTCTTCCTTGATAGGTTGGCTCAACCATTTATTGAACATAACCGTGCATTGAGACCAGTGATAGGATTCTCGTAATGAGCGACGACGGGTTGCCGATATTCCAAGATAACGATCATGCACGGCTGTCACGGCCAGTGTACCATGCATCAAGAATGGACGCTATAGCACGCATCAGCGAGGTTCAAAGTTGACTTCTGTGTGTTCCATAGGAGAACAATCCCTCAAGGTCTTGTACTTACAGCGAAACACACTGCCAACATATGATTTTCATAGATTGCTACCATCTCAGGGCCACCAAGAGAGTATAGGGTACGGTATCGAAACCGGTTGAAAAGCTCTTGATCCTGCAGATCTAGCATGAAATATGTTGATGTATCATTGGTCCATATGGCGTTGCTGATAGTCGCCCTTGGTGACGACAATTCAAATCGTCTTACTACTTCTTGCTTCGTTCGTACTTCAGAGAGCAGCTGGAGATCGGGTACAGCAAACCCGAAGTTGCATTGGAGCCCATAGGTATGACATTTCACGCAATGTGGCTTCGTTTCGTCACACTAGATCGCTTCAATTTAGTTTATTGACGATCTGCAGCGGGTGGAGAATAGTTTACCTTACCTTCAATTTCCTCAATTTGCAGTTTCGACAGCCAAATCGGGACTTGCGCTTACATGGCTGCTTCTTCTCGACTGGTAGATCGCCAGAAACCATAGTTAGTCCTTGGAGAAGGGCTAGTTGGGTGCCAAAGTAAAAGAGCAGGCCATTGTCAGTTTGAGTGATCCTATAAGAGACGGGCCAAATTCTATCTCCCTTATCTCCGACCCGCGAAGAATACGAAAGCTAGTCCTTGACTTGGTTTAGTGGGCCCCACTTACCTCCATTCGGATTGAGACTCTGGTGATTGGCTGGAATTGACTTCAATGATGTTCGAAGTTCGCCTCCCAAAGTTCATTTCAACTGAGTAGATGTTGATCCGGATATGTTTGGCCAATCCTTCGAGGTAGATTGTGTAGCTGCACATCAAGCCTCACGTAAAGTCCGCGACTACTAGAGGCTGCATTCAAGCGACAGAATATATAAGTTGCATGCAAGTCTGCTGCTAATCGAGGGAGCAAAACGGAAATCTCTCATCTGAAAATCTATCAAGATCCTGATATCGATTCGAAATTCATTTGTCTATTTCATTGCCCCTAAGTCGAATTCGTCTTCCATCATGCGCGTCTTCGTTACAGGTTCGACTGGCTTTGTTGGTGAAGCTGTGGTGAAAGAACTGCTTTCTGCAGGACATACGGTCCTCGGTCTAACTCGCAGTGACAAAGGAGTGGAGCAACTGAAAAGTCAAGGGGCGGAGGCCGTGAATGGTACCATCGAGGACTTGGAGGTCCTCAAGAAAGGCGCTTCTCAGTGTGATGCCGTTATCCATCTAGCTTTCGTCCACAACTTTACTGATTTCGTGGGCTCCTGTGCTACAGACCGGGCTGCCATCACTGCAATGGGTTCAGTCTTAGCTGCCGCTGGTGGCGATCGTGCTTTGGTCATCACCTCCGGGACCATGATGTTGGAAAAGGGCAAATTGGGTGATGAGGACGATGGGCCTGATATGACCAACCCCATGGGTGCAGCCCGAGGCGCTTCAGAGCCAGTGTGTCTCCACTTTGCCAAGCAAGGTGTGCGTGCCAGCGTTGTGCGTCTTCCACCTACAACCCATGGTTATGGACAGTCAGGCTTCATGGGCCCATTCGTCAGTGTTGCTTTGCAGAAGGGTGTCTCCGCGTACGTTGGGGACGGTCAGAATCGTTGGTGCGCTGGCCATCGAGATGATGCTGCTAAGCTGTTTCGTCTGGCAATGGAGAAAGCCAAGCCTGGGTCCATCTTCCATGCTGTAGGAGAGGAAAGTGTGATGCTGAAAGACATTGCCGCGGAGGTCGGGAAGCAGTTGAACATTCCTGTTGTCAGCATCTCAACAGAGAAAGTGGAGGATCATTTTGGATGGTTTGTGTTTGGTGCTGGGGCTGACAATCCGGCCTCCAGCGCAAAGACGAAGGAGCGGCTGGGATGGACTCCTACTGGTCTGACGGTGATCGAAGATGTCCCCAATATTGTCAAGTACATGAAGAGCCAGGAAGCTTGAAATGGAAGGCTTGAAATGGAAGGCTTGAAATGGAAGGCTTGAAATGGAAGGCTTGAAATGTAAACATAGTTGGCTTTGTATAGCTAAAGACCCGTTCGCGCGTCTTCTAAAATGACCAAGGCTTCAATTCAGTGCAAGTAGCTCCATTTCCGCAAGTGAAAATTGATGGTGCCGACCTTGATTTTGTAAGGAGATTTGTATCAAGACGTCCCCAGAGACAGAATCAGGTGGAGCATAGAGCGCGATTGGGTATCGGTAGCAACTCAACGTCCCGGAATATCCATTCCCTTTTTCCATCCTCCTTTCTCTTTATCCCGTCTTGATTGTGTCCATCCTACCAGCCAATACCTCTCGCTGAGTTTGTAACAAAGTATCGACCCTCTCATATCTTTGTTATGGTCATATTTTCCCCTCCCTACCTCCTCTTTGTCTCCGACCCTTTCCCCCCCCCCCCCCCCCCCCCCCCCATCGTGTCCCTTCTCCTTGTAGACCACAATATGCTAGAATTGTCGGAGGACGTTTCAGGTCGTCAACTTGTTCGTAGGAGGTAATGTGGAATGCTTCTAGAATCTAACGACTATCGCGGGTAATGACGCGCAAGCCAGGCGTCTTGACTGATGAGGCAAACATGTCGTTCTTGATGTTGTTTGTCGCTAGATTTGAGTTGTGATGTATGGTGTGTTGGCCAGATGCTGGCGTCAGATCTGTTTACTTTCGAAGGAGAAAAAACGAGCTGATGGACGTACCAATGCAATTTTCGAAAATAATTCCAAGAAGATACGGGCCTATCCTGTGTATCGATGTGTTCGTAAGAATGAGCTTGGTTCACCGGATTCGTCGGGTAACTCCAATGAATCGCTTCTGGCCACATCGCTTTCGTCTCCAAAAATCTGATTTGCTTCTATGTCGCGCTTTTGCTTATCACCAGACTGACACATGGAAGACAGCCAATGACATGCCATGAGCATGTCTCCAAGCAAATCGCACATGCTATCAACGGATGTTTACATCTCACCCTTTACTCCTATTTCTCTCCATTGTCTAGTCTTCTTCCTATATAATACAAATGGGAAGACGACGAAATGACCAGCAACAAAGCCTTGTCGCACGCAGATACCACAACAACAGCTGCTGAATCACCGTCTTCTGCAGACCTCGGCCTCGAGCATTCTTCATTGGTCCAGAGTACTAAAAATTGATATACCTTAGGATTAAAAGTCGAAGAGCGAGAGAGTTCTCCAGGAGCCCATGGAAAAGGGACTCCAACGCTCGCTTTCGATGGCTGAGTTTACGAACCTACAGGCATTGTTAGTATGTGTCGTTCTTGGTTCACCCTCGTCTGGGTGGTGTTGATAGTGCACTCATCTTGATCCTTCTAGACTATTGATCAAAAAACAACAAGTTTTTACTTTTGACCCGTCACTTGCCAATGGCTGGCGGAGTTCATTGCGGTAAAAAGTGGTATTTATCAATAGATGATCTAGAACTGCTGTTTAACGGGGTTTTGATGCAGAAGTGATGGTTTGTGACGCCCCAGAAACAAATGCAGACTGGGGGTCACAATCGAATAGGGGTGGTATAGTTGTTAGATGATCGCAGCAAGTAAATGGGCTAGAACATATTCCATCTTGATGCAGACGTTTCATCTTGCAAGAGTGCTGAACACTGCATAGGATGCACATGCGTTTTTAAAAGCGGACAATTGCAGTAAAATTCTCTGTCAGCAGCTTCGGACATCTTGCTCTCGAAAATTCTCTCAATGTACTACCTTTTTCAATGGCTTTTGGGTCTCGAATATCCTATGCTGTATAGCTTTGGTTTAGATAGTCCATAATTCAGAATGAAACTTGTATGTCTGTTTGGTTTGCAAGTTCCTGCTTGTAGACACGTACATTTATAGAGAATTATGTACTCCTCATAATCACGGATCGATCAAATTTTGCATCTCGGTCTCCGATCCCAAGCTTTGTAGATATGTACTACCATGTCTTCAAGTGTTGAAAAGCAAGTCTTGTTGCCTAATACCTCTAGATCTTGATGGGAGATTTGAGGCTCACGATGTCGGAGTTGCGCATACTGGTCCCAAGCATTTCCGTAAGGGTCCGCCGTCATAGAAATCAAAACGAGCCCACGTCTCCGCTAAAGTCCCTACCCTCGAGGATCTTTAGTGCCTTCCATAGTATTCCGCCCTTGTCCGCCATTTGTAGTCTAGATCAATTCCCGCCCCGCTCCTCTACTTTTCCAAATTTCCGCGGCGCGACCCCGTTCTCTCCTCCACAACAACAACAACCTCCTCCTCCTCCACAATCACCACAGCACTCAGAAGCCGTAAGTCTCCCTGCCGCGACTAGCTATTATTCTTCATGAATGTCTTGAGCTTGGTTCGAAGACGCTCCCAGCCTGAATCTCGCCCTAATTCCGGTGCTACAGATGGATAATATCAAGCGAGGAAGAGAGGATAAGAACAGGGAGAAGGCAGCACGTAGGGCTGCGAACAAGAAGGAGGAGAGAGAGAAGAAAGAGAGAGAGGAGAGGGAGCTGGAGGAGCACAAGCTCCAAAAGCAAGCACAGAAGGAGAGGAAGAAGGAGAAAGAGGAGAGAGGTAAGAAACACTCTTTCATTATACCTTTTACGCACATACTATAAAGCTCTTGCAACCCCGAGAACACGTACGAACACTCTACTCCTCCAAATATCTCCTCTCGACTCACTACACTGTATTGGCCAGAATTCATAAGTTCTGTACAAGGAGTCCACCCTTCAAAGAGTTCCCCCGCGTTCCCTACACTCTTTGCATGATGGTATTTCTGTTCTGGATCAATAAACTCCAGCTTGAAGAGTCTACCTCCTGCTCCACTACGGTCAGGAGAAGTTCCAGCTTCATTATCAGAAATACCATTCTCCTCTTGCACACATACATCAAATTCAAGGGGATTTCTGCTCTAGGTCGAGATTTTCAGGAGCGAGAACTCCTTTCCAGTCTGATACATTATCAAAAGCAAAGGCTATGGTGTTCTCGCTTCGGTGACCGAAGCGAACGACGCTCCTTTACTGCACAGAGTCTGTTCACTCGAGAAGTGTCATTTCCTGGACCGGGATTCTCCAGGGTGGACACTCTCGTGCTGTTTTTTGAGTGCCACAGAAGTGGGCTTTTTCCAAAGAACGATTTAGGGACGTAAGGGTTGATTCTGGCACCAAGACTCTGAAGTCTTTCATAGACTATTTGTCATGATGAGTTAAGATTGCAGCCGAAAAAGACTTCTTGAGGCACTTGAACTGCAGTCTCAGAGGCCTCCAGCTCAGAGTCGAGATTACAAGGCCTGAAAGTAAGTTTACTGGATGCCTTACTCTCCTGGAGCAGCCGATAAGAACCTTCACTCTGACTACAGAACTTGCTTCATCCTTCGGGGTATTTGCGACTTTGGGCCAGAGATCTCTATAAATAATCCCGCCTTCTCCTCTTTTCCCGATCTTCTACAACTCACTCCACAATCACACTGTCTTGTATTTGTACTTGTCAAAGAGCTTCTACTGTTGGCAACACCTCACTTCTCTTGGTCTGAACATTTTACTGACTGTTGTCTCCAGCAAGAGTCGAGCGCGAGACTGAACCCAGATTCGAAATCAAGTCCATCGATTCTGCCCACGATACAGATGCCCAGTCCGTACCCAAAGATAACAACCAACACAACATGGTCGAGGAGCTCTCAGCTGTTTCAATCGACACCGACAACGGCAAAGGCAACGAGACTACGCACGAGCAATCATCCTCACCACTTAAGACAGGCATGTTCGCTAGCGAAACTCTTCCCAAGTCAGCAGAGATCTTCAGAGAAATGCCTCTTATCGTATTCATGGAGAAAACTCTGAACATCGAAGCTGCTTTCAATACGTTGACCGACGAGAAAAAACGTCAATATCTCGCCATGAAGAAGAAATGTGATTGCCCGAGTGAGGACAACTGCACCGAATCGGACGTCATCAAGGTCTGGAACGCCGTCGCCTTGCTCTCCTTTCAGTCACCTACAAATGCTTCTCAGGCACAGGTTCTCGAGTATACCAGCCAAATCAACCACTCCTGTCTTCCGAACGCCAGCATATTCTGGAATGGAGATCATGAAGCTGTGCTTTATGCCACACAAAGAATTCTGAAGGGCCAACAGATTACACGCAACTATAATCCAGGAATCGTGGGTTCGACTAAGGTTCGACGTGAGAAGCTTATGGAGATGTACGGTTTCTACTGCATGTGCAAAGCTTGCAAAGAGAATCGGTATCTCTCCACCGAAGAGATCGAAAAAGCCATGTCCGTCAACACGCAGCCCAAGGAAACTACTCAAACGCTAAACCCTCTGAGCGATAAAGAGGTCAAAACGTTCGAGGCTGTAGTTGCATGGAGTCTTGACCTGACTGACAACCTCGCCATCTTCGTGAAAGATCTCAAGGAGCAGATTACTCAGCAATGCGTGTATCACTTCGTCGAGAAGCCCGGAGACGATACGAGAGACCAGTCCCTGGCTCAGTTCCAGCGTGGCTTCAAGAAGTACTTCAAGAGCTTTGCAAATCCTTACAATTTGAACAACGAAGTCCGGAACCAATACATGGACACGGTGTGTGGCGACCTCGAGGCTTTTAGGGACGAGAGGGAAGATTTCGTCAACCGAGTTCTTGGCACGAAAGTGACCACGTTGAATGTCAAGGATGGGAGCTCCGCGGCGAAGCGAGCTCTCAAAAACGACATTGACAAGATCTACGACATCTACAAGATAATTCATGAGGGCATGGTGGTTAGCGAGGTTGTTATTGATGAAGAGAAATAAGAAGGTCGAGGAAGGCTTTGAGGTTTGTAGACCTAATGAAAGATGATAGTAAATTCAAACAATACAGTGCCGCGAAGTACCGAGGCCCCTACGTACACTCTACTTAAGTTTGTTACCTAACTCTTTGACATAGCTCAAGAATCTCTGCAAACTTCCCTGCTCGTCTCTGTCCAACACTTGCAGAATATCCACCATCAATTCAATCAGCCGGACCCTCGCCCACGTCAAGGATCTCTTCGTAGCTTCACTCAGCTCCGAACGAATCCATCCTGCTTCGACGCCTCCAGGAAGGTTTGTTTCAAGCACTTGCACCTGATGACTGAGATTCTGTAGCTCGTGACAGAGATGAGGGTTGTTTTTGGCATAGGCGATAGCCATGAGATTTATGGCTGCTAGAGCAGAGGGGATATCTGCATTTGCATAGTCTGGGGAGCTTTGTGGTGCCTGTGATGATTGTGGGGGAGGGAGACTTTCCTGTTCTGCAGCAGAGTTGCCAAATGAAGTCCATCTCAGCTTTGGACATTTTGATGATTCACTACTTGTAGCATTGATGGTCTTGCTGATGGAAGCCATCTTAGACCTGGTCGTCCGGGTGACGGGGCCTTGAGCTCTGTTTAATTTATCAGACATGATCGCAAAGTCGAGGCAGAAATGATCAGGTTGCCTCTCAGCATCTCAATACGCTTTATAGAATTAGGGAGTCAATGGAATGCAAGGTTTCAAGTTCAAGAAGGTGTGAGTACACACTCGAAACAAGTGTAAGACCGCAAAATCTGTAAAATTAAAATCTCAGGCAGGGTCACGCGGAGATCTTCTTGCGACTGGAGCACCCAATGAGTCATGCTACTCTTACTTCAATGCTATCTAGAAGCCTTAAATTGATCCTACTTGCTTTGTAGTGGCTTTTATTGGGCTAATCTCTATGCGGCGAGAGTTAAAGTTGACTGAGAAGCCTCCACAAACCGACCAGTCCGAAGACTGAGCAAAAAGAATCCTGAAGCGCAAAGAGATCAACTTTCTCGGACTTCAAGAGATACATTAGATTTGGAAAACTCTTGGATCAGTTGTTGGGCAAAACTCTCCGGTGAAAGCTACGCACAAAGCAAGAAAGAGGACTGATCTCTTCAAGAAGCTCAGTAAGAAGTATATTTTCATCAATTTGCTCTTCTCTTCAATTCTGCGGCTCATCTAATTGACATTTTCATCTCCCATCCTATGTATCCCTCTACTGAACATGCTCGGTGAGATCCCCAACTAATTCTCCCATGTATCCAAAGAAAAGCAGCTGATCCTCTGTAGTTTGCAAGTTCTGCAGCTCTGCGAAGAGAAACTTGTATATTCTGTCTTTGGCTGCGTCTAAGAGAAACTGATCTGCACCGGAAGTGTATGGTGATTGTGTACGTGGTGACAATTTGCTTGTCATGGGGTTGTTGAGAAGTGTTGGTACGCTGGCTTCTTCCAGACTAGAGCGCTTTGTGTCTGACGGTGGTTGTGACATATCTAATGGACGAGAGTGTCTTTGCTAGGAGGACTAGCAAAGAACGAGAGTTAAATACGACTACTTTTTCTACAACCAGCAATATTGTTCTAGAAGGAATGGAAGCGCGAGCGAAAACGAATCGGAATAAATGCTGAAGTAGACAAAGCGTCATGCGGCTGAAGAACAAAGGTATATGCTTCGAGCACAAAATAGATCTCACTCGAGTTTGCGGGGCTGGCAACAAAGGTGCTCGAATCCTCGGAAAGCATGTGTGGGGGTGACAGCATTAGGATTGACTATTCGTGCAACACTATCTGACATGTAGCCAGCTTTCAAGCATCAGCCAGCCATCTCAAAGCGCTTCACATCTTCAACAGCATCAACCCCCGATTTTCTACAACATCCACGATGAATCCATGCAACACCACACAACCTGCTCCACCTAAAAACAACCACAACTGCAACGCATCATAACCCCAATTTTCATTTTCACCAACTCTCCTTGCGCATTGATTGGCAGCAATTTAAGTCATACTGGATTGCTTTAGCCTGGCATTGGCTTTGGCATCCAGCATGACCAGTACTTGGTCAGAGTGACCAGCCGTGTCGATCGACGAGATCCAGCTTGCTGAATAATAGGTAGGGGAGGCGTAGTAGCTTCTTGTGGTATTATTCTCGGGCAATCCGATATCGGTCAAAATGTTCTTGTCCAGTGCATCGTGGACAATATAGGCGTCGATCAATCATAGCCACCTCCAACCTGACTAGCAAAAGCAGTAGAAACGCTCTTCTCATCGTCGTCCAAACGGCGACCGCCGAGCAAAGAATTGCTTCCAAAGACGCTGCCAGCATCACCAATCTTGTACTCCGCAATACGTCCTCCAGATTCGACATAACGCTTGAGACGATCAGATTGGCTCAAACTGGTCTGCTTCTGAGCAACATCCAGGCCGGCGCCCAGGCTGACTCCACCTTGACTACTTCCCTTGCCATCGAGAACACTGCTGGTAGCATCGGTAATTTCGCTAGCAGCAACTGACTCTCCAGCCACACTTTCTATTGCACGACCTCTAGCCTTCTGACCATTGGTACGGGCTCCTCCAGGACCAAGGCCAGGCCAAGTCTCTGGTGTGAAGTTCGAAAACATTTGTGGATAGGCAGAACCAAGACCAGCGCCACCAAGAGCAGACGAGTGAACAGAGGAAACATCATCCGGAATGTAGCCGAGCATGGAGCCAGCATCGCTGAAGTCTTGAGCTGCTTTACCGTTGGCACCGGAACGTCCAGTGAAAGATGCATGAGACATCTGGTAGCGTTGTGGCCCACGATAAGTGGTCTTGGGACGGCTGAATTGCAGTAGCGAAGTCTGCAAATTGGACAGAGGACCTTCGACGAGGCAATTACGCTCCTTGAAATGCAGCAGGAGATAATGCCATAAGGGGTGCTTGGATAGAACTTTAGGATTGCCGAGAATGACCAGACCATATTTAGCACGCGTGAGAGCCACATTCAGACGGCGAGGATCGCTCAAGAAACCGATACCTTGGTGGTCGTTGGATCTAACGCAAGAAAGAACGATGAAATCCTTCTCACGTCCCTGGAATGCATCGACGGATGCTACCTCGATTTCCTTATAGTTCTCCTTTTTGAATGTACCAGTGTTCTGCATGGAGCTAACAACATAGCTGCGCTGGCCTTCGTATGGGGTGATGACACCAATATCTTGTGGCTGGACACCGGCCTTGAAGAATCGAGTAACAATTTTCTCGACATTTGAGGCTTCGGTCCGATTAAGATACGAGGTTCCAGATGCAGAGATTTCTTCATTGCCAAGATTCGACCAGAACATCATTGGTGTGTCGCCAACAGGCCATGGGAAGTCAACATCGCGTCGAAGTCGTTGCTGCATAGTCACACCATTTTGAAGTGAACCTTCGTAGAACATGTTCGATGGGAACTCTGAAAGGCAGGGATGCATACGATATTGGACGTTCAGACGAATGGGGGCCAGACCAAGGATAACAAGACGCTCGAAGAGAGACTGGTTTAGACCAGCCTTTGCAGCCTTCTTATTCATGATGACAGGACCAAGTTGTTGATGATCACCGACTAGGACGACTTGCTTGCAACCAAGAACCAGTGGGATCATGCACTCGGGCTCGGCCGATTGGGTCGATTCATCGATGAGGACAGTTCGAAACTTCAACTTAGCAAGTCTAGGATCACCAGCACCAACGCAAGTACAGCAGATAACATCGGCATTAGTAAGGATCTCGCGCTCAGCAGCCCGAGTCAAGGTCTTGAATTTCTTCTCATCCTGGCTGGACAGCTCTCCAAGTTCGCTCTTCAATTGAGAAAGCTTGACGAGTTCGGTGTTGCTGTCGTTCATGCGAACCTGTTCGTGCAGAGACAAGAAACCAACCGAAGATTCAACGTCTTCACGAGACTTGGCAGTAAGACGGACAACCTTGAGACCAGTGCGGTGGATTCGCTCGCAAAGCTGATCAACAGCGACGTTGGACGGAGCGCAAACCAGGACTTGACCACCATTGACCTTGGCAAGATGGTAGATGACAGTGGCGGATGTGACAGTCTTGCCAGTTCCGGGAGGTCCTTGAATGAGACTAAGAGGCTTTTGCAAAACACTCTTGACAGCGTTGATCTGACTGCTATTCAGTTCCGGCAAACCAGGTACACTGAATTTCTTGGGCATCTGGATCTTCATGGGTGCGGCCGCAACCTCGTGGCCAAGTAGCTTGTGGAAAATGTATCCAGACACACTCATCTCATCAACAGCAAATGTCTTCATGGCGAATTGCATACGATCGTAAGAAGTAGCCTTCCAGACATAATCGGCAGAGAAGTTGTGGGTACATTCGGTAGGCACGGATTTGTCATTGCCAACCTTGCGAAGCTCGATAGTTACTTCATCAGACTGGTTGTTGGGGATTTTGACAACATATCCGACACCTTCCCACACTGGTCGTAGTTCGCCCTTGTACTTGAGGCGCATCTCATCTCCAACAGCCAATTTTACGTCGCCAAGCTCAATCTTTGGAAGAACAAAGCTCGCAAGATGCTTGTTGTTAAGACCATAGTCCCAGCGAATGACCAGACCATCTTCGGATTGTGCTTCCTTCAGTTTGCGATCATAGTCGGCTTCAATCTTGACCAAGGGACCGAACACATTCTGATATTGGTATGCATCGTCGTACTTGAGCAAGACAGGGGCAGGATCATCGTCAATTCCAGCGGCCTTTTCAAGATCGGTAATCGTAGCATTTGCATTGTCCTTCCACATCTCTTCCAACTTCGCGATCATTGGTGGCGTAAGGTGGCGAGCGCGAAGTTGTTCAGCGTCGGTAGGTACAGAGACCAGCCATGGCAAGAATGAACGATCCTCGATCAGTGGTTGCCACCTAGAGATATCCCAGCTCATGTCCTTCGAAGACGGAGTAGAAGCGCATGGTTGGCGGCAGAGGAGAACCACGACTGTGTCGGACTTCGCGGGAATGAATCCGAGGAGAAAGACATTCTTGGTTCCACAGTTGTAGCATTCGAGGACCGTGTCACCAAGAGTTGATTGAGGATGAAGCTGGACTTCCTTGTGTCTAGCACGAACCAGATGATTGACAATGTGCGAGGACGTTGCGTTGCCACGAGCACTGCAGAACCATTTGCTGCAGCCCAAGCACTTCACAACGCAGCTGGGAGAATGAATGCCACAGTATCTTCAAAATGTGTCAGCCCAATGTCAACAACAAAAGGCAAAGTATCGCCACTTACGCGCATGCGTGAGCTGGGAGCTCCTTCTCATCCTCGACGCCTCGAAGTCCCAGAGTCTTCATGCCATCTAATGGCATGCTGGCCATGCTCTCAGCATCATCCTCGTCAAAGACCTCCGTCTCGTTATCATCGTCGTCGTTTCGACGCCTGGTAGGACCTAATCCTCCGCGCCCACCATATTGTCCGTACAGCAAGCTCTCGTCTGGGTCAATGTTCGAAAGATCATCCGCACCAGCGTTGATCGCAGCCGCAGAATCGGAGATGAGATGGTTACCGAGGTGGGTGAAAGCCCCTTCCATTGTAGAGTTTTGTGCTCGACTCCTAGAGAAGAGAATATTGATCAGCACATGTACCAAGCTATAAAGAGGAGTCAAACACTGCAAGATGCCGCGATGGGCGCGGGAAGCCGTCGCCGCAAGCAAGTGGCACTGGTTGGGGATCTTTTTCTTACTCTTCGAATTGCAGTCTGTAATTTGCGGAAGCCGTGTGGCGTGAAAGAGAAATTGTTACAAAGACTACCAAGGACCCTTCAAGTCATTCTCAGCATGAGTTGAGTGCTGGCATCCGTTGGCGCAGACTTGGTCGAATGTTGTGTAAACTTTTGAAGTCTTGGGACTTGGGTGATGGGAGCCGCATATTAGTTAGTGGGCTTTTAGTGCGGGCAGAAAACCGATCCCTGTAAGAAATCTACATTTCGAACAAAAAGTTTGGTCCAACGACTCAGAAATCAGCAAAGCAGCAAAGATGAATGTTATGAATGTAAGTGCGCAATCTCGTCATGCAATATATTTCAGCTATGTATCATGAATTCTTCGAGCAAATATTCCTTCTGAAAGCTTATGCCTGTTTTTTGGCACACATCCCAAGAGCCCTGCTAATCCTCTCTCCAGCGAAAACAGATCCGCCAACGGCGAGACTACCTATACCGACGAGCTGTAACTCTGCGGGATGCTGAGATTGCAGAGAAACGATCCAAGCTGCGAGCTTCTTTGGCATCCGGAAAGTCATTGGACCCCGCGATTGCGAACGACAAGAAGCTCCGAGAAGACTACAAATACGATGAATCCAAAGCAGACCGGACGGCGAACGAAGAACTCGACCTGGATGACGAGTATGCACAGCTATCAGGCATCGTAGACCCTCGAGTCTTGGTCACCACTTCACGCGACCCTTCGACACGATTGTCTGCTTTTGCGAAGGAGATTCGATTATTGCTACCAACTTCCATACGTCTGAATCGAGGAAATTTGATTCTGCCCAACCTCGTTCAATCGGCACAAGCATCGGGGCTTTCAGATATTCTTCTGCTACATGAACACCGAGGTGTTCCAACCGCTCTTACACTGTCACATTTCCCACATGGTCCAACCGTCTCCTTCTCCCTCCACAATGTCGTCCTACGCCATGATATTCCAAATAGCTCGAGAGGGACAGTTAGCGAGTCATATCCACATCTGATATTTGAAGGCTTCACTTCCAAGCTGGGACTTCGAATTGTTAAGGTTTTGAAGCACATCTTTCCCCCAAGAGAAGCAATCACCAACAAAACGAAACTTGGGAGCAGAGTCGTCACATTCAAGAATATTGAAGATAGCATCGAGGTACGACATCACGTCTTCGTAAAGACAGGGTATCAAAGTGTTGAATTAGCCGAGGTTGGACCACGAATGACAATGAGATGTTTCGAGATCAGAGGTGGGACATTGGAGAATAAGGATGGTGATGTTGAGTGGCGCCTGAACCAGTACACGAGGACGAGTAGGAAGAAGGATTATCTGTGAAGCTAAGGACTGGTCAATTTCTATTTAGCAAGGCGTTGGGGATACGGCATACCATGAGCCTCAAAAATTGATTTCAATTTCTCCAGCTCTGCGCCATTGCATCCAGAATGCTTCAGGATCAAGTCCGACCATCGTGAAGAAGATCAATACACCCCGAATTGAGTGTTTGACCCAAGGCCAAGTCTGTGTTGCCAGAAGAGTGCGATAGGTTTCGTCTGAGATGCCACGAAGGAGTTGGCTTGGGACGGAGAATGGCATGCTTATCATCCTCTCACATCTTCTCCATTTTTTGGTCGCCCCGAAAACCTCCAGGTCTTCTATTTGTCATATCCATTGTCTGATACGTTTGGAACATCGTCCCAGCAGGTAATGCAAGTCTCACTCGAGCATATTCTGATACTTCTCCCTCTCTTCATGACTCCTGTCATGGTGCTTCACTTGCGGGGGAAAAGCACTCCAATACAGCCTTACCTTCACTTTCATCCACCCCTCAATAGACAAGATTCAAAAATGTTTTGTGAATTCCTGAGGTCCACATGCATCTTGAAGTCGACCTCAAGACAACTTCATACCATCCAGCTCATTGGCCTCGGCTCTGAGACCATTCTTAGTCATTCAAATTTGCTTGTAGGTGGTTCTTCAAATCAGGTCATGCAGTGCAGTCTCGGGAGGACGACTGGGGCAAATCTCTTGCGTGCATGTAAAGAAGAATTTTCTTGCAAAAATTCTGATATGCTGTGACACCTGAAATCGCTTAATCCTCAGGAGCTAGATCTGCAAACTACTGACAGGTCATGAGTGATAGATACCTAGGTACCTACAGACTTCACTTTGAATCTTGGCCGAAGGAAGGAAAGATACATTTAAAATTCAGGACAGCATGAGAAACAGAAAAAAGGTATTGGCACACTCAAGCACAAGTCTCCAAAGACCCCTATGATACTGGACATTTCACATGAGCGAAATCAGATGCACCGCACAACGTGGGGTACCCTGGTGCTGGCTGGGGACCTCATCAGGGTCCGATAATAGGAACTGCACACCATTGGCCAAGTATCGCCAAGACGCCTGCACCTGCCTCAAGACAGATACACCATCCCACCCTTCCACTCACAACCGACAGCCTCGTGCATATCTTTCACAAGGCCAGAAGCCATACAGTACCTACATTATCGCCCTTCACCGAACCGCATGAATGTCTCAGCGAGGTCAGCAAGCATCTGACAGTTTCAATGGCCATCCAACCGTAACCTTTTCGCCCAATACTTGGCAGCCTTCACCTCTGCGTCCGATCTCACGAACCTCGTCCAGAGCCGCATCAAGGGAGCCTGTAAGCACGACATCGATTACAAACGGATCTGCGAAGCACGCCAACGGGAACGGGGCGGTGAAAGGGACACCGGTGGACGGAGATTTCAGTGATTTCGATTCGGAACTTGACGATATGGAGGATCGAAGGCCACCTTTGCACAGGCCGTCTGACGGACGGTCTCACCAACCGTTATTGGGAAAAGACGATGACGAGGAAAGGGGGAGGACGGGGTACGAGACCTCGATGGATGGACCAGAGAGACCACCTATCTTTTCGAGGAGGTCAACGATGAGGAGCCGCAGTCCTGACACCCAGGCCAAGCTTGCAACGAAGAAGAAATACACATACGCTGCGTTCTTCCTGGGACTGAGCTTGATAAGCTTCGTGGTACAGACCGAGACGGCTGTGTACATACAGCACGAACTGGGTTGGAATAAGGCATATTGCATGCTGTACGTACGCAGATACACCCCGAAAAGGACGATGCTAACATATTTCTAGCTACTTCACTCATGGCTCGTGGTCATTGCTGTGGCCATTCCAGCTCCTCATCTTACGATTGCAGAAATGGAAAATGCCTTGGGATACGTTCTGGCGTCGACACAAATACCTCGTCCGTACCACTGCTCAAATGGTTGAAACACAAGAACTCGATGTTCCTCGAAACCAACATTCTCCAATCCCATACTTCATTCGAACCACGGTCATCATCACATGTGCCCTTACAATAGCAGGGGGATCATGGTACGTGGCTGTGAATATGACATCGCCGTCAGACCTCACGGCCATCTACAATTGCTCAGCATTTTTCGCATATGCTTTTAGTGTGCCGATATTGAAGGAGAAGCTACGGATAGGCAAATCAGTGGCGGTTGGTATTGCTATTGTCGGTGTTTTGGTGGTAGCATACGGAGACGCTGCCCCAACCAAGCATGGTGGGAAGTCAGGCGGTTCCGTTGGAGGTGGACCAGCAGACAAAGAAGCCAGCAACCGTCTCGCCGGGAATCTGATCATCGGTGTTGGCAGTGTCCTCTACGGCTTTTATGAGGTTTTGTACAAGAGAATGGCCTGTCCTCCGGAGGGAACCAGTCCAGGTCGGGGCATGGTATTCGCCAATACAGTCGGGACCTTGATCGGTTGCTTCACGCTTTGCGTTCTTTGGATACCTCTTCCTATCTTGCATTACACTGGCCTCGAGATTTTCGAGCTTCCTCGTGGGGAAGCGGCATGGTTGCTACTCATTTCCGTTTTGGCGAATGCGACTTTCTCGGGTAGCTTCCTGGTTCTGATCAGTCTCACCAGTCCAGTACTGAGCAGTGTTGCGGCTCTGTTAACCATTTTCCTGGTAGCAGTGGTAGACTGGTTATGGACCGGTGTTCCTCTCGGCCCAGCAGCTATTGTTGGCGGCCTGTTCATTATTTTCGCATTCTTGATGTTGAGTTGGAGCACATACAGAGAAATGGCAGAAGAGAGACGAAAGAGACAAATAGACATCAGCGATGATGACAGCGATAAGGGCGATGACTGAACATTTTTGGGGGTCTAATATAGGCGGATGTAAGATCACATACGTACATCACTGGGCGGTAGAATCTATCTCATTCAGGAGTTTGGTTGGATGGACATGCATATGCATTAGAGGCGTTGATTCTCTCACGCTCTGTAAAGACCGCTATGAGATGCTTTTGAGAGTTAGAATACAAACATCGATTCGAATGTCACCTGGATTTCGCGATGTCCAATACCAAAAGTTGAGTGTTGTTCGTTGTCTTGTAATCTATTTCCTGGAGTTGTGAAGCCCAGCGTGATACAAAATGCACTGAAACAAGAGGAAGAGGACATAAGTAATCTTGTTCCAACCGTCTAGGGACAATAACTCAAGGCTGTCACGAATCCACAGCCACAGAAGCAGGGCGTTCTCAATACATATCTACCAATCAATACCATTCGCGCCGTTCTCACCAACACCCCTCTCAATCACCACCTCACGCCCCTTTCCATTAACTAGAACTCCCTTCTTCCCTTTTACTTTCAACTCCTTAGCCTTCACATCATCTCCCTGCTTGATCCTCCACTTCTCCGTCCCAAGCACAGCATCAAGTTCCTCAACAGGAGGAAGCTTGACATAAACCCAGCCATCATCTCGTTCTTCGACCGGGAAAGTAGCGATGTTGACTGATTCATCATTGCCGCACTTCCCAGCATCATCTCCTGTCAATTCGAAATTCCGTTTGTGGTACGGACACGAAACCCATAACTTTTGCTTCTCGGCTGAAATTTCCTCGCCAATGAGTCCATCGGACAGGACGAAAGCTCTCTTGTGCGGACACATCTGTTGGGTGCAGTAATACTTTCCACGAACCTTGAAAATGGCGAGCTGTGCGTCTCCTCGTTTGACGGCATTGCTGTCCCCAGTAGGGATGTCTCTGAATTTGGAAGCCTCAACGATGGGCTGCCAGGACAATGCACTCCATTTCGTACCCTTGAAGTCTTTCGTGACTGATTCGTCAACCCAGTTGGAAGGACGTGTCTGACCGCGTTCAACCATCGGTTCTATTGTGTCAACGACATTTTCCTCAGTGTTGGCAAATTGCTGAAATTGCTTTCGTCGTTCCGGACTTTTCACTGCTTCAGTCCACTCGCAAAAGAAAGTGGACACGAGCTCCTCCATCTGCTTCTCAAGAGCTGCGCAAATGCCCAGCTTGTCCTCGAGAATGACTTGGCGTAAATACTTGATACCTCCTGGAAGACTCTCAATCCATCGCGCAGTCCTCTGGAGCTTGTCTGCTGTGCGAATATAGAAGATGAGGTATCTATCTAGAATTGGAATAACCTCATCCACTGGGACATCGATGGCCAAGAGCTCTGAATGTCTCGGCTTTGCTCCCCCGTTGCCGCCAACAAAGATGTTGAAGCCCTTCTCAGTAGCAATCAGGCCGAAATCTTTGTTCTGAGCCTCTGCGCATTCTCGAACACAACCAGAGACTCCACCCTTGATCTTATGCGGCGCCCGAATACTTTTGTATCGTTCTTCGATGCGGATTGCCATTCCAACGCTGTCGCCAATACCGAAACGGCACCAAGAAGACCCGACACAACTCTTGACAGTTCGAAGAGACTTGGCGTATGCGTGGCCACTTTCGAGGCCTGCTTCGATGAGTTCGGTCCAGATATCGAGCAGGTCTTGCTTTCTGGCACCGAACATATCAATTCGCTGACCTCCAGTGATCTTGCAATACAAGTTGTACTTCTGAGCCACACTGGCAATAGCAGCAAGTTTCTTGGGGGTGATCTCACCACCGGCAACACGTGGGATGACTGAGAAAGTACCATTGCGCTGGATGTTGGCTAGGAACTTATCGTTGGTGTCTTGAAGCCCTCTTCGTCCAGGATCAGCGATGGGCTTGTTGTACAGGGAAGCGAGAATCGATGCAACTGCTGGCTTGCACAGTTCGCACCCTAATGAACCAGGCACTCCGCTTTCCTTCATAATGGCTTCGAACGAATCGAGCTTCTTGACCATGACGACGTGGAAGAGTTCTGCGCGGGAGTAGGCGAAGTGAGAGCAGAGGTGGTTTTTAACTTCTTGGCCCATATCGATCATGGTTTTATTGAAGATGGAGGTCACCAGTGGAATGCATCCTCCACATCCTGTACCAGCTTTGGTACATATCTTGATCTCGTTGACGGTCTTACAAGTGCCATCCTTGATTGTCTTGGTAATATCCCCTCTGGTCACATTGTTACATGAGCAGATCTGTGCTTCGTCCGGTCTGCAAATGTTAGCCTACAGTGGAGATATCTTGGTTCTGGACTTACAAATCATTAGCATCATCTTCTCCTCCCGGCTTTCCAATTATCAGCTCTCCCGGTGCCATCTCCAGCTGTTTGTGTTGCTTCGACATTGGAAGTAACTTAACGTAGTCATTCGTATCTCCAACCATCATGCCACCAAGCAGATACTTTCCATCTTTTGTAAACAGATATTTCTTGTAGACGTGGTTGAATGGATCTTTGTAGGTCAAGACTTTCACAAGAGTCTTCTCAATCTCCTTATCCTGCCGCTTACCAGGCAGCCACTGAGGTCCGAACTGGTCAGCGAAAGCATCTCCAAAGCTGGCGACTCCAATCCCTAAAAGCTTGAGTTTGGTGCTCATATCCGGAGTTGTGAGAGATCTCGGGGAGCGCAACTTTGCGTCCGTCAGATTAAACGCAAGGATCTCGGCCATCTCGATACCAGGTGCGTAAAGGCCATAGCACATGTTCGCCCAATTTGCACATTCGCCGATGGCGTAAATATCCTTCACTGAAGTTTGCAAGTCATCGCCGACAATGATGCCACCGCGAGGGCCGCACTCCAAACCAGACTTTCGAGCTAGCTCATCACGAGGAGAAACTCCAATCTTTAAGAGATGTTAGCTTCCTGCTTGTCAGTCGAATGCCGCCTTACTGCAACGCAGACACAGGCACCGTCTACTTTGTGGCCATCCTCGAACTCCACACCAGTTACGCCATTGTTCTCATCCGTAAGAAACTTGTTGACCATCTTGCCGAGGATAAGATCTACTCCCAGATCTCTCACTTGCTCAACGACCATGGCGCCACCTTTGTTGCGTTAGATTAGCTGTTCACAATTTGATGGATAATCTTACCCTCGGGATCAACCTGTCTACCCAAAACGTATGGGAAGGACTCGATGACTTTGATTTTCCCGAACTCCTCAAGATCCATCATTGCTTTCGCAGCCTCGAGACCCAGAAGTCCTCCTCCCACCACAATACCAGTCTTACCCTTCTTCGTAGCAGAAAATGCAATGAGTTTCTGCAAATCCTCGATGGTCCGATACACAAATACGCCAGTTGCATCGTAGCCAACAATTGACTTTGGAAGGATTGCATTGGATCCTGTGGCCAGGACCAGAATGTCACATTCGATTGTGTCACCTTTTGCAGTAATCACGAACTTCTTCTCGGAATCGATCTCAGTAACCAGGGAATTGAGATGATAGCTCAGTGAACCTTCTGGAAATGCCTTATACTGTAAATTGTAAGTCGAGCTCAAGAAAACAAGGGAGGTAAGGATATGCCAACCCAAGCTTCAGTCTGCATATATAACCTTTCGACATCTCGGTGTTCAAAGAAGCTGGTAAGGCCGACTCTGTTGTAGGCTAGATGTGGTTCCTCGCCAATAACAATAACGTCGTATTCTCTTCTTTTCACATCCATTTTCATCAATTTTTCACTGATTCTCTTATCAGTCTCCATGCGGAACTCGCAGGAATAGGAGCTCGCTATTTTGCACTCACACGAAAGTAATTCCAACCATCCCTAGTCCCACAACAACAACTCTTTTCCTCTTACTACCTCCATCATTAGATACGGATGGTATTTCGGCTGTCATTGTTCCGACGATTTTCTCGCACACCTGCCAAAGTGAGGACAAGGAGAAGGATGTGGTCTGGTTCTGGGTATAGTAGCGGCCACAACCAGAAGCATAATCTTCAAGTCATCAGAGGCTGCAATAGAAAGAAAATGCAAGGTACAGGGATAGACAACGGAAATAGATGTGCTTCGAAGGTATCAAAAGGAACAAATGCGCGAGAAAATCCCTCTACACTTCTGACCCCGCTGCAGGCAAGTCCGGAAATATTGCCTTAGGTTCACCACATCATTCGAGTCTTGCTAGGACATGCAGAATCAAATCAGCGCGAAGACTGTCACGCCAATTAAAGCTAGCCAAACGGCAGTTCACCGTGTGTAGCAGAGACACCCGGCTTATGAAGTGTGGCGTGAAAGATGCACGGCTAGGTCGATCTCATCCCGGAAATCTTTGTTCTGGGAAAAGTTGGGAGCGGAGGTCGGCAAGAAATAGGAACTATTCCGAGGGGCCGGCGATACGAGCGAATTGATTCGTTGTTAATACTTTGGTGTGGTCAAGAATAACTCCCGTGGAAATACGAGCCACGAGTGATGCGCTCCGAGGAAATAGACGATAAGAAGGTATTCTATATCTAGGAAACTGTGTCGAAAGGCACAATTCGCACGACATGCATACTATGCACGTTTTCTCTCCAGCGGGTTCAACACTTGTAAAATTTACCTCTTGACTTGAGGAATGCCATGGTCTTATGGTAAGGGGGCGTTCGTTTGCAATAGCGGAACCTTTTCGTCATTGCAGCTTTGCAGTTCGTTGCATTGTGGCCATTGACAGCATCGAGTTTTGCTTAGTAGCATAACCTGCTCTGGTATGTTCCAAGATTCTGCAGACCCGCACTCTAGCCCCCTATGAAATGCCTTTGCCTTCCACCGCAAACTCTCAATCATGGAGGTATTATTGAGGCTCGGAAGGTGAGGGACAGTTTGGATCGATAGGTAGGTGATCGGATTCGAGGCGTGCACGAGGCTTGTGCCGCAGACCTGAAGGGCGCAGGGGTATGAACGATCGAGGGAGGACCGTCGAGGGTCGTTTCGATACGGTTGGGAGAAATGAAGAATTGTCAATCCGAAGTGGATGAGTCAGGAGAAGAGGTGGGTCGACGTCTCTTCTTTTCTCATCACACACATCACCTAAGATGATAGTCGCGGCCGGAACAGAGTTCGTTCAATTCATGTTTGGAGACACGGCAGTAGCTTTCTGATGCTCACAATGTCCTTCAGGTCAGGTTCCGATAGAGAGCGTTCAGGCACCAAACGATATCGAAGCGTCCTTTCATTGCACCTCCATTTGACGATGACTTCTTCGTCAGCACCCCCATCTCAAGACAAATCAGAAATACTATCTTGTTCAAGATATATCAACCTGCTTCGCAGCTCATTGAGACGATTTGTGTCAAGAGACCATTCGTGCTTTTGGATCATGCTTCTTCGATTGCTTGAAAGTCAATAATACGTTGCTATAGAATCCTCTCATTCAGACAAGAAATAATATTTCGTCACCTTTGGCCAGCAACCAGCTTGCGGCCGAAATTTCTGGGCGGTAGGGCTCACCATTATTGAATACTTGAATGCGAAAGCTCCTGCTTTGTACGAAAACTTTATCAACACAAGCAACACGGTCACCATCAAGTCTCGTTTTTCCTCCTCTTCTTCCTTGAATACGCTCTCAACGCCATCGAATATTGATTTGAACAGCCTTACTGATGACACAGCGATGGCGGCTTCACCTACCGTGAGTGCCACATGCGCACAAGAATCCCCAAAACTACTGTTCGAGATCAGCGAGGAAGCAGCGGCATGGGACGGGGGTCGGGACTCGTTCCAGATCATCAACTCTATGTTTGCTCCGGTCGGAGCAAGTTCTCCTGCATATGTCGCCCATCAGATGATGCTCCTCTTCATCAAGATTGGAAGAGAGGTCGCAGAGGGACACAGACCGTGGTCGAAGCCAAAGTTTCATGATTTTTACATGCAGTGGCTCTGGAACCTCATTCTCTACATTGCTACCAAGCTACCAAGCAACGGCACAGAGCAGGAGCGATTGGCACATCTTGTACTTGAATTTGGGAAATATTTCCATCAAGTTCCCGAAAGAGTGCCAGAGAAGTACAAACGTCCGCCACTTTCCTTCATGAGGAATCGTTTAGGTCGTCTTATTGATCAAGAGCGAATCCCTGTTTTCGATGATCATTTATACCAGGAGCAATGGGACATGATCAGATTCGATTGGTCCGAGTTCCGCACCACTACTCAATCTGCCTATGAAATTCTCAGACGTATATCTTACCTTCCGAAATTCTCGCAAATGCTGACAGATCTCAGGACTCGACGATGCGTCGGTCAATACTACCAATCTTCACGGATTTCTCGCTAGACTCACACGAGATGGTTCGCACAATTTTTCCCGTGTTGCCATCTTTCCACTCCGCCTAGTGCTAGAGTCTCAGAGTCATCCCGGAGATCGCCTTTTCTATCACCCGGTCGCTCTCGCAAGAAACCTTCCACACGAACGAGTCCCTGAAGCTCGAACTTACCCAGCCTTTCCATTCCAAGCAGAGACAACTGCAACAAGCCAGGCACCGGCAGACCACACCTTGATCATGGCAGAAGGGCACTTCAAGATGGCTGTGTGCTGGATCCAGATTGCGGGGAAAGAGCTACTCTACAGACAATGGTCCTGGAACTCAGTTCACGGTGATCCGGTTCTTTGTCCTGGCCTAGCCTTCAAAAAGCAGCACAATGCAACTTTTCTCGACCGGTGGCAATTCTGGACTAAACGCTTTGGAGAAATTGCTAGATCTCATTATGCTAATCACCAGATACAGCAGATGGCATCTGATTGCACCGATCGAATGTCTAATGTATCCGTCATGGCATTGTTGGGCCCCCAGCGACAGATGAACAAGATGCAAGATCAAGCTAGAGACCAACATTCAACCACCAAGAACAAGTACACATTTGAGAAGCATTTGGAAGATATCAGAAGAGAACAATGGAACTTACGACAAGTGCGAGACGATGCCAGTCCTCAGCATAGTATCGAAGTGCAAACGAGTCATGCTTCATTAGTTCCTGCATCAGGGAGAAAGGATCCCTTGAAGCAAAATGCAGAGATCCATCGACACAGCGGCGTCCCGATTGATAAAGACGCTGCTGCCCGAACGAGTAGAGGTTCATCATCTCCTTCATTGGCACGGAAAGACTCAACGAATCTACCGTTCTTCGATAAGGATCAATCCTTTGCAGGTCTCCCCCTCTCGGCCAAATCGAAAGGTTCGTCGGCTCCTCTCAGAACCAAGCGTTGACGAATGGAAACGCCTGCGAAGAACAACTGCAAGACGGAGAATTACTTCGCCGCGAACTCTTCCTTTCGAGTAGATCTCTCCTCCAATCTAGATCTCTTGACGGGCTTCTAGAGAGTAGAAAGTGACAAGATTTAGATTGGCGATGCTTAAATTAAAAGCTTCCTGACGGCACAGAAAGAAAAGCATGAAGGACATTTCAGGTAACAAGGCATCATAATTTCGGCTTTTTTCTCGTTGCATAATCCCAAATTATGACAGCGAGAATTTCAGAGATTGGCTTCTGAAAATGGGAAAAGGTTCAACCTACTTGCAATGGTGTCTTTCTCTAGCATTCAAGAAATGGAGGAATTGAGGAGATCTGCACATCTTCACTGTATTATAATACTTTCTAGCATAGCTTTCAATGACAAAACAGCCTGGAAGGCTAGCATCATTGTCTCCCATCGTACCTATATTCATCAGAGGCTCTGATCTGCCGCATCCTTCTCAAATCATTCGTGTACTCTGGTGTGTCTGCAAACCGAGGTGATCTATCAAGCGTATTCCTTCTCCCAAATCCATCATCGATATACTGTTCCTTGACGGCCATTGCATCTTTCTCATTATAACCATCTCCATCCCCATATACATTTGCATATGTATCGTCACCCGTCAATTTTCTCGCATACGCATTCGCCTTCCTATTTGGCGAATATCCATACAACTCGCTGTCCTTTCTGAACAAATCCTCATTTGGCGGCCCTCCAATACTCTTCGATCCAATCGGACTCTGCCAAACGATAACTCCAAATCCTAAGATTCCTGCCAGAGTTGTGAACCCAATGGCACTCCATCCAACGGGTCCAGCATAGGCCGCAATAACCAATCCTAAGAAGATAAAGGCGACAATAATCAGTGCGAACAAAACCATGCTCACAAACGTAGCATACCACATCACAGTCCTCCTCTTCTGACTATCCTCCGTCCCGAACCATTCTATAGCAGCATATCGCCACAAAGACAATGCCGCAGTGGCGAATGAAACTATCCCAAGATTGATAACGAAGACCAGCCACGACAATCCAAGGTAAGTTTGAGCGGTATCCTTCGAGATGCCATAATCAACCCATGGGGCTACAGGCGTCTGAACAATTTTCGAGAAGGTGAGCGAGGCACCGAGGGTCGATATAGCGGTGATAGTCTTGAAGAGATTGTCGAAGAAAGTCGCGAGGCGTTCGCCAGGGTGCGCTTTGGGTAGTGCGGGGGCTGTTGTGGCTGCGGGTGTTGCCATTCTGAGACTTTCTGAGACTTTGAGAATTTTATGCGACGAAAACTCGGTCCACATATATGCACGCTTCAGAAGCTCAAAAGAAGACAGAGGAGATATAGTCCATTTGAATCACAATGCAAATCAATTGAATCTTACTCAGATCAACCACACCTCAACTTTGAGATGCATCTGTTGATGTCTCGGTTGTCACGGCAATGATGGAGGGTCGATGAATTTTGAAGGTTTTCGAGCGGCACAGAGCACATGGTTTGGGGAATCTTGCTGATTGGAAGATCTACGATTGGGTAGAGATAAGTCTTCCGAGCTGGCCATTGATGGACGATTCCGTGCATTATCGGATTGCTCTCACTTGCGATGGACATTGCAGCGTTTCTATCGTGAGTGAAAGCTGTTCGGTACGAAGTATCTAATAAGGGAGCTCTGTAGATAGCTGACAAGCAATTAATTTGCCAATCACTGTCAACATTGGCAGTATCTACTTGGAGGTACTACTAGAAGGAAAGTTTTGGCTCGGAGTTTAGAAGAGAATTGCAGTCGCACAATTCGTAACTGACGAGTCTCGAGGAATGGAGAAGGTAGAACCTATTTGACTTCAAATAAAACGATCTCTCGAAAGCGTTGTTATGCAAGAAGATCTTAACAAGCTGGTGTAGGATTCGCAGCCAGAGAAAGGTAACCTTTTGAAGGGAGACCAGAGCCTTCAACTGAATAGGGTGGTCCTCTTGGACTGACAACCCAATAATGGCAAGCATAATAAGAAACTGGAACAAACTCAGAGATCTCAAATACTGCAATGCGAATAACATTTGATTGGGTAATCGTTGTGAGGTAGATGAATACAGCGAGTTGAGCTGTTCTAGGCTAATCTAAAAGCATACTAGCTCCTTCTCTAACATCCGAAGCTCACGACCTCCCATCGCGATTCGGCCTTGATACTACTCTCGAACCCTCCTCAACCGCCGTCATGACTGTCACAGAAGCTGTCAAATCTGCCGTCGGGCTCAGCAGCGCGCCTGCTCGTTCGTACATCCAAACCCCGCACAATTGGGCCTCGCTGATCATCCTGGAATAGCTGCTACACGAGAGGAAATGCGCGAAGCTAGACTACCATTGGCATACCGAGACAGCTGCGCGAACCTTCTCATTCCCCTCAACCGATGTCGATACGAAGAATATTATCTGCCATGGAAGTGCGAGGTGAGTGGTTGTCTTTTGAACGCGGGAAGGCAAGATTTGGATCTGACAGCTTGAATTGCAGACAGAGAGACACAGCTACGAGAAGTGCCAGTACGAGGAGTTCAAGAAGCGAGTTGCAAAGATGGACGAACTTAGAGCTGCGAAGGGAGGAGAAAGAAGCAATTGATAGAAAAATTATTGGTGTACATACGGTTCGCTCAGGGAATGAAACACTTTTGCAGGGGCATTCTCCTTCCACATATCAGGGCTCTGGTTTTGGATTTCTGTGGATGATCTCAGGGTCAAACAAAGAGGAGTCTCGAGATCTCCTCGGTACAATGACAATCCCTTTGACGTTGTCAGCTTCCCTTCCATACACTACGCTTGGACCTCGACATACATCAAGTGCGGAGGATAGATCATGGTTACTTTGGGGGACGGGTCACTTCTCGAATCGATGTAGCGATTTCCATTCAAGTCTAATATCCACCTCTTAGCGCTCCAGCATCTGTTTCCGCATACTATACAGGCTCTCACTATGCTCTAGCAATGCTAATAATTTGAGATTAGGTACAACATACCTAAAGGAGTTTTGTCATCGCAGGAGTTAAGCAAAATCCTACTACAGTTCAAGAGCCGGAAGAATCCCTACACTCTCAATCCGAGAAGGACAAACAAAAGATGATTTCCCTCAACCTAAGCTTTCTTGGGGCAAAGAGAAAGCTCCCTTCAAACCACAGCTCGACTCTAGAGGCGTCACCCCAGTTCATGCTGGATCCTGAATGCGGCAGCTTATCTAAACTCCATCTCACTAAATGAAAGGGTAAAAGGAGAGGCTTACGAAAGGCAAAAGATGAGCACAAGCAGATTTTTTTTTGGGAGTAGCGCAGTTTCAGCTTTTTTGTACTTGTTGATCCAGCCCTGCAGACCTGAGGGGAAAGTAAACTACAACAATGCCGACGAATTCACGAACTCTCTCTCCTCATTCCAAACCCCACTCCGTCTTGCTTCCTGGCAAGCTCCTGAACATATTCTCCAGCATGCCAATACCTGCCTTCACCCCATCCAAAACATACACTTCTTTCGCATCTTTTTCACCGAGTTCCTCGATCAACGCCTCCGTCACGATTCGGTCAAGACCTGACATTCCAGCACAACCCAAACAAATTACCCTCACATCGTTGTCCCGAACAAGTCTCTTGGTAGCATCCTTCATCTTCGTGGTCACAACTTCTTTCGGCGCTGTATGCAGCTCATCTGCATTGAGTCCTGTCGACTCCACTCCCTTAAATCGAGTGGCGTGGGCCATTTCGCCCAACCCAACTACCCTGAGCACTCCGGCTGCCAGTAACTTTTCCCAAGCTGTACCAGTGGTAACAATTCCAAATGTCGTCTTCTGCTTCACATCCGCCTTCAGATGGGGAGTTGGAGTTAACGTCAAGGCGGTTGTGATACTGGCTTCGAAGATCCCGGTAACGTAAACCCCTCGAGGGACAGCCTCTCTTATCATATCCACAAGAGGGTGAAGACTATAACAAGCAACCAGATATCCATCGTACTTTTGCTGCTTTATAAACTGAAGAATTTCTGGAAAGACGATATTTGCCGACTCCAAAGCGTCTTTCTCATTGTTGATACTTTTTGGGGCGCTGCGTGGAGCAGTAAAACTGTCGATTATCGTATTTGATGGATATTCGGTGATCAAAGGTTCCAAATTCTCCGTCATCTCTTCTGATGAATTCGGATTTATAAGTAGCATTTTGTAAATGTAGGGTGCCATAATGACTGGGGTTTTGGAGTGCTGTGATCGTAATTTAGAGGGAGCAGGTTCGACCGATTTCACGATCTCTGACCTTCGAAATGTAGTGTTTTGTTTGTTGTGAAGAATTCTGCTCAAAAATTTTATAAATTTCCCAAAGTAGCAATTTTGAGGCTTGCCTCAATGGCGGGGAAAGAGGCAGTGTCTCGCTACGGTTGCCGTAATCCACCATCAACGTCACTTGAACTCGTCAACCTCACACCCCACCAACCTCAACTTTACGACCATATTCGCAAACACTCCGCCCTTGTGCCATCACATTCTCTACAACAATGGCAGAACCTCCAATAGGTACACGAGCTGAATCCTATTGTCCATCCAACTTCTGCTAACACAATCCAACAGTTCTGGACGGAGGAACCGGATTCCTCAAGGTTGGCTATGCCGCACAAGTATGCGCCTTCACCTTCAGCTCCTTCAATAACAGCAAGAAACTGATATTCTCCTCTCCCAGAACTTTCCCGAATTCCAATACCCATCAATAGTAGGACGACCAATCCTCCGTTCCGAAGAAAAAGGCAATGATGGCCTCGTCATCAAGGATATTATGTGCGGAGATGAGGCAGCCGCAGCACGAACAATGCTGCAGATTTCATATCCGATGGAGAATGGTATTGTGAAGAAGTGGGATGATATGCAGCATCTTTGGGACTACACTTTCTACGAGAAGATGAAGGTCGATACTACGGGGCGCAAGATCTTGCTTACGGAGCCGCCTATGAATCCCCTCAAGAACCGAGAGCAGATGTGCGAAGTCATGTTTGAGCGATATCAATTTGGAGGTGTTTACGTGGCTATCCAAGCTGTGCTTGCACTATATGCTCAGGGTGAGTGACTCGTGCCAAGATGCAAGGGAAGTGCTGACGGCAACAGGTCTCAGCTCAGGAGTGGTTGTGGATTCTGGGGATGGAGTTACGCATATTGTGCCCGTTTACGAATCTGTCGTGCTTAATCACCTCACTCGCAGACTAGATGTGGCTGGTCGAGACGTCACTCGCAACCTGATTGCCCTCCTCCTTCGACGCGGATATGCCTTGAACCGAACGGCTGATTTCGAGACTGTACGACAAATCAAGGAGAAGCTCTGCTATGTTTCATACGATCTTGAGCTGGACCAGAGATTGAGTGAAGACACAACGGTTTTGGTTGAAAGCTACACTTTACCAGATGGTCGTGTGATCAGGGTGGGAAGCGAACGTTTCGAAGCTCCTGAATGCCTCTTCCAACCCCACCTCGTCGATGTCGAACAGCCTGGTATTGCCGAGTTTCTCTTCAATACCATCCAAGCGGCAGATGTCGATGTTCGCTCGTCGCTTTTCAAGGCTATCGTCTTGTCGGGAGGAAGCAGCATGTACCCAGGTCTTCCATCACGATTAGAGAAAGAATTGAAGCAATTGTGGCTTACTAAGGTACTTGGAGGCAACCCCGAACGTCTGAGCAAGTTCAAGGTTAGGATTGAGGATCCACCGAGGAGAAGGCATATGGTTTTCCTGGGAGGTGCGGTATTGGCGAACATCATGGCGGACAAGGAGAACATGTGGATCTCGAAACAGGAGTGGGCTGAACAGGGCTCTAAAATTTTAGAGAAGCTCGGTCCTAGATAAGTTGTGGGAGGATGACAAAAATAAATTGCTTGCCGTTGTCTTGATTTTGTTGCTGCTTGTGTTGGTGTCTGTTGTGCTATCAGTGAAAGAGCTGCTGTCCTTCATTGTTTCATGTCCAGCACTTGAGTTTCCGAGAGTAGCAATGCAAGTGTTGCTGCATGTCTCAAGATTTGCAAGAGAAGTGTAACTGGCTGTTGGATAGATATTTTCCTGCTCACAATTTTTCCTGGAGTTTGGCAGTTTGGATGTCTCACATGTCTGAACACATGTCTGAACATTCAAGAATCAGCTTTCAAGCAACAGTTCTCCTCTTGGCTTCTGGTTTAAGACTAGGCAATGATGGCCGAGAAGGTCTCCTGCGTGCAAGGATCTTGACAACTGCAAGTGTAGAATCTCCTACCTCCAGTCATCCAGTCCCGGTTCATTCTCGTACCGAGCCTTCTCGTTGAGAAGCCTAGCAAGAACCGAAAGGAAGTACGCATAGAGACAGATATCTAAGCAAAAAAAAAAATTTGACAAAACATATATTCTCGGACTTCTTGTGGTCAACCTATCAAACCCCACATAGCATCTTGAAGATACTGTGGAGGGCGTGATAGGATGAACACAAGAAATCCGAGAACATACATTCAAAGAGGATTGTCCTATGACCTGGACAGAACGAAAATTGCGTATTAGAATATATAGTGAAGTCGTTGAGAGCTAGTTATTCCGCTGATTAGCCGGATATGAGGGGTTAAATTATCGTGATGTTGAAAGTCAATGGATCAGTGAATGGGCTGGAATCTTGGAACATGCAGAAAATCTTCTAGCCCCTGGTCTTTTTATATCTATCTGCTAGCTGCTATGCAAACCAGGATCGTTTCTACATGATTACACTGTGGGAGCCATTTACATTGTCTGGGCTTGACTGAGAATCCAAGAGAAGTGTGAATGTCTGACACTGGTGGCAACTTTTGAACAAGTTCTGCTCAAGCTCAGCCAGAGTGAGCTTATTTCACACGTAACATTTACAATTCACGACTTCTGCTGACTACATGTCGTATGCCAAGCTTATGTCCTATGAGAGCAATATGTCGTCCCGACTGCAATAGTAACAACTAGCTATTACTCGATCTTCACCCACCAACCATCTCCCAAACCCTCGCCTAGCTCATTCAGCCCACCCCACAGCATGAATTGCTTGGTTCCGGTCATCGAGCTCCCAAAGAAGCTTCGACCTGTCCAAGTCCCTCCTTGCTTCTCGTCTTCACCAATTTCTATTCTCGTCACTTCAACAGGTGCCCATTCTCCCTCATGACTACTGACGCCCGGGATCTTTTCTCTGATAGCATCTTTTACTCCCGCACCCGACAGTCCAGAAGACGGCAATTGATAAGCCCACAAATCTTGGAGCAGCTTTCCCTCTCCAGGTTGAGCATCTCCCTCTCCCAGCGCTAACACCAGATAATCTCTCCCGTTCCCCGTAGTAACATAATGCAACGCTGCCATGCTCCTCGCTTGAGGCTTTTCCTTCTCAACAGAGACAACTTCCCATTCCCTCCTCGAATCATCCAGAGTCCCAGCCAACTCAATCGAGTGAGGCTTCGGCAATTCCAGAACATCCAGCCCTTCAATCACCCTCTCTCCATCCCAACCTCCAAATCTCCACAGCTTGCCCTTGCAACAAGCAATACTAGCACCACTTCTTCCTGCACCAGGAGCATCCCCCAACCGAGTCCATTTCCCTTCATCGAGATAGAATGCCCAAGTATCCTTCCACAAGGAACCATCAGCCGCACACCCTCCATGAATAAAAACCGCACTCCCATCTTCGCTAGCAGTACTGGCATGTTTGTACCTTGCACAAGGGAAAGAAGTATGCGGAGGTGGATCCAAAAATATCCATTTCGAATCCAACGGATCAAAGACCCACAACCTGCCATTCTCCTCAATGGCTGAAGCATCACGACCACCAAACACAAAAACCCGATTCCGTGCTACAGTCGCTGTATGATCAACACGGCTCCGCGGTACATTTCCATTCTCTCCAATTGCAGTAATAGTTTTGAGACTCGCAGTCGAAGCGTTATCCGTTGTATCGATATGTAATTCTAGGACATTATTCGACGTTATTTTCTCATCTTGAGAATAGCCACCGAAAATGTACGCCTGGTCTCCGATGACGGAAAGCGAGTGAGAAGAGCGTGGGATGGTGGTGGGGGATGAGATGTGGTGGAGACGAGCTTTGAGGGGGAGTGTCGGTTGGGTGAGGATGTATGTTGCTACGCCTGCCTCGACGGCGGTTTCGATGCCGTAGGCTCCTGCTGTGACGGTTGCGGGATCCATGGTTGAGGGAGGTTTTGTGACGAGAGATTGAGAGCATGAGATCTTCTGTTAGGTGTAGTGTTGATGAATGACGTAACGCTTTTCTCATTAGCTTGGACCCTTTGCTTGTTACTTTCTGCAGGTAATACCCTCATGGCATGAACTAAGTGCCCCTAACGATGAAGTCAAAGCGAAATAGTCGAAGAAGCGAGAGGAATGAATCCGAGTTGAGGTCAAAGATTGGGTTCTCATAGAATTGGATGCTGTACATAAAAAATTGCAGCACAGACGAAAATCAGAGTGTATAGCAACATTTAATATTTCAAAGTGATTGAAAGGTGAATTCTATTGCAATCAACAATCAACATCTGAACCAAATCACTATCCAGGTAGGTTACGCCAAACCCCTCGCCCAACAGTCTCCAGTCCAGTGCAGCCCAACACCAAAAGACAACGCTCAAATTCAATCAATTCTTCTTTCCCGACCCCAAACCTCATCGGGATCCCTCTTCCCCTTCGTCTCGGGAACCCTCCACGAAACGAACAAGAAGCAAAGAGCTGCTAGTCCAGTAAAGATGAAGAATGCCCATCCCTTCCCTCCTAACTTCTCATTCAACAAAGTGTTAATGATTGGGAAGAATTGAGCAACGATGAAAGTTGCAACATAGTTGGCTCCTAATGCCCAACTCTGTGTTGCACCAACAGCTTCCGTCCCAACAAGCTCACTTGCCATCATGAAAGGTACTGGTCCTAAACCAGTGGCGAAGAAAGCAACAAATGCAAGGACAGAGATTGCTGATAGGAGCTTGAGGTCTAGCCGCATGGATATAGCTAGGCATAGAGACATAGATCCCATTCCTGCGATGGAGAGCAAAAGACAAGCTTTGCGGCCGATCTTGTCCGCCAAAGGAGCACATATGATCGTAGTGATAAGGTTGATGATCGAAATCATAATCGTGAGTAGACTGGAGGTGATGGGAAGAACGCCTGCTAGCAGTGACACCGAATACATCATGATGCTGTTGATACCAGTGAACTGTTGAGACACCATAATACCAATCACAGCGATGAGAACAGGACGGTAAAATGGGTCGTTGGCGATCTGGAAGAATCCGACATGTGCAGTATTTGCGGCAGAAGCTTTACTGGTGACTGATTCTCGACGTCTGGTTTCTGGGTCAATGAGAAGGCGCTCTTCTTCTGTTGTATCTTTATCAATATCCCAGTCGTTGATTTCCTCCGAGATATCGTAGGAGTGGCCTCGAACTCGCTGCAGTACTCGAACGGCTTTTTGAGATTGCTTGTGCGCTGCCAACCACGCAGGACTTTCTGGCATGAAGCACATCCCAAGTCCTTGTACCAAACCGAGTCCAGCTCCAGCCCCTAGTATGATCCTCCATAGAGAGCCCTTGCTTAGGTAGTATCCCATTGTTTGGGTAATCAAAATTCCAATGTTGATGGCCACCTGGGTCGTTGATCCAAACAGCCCTCTCTCGTGTGGGGGTGCAATCTCTGAGATGTATATGGGAACAATAACAGTCGACGCTCCTCCTCCCACACCAGACAGCATTCTGCCAATCGCCATGATGGGTACCGTGCCAGCTAGAGTCTCAACGGTAGCTCCAAGAACGAAGAAGACGCTCGTAATCCGCATAGCCAGCAATCTGCCATGCTGGGAAGATAGCGGACCCGACGAGACAGCACCTATGAAGCCTCCCAAGACGAACATCGAGGACAGGAGAGCGAACTCGGCTTCGCTCATAGGAATGCATTGTGGAAGTTTGGAGTCGGGCGTCGAGGCGACATGTTCGGCAACGGAGGTCTTCTTGCAGGTGATAACATCTTGAGGAGCATTGAGCTCAGCCTAGATCGTAGGTCAATGACTATGCGGTCAGCAGAAGTGGGAAGGCATACCAGATGGAAACCGAACTGTAGTGGGCCAAGGGCAGAAATGAAAATCAGATAAATCAAATAGAGCGTCACATCATGAATGCATTGCCTTAATCCTGCTGACGGCATAATGAAGGAAGCAATGCGAGCTGCAGTCGCATTTCTATACCACGGGAAATAATTATTTGAATAGTTGATGTTCTTGATGGAGCTCTTGCGTTACCGACTTTGTGCAACGTTAACCTTATGAAACGACTTTATGCATGGGATATGCAAAGAGCCGCATTCTCACCCGTTTGAGTTACGCCCATCTTTCAATTCTCCCCACACCAGAACCACTCGGATGGGATTCCCAAGTGCTCACTCTGTCTTACTCTACCTTCACTTTGGCTCACTCGATCTCTTCTTCAGTCGTATCGGATGTCTCCCCTTCATTCCTATCTTTGAGCCACGGTACACTATCAACAGCTGCAAAGCGATGCAGTCATCCTGTCCCGCCTGCTTGTCACCTTCCTAACCACATACCAATCTTGTTAAACCAAGCTCTGTATACGTGTCTGTGTCTTACTCAAACATATCGACTCACACGAAGGAATACCCCGCTTCTCAAGACCACGAAGATCCACATGGTTGGGATGATGAATTCCACCAGTCGATAACGTAAACGATCCGGTGTCTGCAACTGATTGTCCCCATCTTCGGCCGTCTTCGATATCCAACAGTTATCCCCAGCCAAGCTCGCTGCTCGCCTGAGCTGTCCGTCTGGCCCGGAATCAATATCACATTCACAACAAAACCCCTCCTTGGTACGAAAAAGGACTATTACACAAGCGAACTTGTAATTGCTTCTCCCCTTATCAGCAACAATCAAGCTCATACTTGGCTGCCCTTCATCCCTCCAAGTCGGTCCCTGACTAAATACGGATGGTATCACAAGATAAAATCATACCAAATCCAAACCCCGCCTGCATGTTGCCGAAGTTGTGAAGCGCAAAGAGATTCCTTCTGGATCGCCTCATCGGGTTAGATCAGGAGAGGACATTTACCAGCTTCCCCTCCTCCTTTGCGTACATATTGTACCAATTGCGGTGGTTCTGTCTGGCTGGATCGTGTGTGCGAGAGGAGACGAAGACCATTCCCGTTCCCGTATAGATGTGACGAACCGGTAGCTTGTATGTGTCTGTATGTCTGCGGCCACAATCAAACACCACATCCACATCCACATCCACGTCCACAATCCGCCCGACGCACATCTCCATCCTAAACGTCCCCACCTAAGCGCCGCTGACCCCAGAGACCATCCGCAACCAGCAATCCGCCACTCACGATATTCACATCCACAGCCACATCCACATCTGCATCTGCATCCCGGCTCGTTCTGCTGTTTCCTCCCACCTCCCACTGTCTGTCTGTGTGCTCTGTGCCCTGAGCCTTGTCTTCCCCCTTTACCGCCGTTGTTGCAGTTGCTCACACGTCCCTCGCCTCGCCTGATCTAACTTCAGCTGCGGCACCGCGGGAACTACGCAATTCCAATACATGAATGAACCCGACAATGAGAGACGCCCCCACCGCGCATCGCATACTGATACCGTAATATCTCCATCCTTAGTTACCTGACCGGTACCTACCTAGCACGGGGCACCAGTCGCACACACGCGCATAAGCAACCATACATAAAAAAAATAATACCGAACACACACGCGCGCACATCGGATTGTTATGAGCCTGACATCGAATCCGCCGTCGTCCGAGGGTGGAGGTGGTCCATCCTCGGTCTCTGCTCAGAGAACCCAGACTTTAAAGAGGAGCGTTCAACAAGCTTTTGACGGTACTAGACCTGTCTCATCATCGTCTTCTTCTTCGTCTTTCGCATTCATCCATCCTTCGTTCTACCTTTCAGCCTCGTGATCTCATTCGTGGTCGAGATGACTGGATGATTTTTACTTCTGCCGTCATTGGAGGCGATTCTCACACGAGCCTCCTCTTCCAGCCATCTCACCATGTTTCCTGGAAGACGACCTCCCTTTCGTGTGTTTGCTCATTGCCCTCATGAATTATACTGACATCTCGTAGATCCTGCTGATCGTGGCCTGGGGCCAAATGTTGGTTACCAAAGCAAGGTCAGGGTCATTGACCGCTACAAAGTCATTGGCTTCATCAGCAGTGGTACTTATGGGCGAGTGTACAAGGCTGTAGGTCGTCATGGACAGGTTGGAGAGTTCGCGATCAAGAAATTCAAGCCAGGTATGAAGATACCTCATCTCAACCCCAAAATACTGACCACGTGTCCCAGACAAGGAAGGCGAACAGATCCAGTACACTGGAATATCGCAATCTGCTGTGCGAGAGATGGCATTATGTTCCGAGCTCAGTCATCCAAACATCATCAAGTTGATTGAGATCATACTGGAGGACAAGTGTATTTTCATGGTGTTCGAGTATGCCGAGCACGATCTGTTACAAATCATCCATCATCACACCCAACCGACCCGACATCCGATTCCGCCATCCACCGTCAAGAGTATAATGTTTCAACTGCTGAATGGTTGCCAATATTTGCATGCCAACTGGGTTCTTCATCGAGATCTCAAACCTGCAAATATCATGGTGACATCTGGCGGCGAAGTAAAAATCGGAGATCTAGGTCTCGCTCGATTATTCAACAAACCTCTCCATTCGCTCTTCTCTGGTGACAAAGTCGTCGTCACCATCTGGTACCGAGCACCCGAGTTACTCCTCGGATCACGGCATTACACTCCCGCCATCGACATGTGGGCAGTAGGGTGCATCTTTGCAGAACTACTCAGCCTGAGACCTATTTTCAAAGGAGAGGAAGCCAAGATGGACTCGAAGAAGACTGTTCCATTCCAGCGAAATCAGATGCAGAAGATCGTGGACATTATGGGATTGCCAGCAAAAGAGAAGTGGCCGCATCTAGTGAACATGCCAGAATATTCTCAGTTGAGCACGCTTTCTGCTTCCACACATCCGAAGTCCGGTTCCAATTTGGAGAAGTGGTACTATAGCACAATCAATTCCCACTCCGCCACCAGTAATCCGTCATCAAACGCCTCGCTCGGAGCAGAAGGGTACAAGCTCCTGTCAGGCTTACTCGAGTACGATCCTGAACGACGTCTCACAGCACAACAAGCCCTGCAGCATCCCTTCTTCAGCACAGGCGACAAAGTGAGCAGCAACTGCTTTGAAGGCGTCAAAATGGAATATCCGCATCGGCGCGTCAGCCAGGATGATAATGATATCCGCACGAGCAGTCTTCCTGGTACCAAACGCAGTGGCTTGCCGGATGACAGCAGGCCGGTGAAGCGGCTGAAAGAGTGAAAGCACTGGCCAGATTCCGGCATGCACGGATTTATTCCCCGTCATGCTTTTTCTAACGGCCACATGCAGATGCAGATTTATCACCTAATCACTGCATATCGCACACTCACCGACGGAGAATGTGTTTCCCGGAGGCGAAAAGCAAATTGAAGCTCACCGCTTATGCTTGTGTCGAGATCGGGCGGTTGTGGCGTCTGTTGTGCGATGCCAAGAGTTTTATGCACCAGCCACAACACACAGCCACATCTCTTCTAGACTCCTGGCTTGGATGCGAACCATTGACGCTAGGCTGGACACCATGAAAGAGGAGGAACATTGGATAGCCTTAAAAAGTCTTGGATATGATGCTATTTATCCGCAATAAGGTTCATTCATAGCGGGACGAGAGGATGAGGGCACAGGAATGTGGGCGGTGGGCGCCCGTCGAGTCTTGACGTACCCCCTTCTTTCACCCAGTACAGCTAACGCCGAGCTTAAACCCGGTACGGAGATTGTAAATATCCCATTGTAGATAGACAAGGCAATTGAAAAGAGTAGTCAAGTTGTCTGTCCATAATACTGGAACTGTTCTCCCAAAAGTCTCAAAATCCTAGTATTCAGACCACAACCATACCCCAACCTCTCAAATGGCAACCTCAAACTACATTACCAAAGTAGCCATAGTTGGCGTGTGTCCTCTCTTCCCCAATCCCGTTAACCAACTAACAAACACAGGCTGCTGGCAACAGCGGCAAGTTCATGACTGAAGCCCTCCTCAAGACAGGGAAACACACCATCACAGCAATTACACGACTCGACAGCGAGAGCAAGTTCCCAGACGGTGTTATCGTCAAGAAAGTCGATTACGAGAAACCAGAGACTCTGGTCGAAGCTCTCATAGGGAACGAGGCGTTGGTCATTACCCTGAGTGGTTTCGTTCGAAAGGAAAGTCAGATGCAGTTGATCAATGCTGCTGGGGAAGCAGGTGAGAACGTCGACGTCCTAGAACTTCCAGAATATTCTCCCACCGAAATTGTTCAAAAATTACTCCAACAACACCAGGCGTACCATGGATCCTCCCAAACGAATGGTCCCCAGACACCGCCAACGAAGCCCTCGTCAAAGACGTCTTCCCCTTCCAATCAAAAGGCAATTCCTCAACCCCCTTCTTTCCACAAATCACAAACTAACATCCCAGCAGTAACAACCCGCAGAGCAACCTCAGACCTAGCCAAAAGTTCCTATATCGCAGTCTCAACCGGCTTCTGGTACGAATGGAGTCTCGCCATGGCCGCAGCGTTCGGAATCGATTTCGCCAATCGAGCCGTGACGTTCTTTGATGAGGGCGAGACTAAGATCTCGGTTTCGACTTGGCCACAGGTGCATTCCATCTCCTCTCACAGTATCCATAAGTAACCAACTAACATCGCAAGGTCGGTCGAGCAGTCGCCGCTCTACTCAGTTTGCCCGTCAAGTCTGACGAGACAGCCTGTCTTGAGAACTTCAAGAATAAAGTAGTGTATATCAATTCCTTCACCGTGAATCAGAGAGAGATGCTCGAGTCCGCTCTCCGGGTAACTGGGACCAAGAAGGAGGACTGGAGCGTCACGAAAGAACCTGCAAAGGAGAGATACGCGAGTGGTCTCGAGGAGATCAAGGAGGGAAAGCGAATTGGGTTTGCGAAGATGATGTATACGAGGGTCTTCTTCCCGGATGGATGTGGTGACTTTGAAAATGAGAAGGGGACGCTGAATGAGGTGCTTGGATTGCCGAAGGAAGATATTGATGAGGCGACTAAGGCTGCGATCGAGTGGTCCAAGAGCTCGAATTGGGTTGGTTGAACAGAAAGGATTCGCAGCATGTAATATTCAGAAAATCACAACTCCACCATCAAGACTGGAGAACACCATAGCTCGTGAAACTAGCGACGTTGCGTACTATTACAAAGTCTTACCAACGTACAATTACAATAGTCATATCCTCCAAGCCCTCGTTTTCTCCGCCATCTCCATTCCTCCCCAAGAACGCGCATTTTGGTATCAACCAAAAAGAAGAATGAAGAATGAAGCATCTGGTATCGCCGCCGCAAGCAAGCTAACAAAAAAAAGAGGCAACGCAAACTGAAAAATCAAAGAAGCAACGCTGCATGAGCATCATCAATTATACAAGCCAAGGCAAAGTTTCAGAAACCGAGGGAGAAGTGAGGAAAGTCGTGAATGTTTGGGTATGGGGAAACCAATCTGATCCGCTTTTGGTATATCTTGTGTATCCGTTCGCCGTGCCATTGTTGCCTTTCTAGTGTCGAATCGACGAAGGTGGTCATGAATCGTGTATGGTCCGAGGGAGATTCTACTTCTTGGCTTGAGCGGGAGGTGATTTGACGTTATTGGATAGCCACGCCTGGAATTTGTTAGCCCGAGGCAAATCAAGGGAAGAGGGGAACGTACTAAGCCTTCCAATAATCCTTCTCCTGTTGTCGCGCAACTCGGAACGACGTACCAGACCTTGTCTTTCAGGGTGGTGAGCTTGAGCTGGTCGGTAACTTCTTGTGGTTTCATTGCTAGAAATCATTAGCATCATGCATTCGGTGTGTACATATCTAGAAGAGCAATGGGGGGAACAAACCTCCAGCGATATCTTGCTTGTTCGCAAAGACAAGTAACAACGACTCCTTCATTTCTCGGTCATTGATGATTCGGTGGAGTTCTTGTCTTGCCTCTTCTATGCGGTCTCTATCCGAGGAATCGATGACGAAAATTAGACCTTGTGTACCTATTGACGACATGATTAGCACAATATACCCCTGGCATCTCAAGCACCTCCGCTGCTTTCCAGCTGCAGGGCATTTCAACCTGCTCCGAATACGGCAGACATGTAGTAAAACGTACCACTGAAGTAATGTCTCCAAAGCGGTCGAATCTTATCTTGTCCACCCACATCCCAGACATTGAACTTAACATTCTTGTATGTGACCGTCTCCACGTTGAATCCCACAGTAGGAATCGTCGTAACATCTTGGTTGAGCTTCAATTTGTACAGTATCGTCGTCTTTCCGGCAGCATCAAGTCCCAGCATCAACAAGCGCATTTCTTTCGATCCGAAGATCTTCCCCATCATCTTCGAGAGTTGACCTCCCATTGTGGCGGCGTACGATAGACTATGATGTTCGAAAGAGGCGAGGGGGGAGGAAGGAGGAGGGGTTGGTGGTAGAAGCTGTAGTAGATTTCGTCCTTGCTCTCGAGTCAGAGGTGGAGGCGCACGGAACCGGTTTCGCAGAGTTCGTTCAGTGTCTTTCTCTAATTGTCAATCTTGAGACTTGGTCTTGTCCTTTATTCGTGAGGTGAATGGAAGTGGTCGCGTGTGAAGTCTCTGATCTCCGTACAGAGTTGTTTCGTCGCAAGTTGATCAAAAGCGCAGGATTTTTGCCGGAAAGTTATGTGCGGTAGTGGCGCCGGGGATTTTAGAGATTGTCAGGGAGGTCTCTTGATCATAGACGCCAGGCAATTTGAAGATTGGGGCGTGGTGTGCTGTGTGTGCTGTGCTCTGGTGTGTGATTTGGTGTGATGTTCATTAAATCGCGATTGTTTCATTCAGGGGTTGGAACGCGTTTAAACTTCCGGCAGCGCGCCTAGCTCTACACGTGATTCTCAGGGGCATTTCTGGATTCCAAAAATTGTCCCCGAAATTGTTTTGAGGGAGTCAAAGGTGCTGCATTATCATTGGGTGGATATAGAGAACTTACGGGACATTGGATGGCTTTTGCATTTTTGGATGTGGCACTCAATCATATCCTCAAGTACGCCAATGTCAAGGTGCTATTGGCTTTAACCAGGGACATTCAAGTAACAAGTGCTCAAGTTATTTCAGATTTGCTACCAACTTTAGATGACTGCAGCCCGGCCCGGGTATCAAATACAGTACACATAATATACATCCAGATTTCGCCCAACCCCTACGGTCAGGGTCGACCATGCTTGAGACGCCACACCGTAATGCAGAGTGCTAATTCGCCGCCAACCATCTCGATCCTAACCTTTATGATCCAATACCAAACGTCGTGTAACAACCTTGAGTTCGCCAGCAGCTTCATCTTCGAATAATAGCTGGACATTGGCACCTCCATCTAGCATGGCCTTGACCTCGGCACGGTAGAAGGTTGTGGTATCAGGATACAGCGCCAGAACCCGCTTGCCAATCTCATAGTCTTCCAATGGTGCGCCTTCAGGAGGGATAGGGACCATTTGAGAAGCAGATGACTTGTAAATCACCGGACCAGAGCTAGCATTCGTATCTGGAAACGGGTCTTCGACATCGTATCGTCTGCTTTTGCCCTCTCCAATCACTCTGACAACCTTGCCTAGAATCCAATCTTGTTCTTCAGGCTTGCCTGGAGTCTTCCTCTTGAAGGCAACTTCTTCATTCTGAGCATAAACTATCTTGGGTTTGCTGGTTCTCTCGCTCGCTTCTGATGGCGTCCCCTCAGGCCTACTTGGAGGTTGGCTGCCTGTTCTCGAGGTACCAAGCTTCTTGATTTGTCGATTATCAGCCGGCGACGGCATAGGTGAGTCAGATGGCCCATCAAAATCCATGCCAGAGGTGCGGGAACTGGAAGCACGAGCAGACTCTTTTGCAGCAGCTTGTTCCGTCCTCGTCAAATCAGCCATAAGTGTGAGCTGAGATCTCATGCCTTCGTCCAACTTGGATCGTTGCTCCTCACTAAGTTTGACTTGCTCACGATACAGTGCACTTAAGTCATCTATGTCTTTCAATGAATTACCTAGACGGTATGTTAGCATACTTGTGATTGAAGCATCTCTGGACTTCATTTCACCTGCACCCGATTCCTTGTTCAGCTTCATACGAGCCTCCATTTCAATAATCTTCTCCCCCAACTGCTTCGCTCTCGATTCGTTCTCCATCAGAGGTGCAAAGGTGTTTCTGTAGAAATCGGTCCATAGTGCTTGTGGGGAGAATATGTCGTGAGAACCGCCACGAGCATTGCTTCTGCCGGGGCGGCTTCTTTGAGAAGACATTGTAGTTCGGGATGTGGGTGCTGCAGCAAGTGGCCCACTATTGCTTTCGGTAGTCTGTGGGCGGTTGACTCTGAGAATGATTCGTGCTCTCCTTGCTTGAACTGGATTCGTAGCTGTAGCTAATGAACTCCCCGCAACCGGGCCTGATCCGCTGGTCTCCAAGCTCACGCTTTCACTTGTCGAAGTTGTAACTGCTACTCGAGTGTTTGCGGAAGTCGTTGCTCGGATTGCAAGATCTGCAACGTTCAGAAGCAACTTCGCGGATGGAGGATGGTTTGATTGAGAGACTGTAGATCTCGATCCTGAAGCCGAATTCCTTAGGTACGACCGACCACTCGCAGATACACCTGCTGGCAGATGATCCCCTCCTTTGAGGACCTTTCGATAGCTGTCTTCAGCCTTACCAGGCTTCAATTTCTGTGGTAGGTCCAACATGTTAGCAGATGTCACCAAACCTGCTGCGTAGTGCCGTTATCCTAGGAGATATACTATGGGCGGGCTTACTTCGGATGCAATATGCGACTTCTAGATTGCGATTGTCTAGACTAGAGCCTAGCCGAAAGTTGTCTTGATAGATGATGTTGAAGTATGAAAGAGTGAAGGGAATGGTTGTCTGAGGAGGTTGGAGGCGGCGGATTTTCAGCCTTGCAGCCCGATTGTGCATGGACCTGAACATTGAATTTCTAGCGCGGGGTCGAGATTGAGTGACGTTGTCCCACCGCCCAACTTTCTTTTCCACCTAGGTACTCTTTCAAAGTAAACAATCCTTTCTACAGAAGAAGATTCACCTACATCCACCGTCACAATGCAAATTCCATTGATGAGGCTCCAATGTGGAGTCAACAGCTACGACTGGGGAAAGGTTGGCAAGGATTCGGCAGCTGCCAAATTCGCTGCTGCAACCCCTGCTGATGATTTCTCGATCCAAGAAGACAAGCCATACGCAGAGGTATTCTTGACTTGAGTACTATATCAACTCGTACTCACGACCTCTAGTTGTGGATGGGAACGCATCCCTCGAATCCCTCCAAAGATGTCACCACGAAACGTACCCTGCTGGACCTCGTCCAAGACAACCAAGCCCTCCTCTCCACAGAAATCGGCGAGAAGTTTGGTCACAAGTTGCCTTTCTTATTCAAAGTCTTATCAATTGGCAAGGCTCTTAGCATCCAAGCACACCCCAACAAGAAGCTGGCGGAAAAGCTACATGCAAAGGACAGCAAGAATTATCCAGACGACAATCACAAGCCAGAGATGACAATTGCGATTACTCCTTTCGACGGACTTTGTGGCTTCCGACCTTTGGCAGAGATATCACATTTCCTGTCCACTGTACCGTCACTGAAAAAGTTGGTGGGCGAAGGAGAATCAGATGCATTTATTTCAGCAGTGAAAGGGCATGATACTTCAGACAAGGAAGAGGATGAAACAGCGAACAAGAAGGCGCTGCAGCAAGCTTTTGCTGGTCTGATGAACTCTAAGAAGGAAGATGTTCAATCGGCGAGTAAAGAGTTGGTAGCCTCTGCCGAAAAAGAAGGACCAGAATTTGCAGGAGGTGGTGTATCTGCTACGCCTGGAAAAGAGCTGGCAGATTTGGTCGTCCGATTAAACAAGCAATTCCCTGAAGATATCGGATTGTTCGTTTTCTTCTTTCTCAACTACGTCAAGCTCGAGGTCGGCGAGGCTATGTTCTTGAAGGCAGACGATATCCATGCATACCTCAGCGGAGATATCATCGAGTGTATGGCGGCTTCAGACAATGTGGTACGAGCTGGATTCACACCAAAGTTCAAGGATGTGGATACGTTGGTGGACATGCTCACATACTCGTACGCCCCGATCGAGGAACAGAAAATGGATCCTGTCGATTACCCGTACGTGGCACTGAATGCAACTGCCTACTCGTCTGCCTCTTCAGCGACATTATACGACCCTCCTATTGAAGAGTTCAGCGTGGTCAAGACGGATCTCAAGAAGAAGGGTGCGAAGGCCACATTCGAGCAAATCGCTGGACCAAGTATCTTCATCTGCACGTCAGGTAGTGGCAAGATCAGCGTTGGGCCAAAAGTGGAAGAAGTGAAAGCTGGATATGTTTACTTTGTTGGTGCGACGGCTGAGGTTGTGCTTGAAAGTGAGAGTGAAGATTTCACCACTTTCAAGGCATTTTGCGAGTTGCAAGGAAAGGAAGATGGAAAGGAGAAGTTATGAAAGAACACATACCAGAAATGCATAGCATGCAGCATGAAGTTATCAGGGTCCTTTTCATTTGCAGTAGCGGCAATGTTGAGTCTCTCTCGCAAGATCTCTCCGCCTCTCGGTTCTTTGGTGGCCTCTGACTGCTGACATCCTTACTACCCTACCAATTCCTCTCTATCCTCATGAGCTTGAGTTTGATATCCAGGAGCACTTGTTCCGGAAAAGCCCCAATCACGTGGCGGAGTGTGATTTCAAAATCTTTCCGGGACTTCATTCCTGTAACAGCCTCTCAAGTCCCAACTTTCATGTCCGACAATCGTATTGCAGTTCCAGCAGCATCTTCTTCTCTATTTCTTGACACAATATATGAATCTCCTCTCGCCCGACATCGAAGATAGTTGTAAATTTTATGTTTCACTGCCCCGCCTCAGATGAAACTAAACATCTCTTCCAGTAGCTGAACCCGGCACATCTGCTGATATCCAGTGATATGAACAGCACCATCACCGAAGAGGCAGCTTTACCCCGAATCCCCTCCCTCAAAATTCTAGCTGCCGCCCAAGAAGTGTTCGCAGCGCGTGCTTCTGGGCCTTTTCTAGACCGCACTAGAATGCATTAGTCAAATCTTCTTCAAATGTCACCTATCCAGTGCATCCCACTGCATCCCAGTGTGCCGGGTATCTTTCTCGTTGGGTGAGATTTCTCAGTTTCTGGTTTCTGGGCCGAGGATACTGCTATCACATCCCCTGCAGCAAATCATCATCACGAATGGAAACGCAGGGAATCCGGGCACTCCAATGGCCATGCCCAGTTTAGCGTTCGCAGTCCTTATCGCGAGGCTGACCGGGGCCAGAGCTGCAATCTGCAATCACTGACACCAAAGAAAGCCACTGCACCGAAGCTGGCGATTCTCGTAGAGGATAAGTACTTCGGCCATGCCGTGGCGGATCAAAATGTTGTCGCTTTCTACCTTGCTCCAGTCTTGGCTTATTTTGACATCTTTGAAGCTGTAGAATACTCAGCACATCATGGCAGAGCCTGAACATGGACTCGCGAGACACGGTTCGACGGTGGAGGAGCGGGATGAGGAGTTGTTGGCCGAGTTGGGATACAAGCAGGAGTTGCGCCGTGATTGGGGTTTGATGCACAATTTTGGCATCTCATTCTCGATTATCGTATGTTTCTTCGCCATTCATCCATTCTTCAGCTACTAACATGCTTCGCAGTCCGTCATTACGGGTATCACGACTCTCTTCCAATATGGTCTCATTACTGGAGGTCCAGGAGGTAGGTCTTGCGCCGGGAGTGCAGCAACAATGAGCTGATAAGAAAAAGTCATGAGTGTAGGATGGATTGTTGTATCGTTCTTCACTTTGATTGTTGCATTGGGAATGGCTGAAATTGTCTCGGCGATTCCCACTGCTGGAGGGCCATATTATTGGGCTGCTATTCTGGCACCTCCTAAGCACTCTGCTTATGCTTCATGGATTACTGGCTGGTAAGCTATTGATACTATTCTTTTTGAGCAATTGCTAATGAAGTAGGTTTAACTTCCTCGGTCAGGTCGCCGTTACAACCGGTATTTCCTTCGGTCTCGCAGGACTCATCTCCACAACCGCGACAGTCAAATCCTCCTATGTACCGACAGCAGGAAGGACAATTGGCATCTACGCTGCGATTCTCATCTCCCATGGCACAGTCAATACATTCGGTGTACATATCCTTAGATACCTCAACAACACATCCATTGCTCTTCACTCCCTAGGAGTAACTGCAATCGCTATCGCCGTTCTTGCCAAAGCTCCTACTCATCAATCTGCAAAGTTTGTTTTTGCGAGCTTCTATGATGGAACCGGAGATCCAGGCTGGAGTGTTCGTGCTTCGCCAGCATACCTGGCTGTTTGTGGATGCTTGATGAGCCAGTATACACTTACCGGCTTCGATGCATCAGCTCACTTGTCCGAAGAAACTCGGAAAGCTTCCTGGTCTGCCCCAATTGGCGTGATATCATCGGTTGGCTTCAGCGCTGTCTTTGGCTTCTTCGTCCTTATCAGCTTCTTGTTTTCGATTCAGAACTTCGACAACACTGTTGGCAGCTCGTACGAGCAACCAGTCCTTCAGATTTTCGTTGACGTCTTTGGTGATGATGGCGCGGTGGTGTTGATGTGCTTGATCATGATTTGTGTCTGGCACTGTGGTCTTTTCTCCATGACCAGTAACTCCAGAATGATGTTTGCGTTTTCTCGAGATGGTGGAATTGTGAGCTCCTTTGCTCTCTTTTCCTTTGATTAATGCTAATATTCCAATAGCCACACTTCTTCCACAAAGTCGATGACAGGTTTCGCTCCCCAATTAGAACGGTATGGCTTGCTGCTTTCCTCGCATTCTGCCTCGCCCTTCCCTCCCTCGGCAGTTCCGTCGCTTTCGCAGCTGCTACTTCAATTGCTACAATTGGATTGTATATCTCCTACGGCATCCCCATCCTCATCGGCTTGATCTATGCGTCCGATTTCAATGCCCGAAAAGGCCCATTTAACTTGCGAATGCTCTCGAGACCAGTGGCCTTCATCGGAGTGGGCTGGATTGCATTCATCACGATCATCTTCTGTCTCCCAACCACGAATCCCGGTAAGTCCCGCGCCTCTCCTCCAAGCTCAATTGTCCAGATGACTAACGCTCGCTCTCACAGTTACCAGTCAAACGTTGAACTACACTGTTGTGGCTGTGGGCATTATTGCTGTCTTCTCGAATGCAGTCTGGCTTTTGTCTGCGAGGAAATGGTTTGTGGGGCCAAGAAGAGAAGTTGAGGAGGTGGAAGCACTTGGAGGTGGAGTAGATTTGATGGAGCCGGGAGCTTTGGAGAGGGCAGAAGAAAAGATGAATGGAAAGAAGGAGTAGTATTGGGTCTTCTCTGTAAACTATGACGTTGGAGAGTGTGTATAGTCAGCGAGAAATAGATACCCGAACGAAAGACACTTGATAGAATGCAACATTTCTACACTATTCGAGAAGTACTGCTGGTGGTATACGGTCTACATGATATAAGGATTGCCACATACAATAGTCGGTAGATCCTGTGACTGGAGTCTGCACTAGTCTCTATGAACATCCGGATCAAGGCTCTATTCACAATACAAAGTGTCCAACAACCTTTCGCCCACCGTTTAGATTTTTGTGATTTATCCCCAGATCTCCCCATAAATGCCATACATGCAGAAATTATATGCCGCCAACTCCGAACTCCAATTGTAGCCGTCATGGTCGTGAATCATGACTTTTGGTCATTCCTAGGCGCTGCTGTATAGATTGTCCCAGGCTCGAAATGCTCGAAAACGTTCGTATTTGAAGGTATTATGCTCATGATCCCTCATTCATCTGTAGCATATGTCCCATTTTCTCGATCTGCAGGAAGTTAGCACATAAACATCAAACAGGTGTACAAAACTGACCTTAGTCTTCAGATACCCACCAACTTCTTGACTTCTTATTCCGCCCTTAGCACCTCTCCAAGCAAGAGGAATCATGGCCACTCTTTCCTTTACCACAATCTCCCTATTTGGCCCCTCGACAGCTCGAACCTTATCCGGATTGTTCGTCAGAAGTCTGATATCCTGCAAGCCTAAATCTGCCAACATTGCAGTAGCAAGTCCATAACTCCGCGCATCTGCAGGGTGCCGTAACAGCAAATTCGCCTCGACAGTATCATTCCCAAGATCTTGTAGATTGTATGCTTTCAACTTCTCTCCCAACCCAATTCCTCTACCCTCTTGCCGCAGATAAATTATGACACCGCCTCCAGATCCCGGTAACGACATGAGCCGTGCTGCTTCGTCTAGTTGTTCCCCGCAATCGCACCGAGCTGACCAAACAGTTTCTCCTGTATAGCACTCTGAGTGTATTCTCACCAATGGTGGATCATTTCTCTCTGCTGCCCTCGCTCCATTTCCATTCGCAGAGTCTGCTTTTGAACTCGTTCGTCCTGGATACAATCGCCCAGTGTAAGCACCTCTAATTAACCTGTCCATCTCCGTCTCCCCTTCCCTCACTCTATCCAAACTCTTCGACCGAATGGTATTTCCAAATACAATAGCCAAATGCTCCTTATTATCCTCACTATTCTGGTAAAGATGCAAGAACATCTCTGTCCCACTCCCTCCGATCGTGGTAGGTATCCGTGCTCGTACAACGCAGTTCACGTCTGGTAATTGTGGGAGAAGCTGTGGCTTCTTGGTCCCACATCCGCCGGAGGGTATGCTGCTATCTACCGGTACAGACCGTGGGATGTGCTGATGCGGATGTGAGGGAGTTTGAGTGCCATTTCCTGGGGTAGAGGGAGGTGTGAACTGTGGGGATACGAGACCTGGCAGTTCATGGTCGGACTCGAGGGGGGATTGAAGAGAGGATTCGTGATCGGAGTCATGGTCTGCGTGAGAGTTCGAGGAACGAGGATCTTGTCCAAATGCTGGGTGTGTTATGTGTAGGGAATTCAGGTCGAGTTCTGATATTGCGCGAGAGACGGGAATAGGACGTGGAGAGTAGAAGGGAGGGAGTTGCGGAACGACATCGTCGTCTTCGGGAGGATACCACGCGGGGTTAGAAGGGGCGGCGTTTTCGAGGTTTGGCATTTTCGAGCAAGTTGAGGATGGTCGTGTGCTAGGAGCAAATCGGAGTTTGGAACAGCGACATGTGAGAGGAAGAGAAATGTTCGAGAGTTTGGTGAACTTTGGTTATGGTTGTGATGTGGGGAAGTGAAGGTGGGATATTTCACAATTATTGAGATCCGAGGTCGCTTCTAATCATTGGTAAATCTTCATAATCCGAAAACAACCTCCACCCGATTGTTTTCTTTCGCAAGAAAAGGTCATATAAGCGCGAAGATGTCTCAATTGATATCAATACTTTCTTTTCCCTTCCTTTCGCTGTCCGAAATGATTACCTTGCAGCTGACTGCGCGTGAGAAGGATCGTCATCACGTGAAATGGACATTTGTCAGCGTCTTCCGAAATATTTCCTCGTCATGTCCGAGGATTTCGGGTCGATACTTGCATCCGTTCCGAGATACTATTGAGACTCCTGTTACCTTGTGTGTATGTTAGCTGTTATGAATAGGTGAAATCAGAAGAGATAACCGTTTGACATTGGCACTTGTTGAAGTTCAAGCGAAAGTCGGACAAGGTCTTCCACTCCTTCCTGCATTCCAGTCTGAGCTATCTTTCTTTACTCAGAAGCACCTTTGCTTCTGTGGAACAAATTTTAGTTGCAGCTTCGCCGTTGACAAGTCCTAGGACTGACTTTGTCGTTGAAATGGTGTGAATGTGCTAGCTTGTCCAACCTTCTTGTACTTTAACTTACGTCAAACGACTTCACGGCAAATTCACACATGATTCACTCTGAACGATGTTCCATCTGCGCGCGAAGATTTTCCTCACCATTTACTCTAGGGTATTGTCTTCTTATTCATTTCAAAGATTTTGCCACTCGTCTATAGTACTATCCTTTTCATGCTCACCGTGGCTGCATCAAGTGTTTTGTAAGCCATTTTTGTACTTCCAAGCTAGGGACTTTTCGTCCGGGAAGGAAGCTTCGGCGTTAAGAGAATATCTCGGCACCTGTGCTATCATTGGTCAATTCTCCTACAACATGACGTTTAGACAAATATCCAGCAAAGTTCTTCATCTGCCTTTCAACTTTCAACCTCCCGACCGTTATTGCCGGGAATTTGAACTGTCTCAAGTGGCAATTGGTCTGGTCTGCGGAAACTATCACCTACCTGTGACATGGACCCTGAATTCTAGAATACTGACGTGTGAGCTGTACCCTAGATGCGAGACACATATAAAGGAGCCAATGTTGCTCAACTACAGACTCATACAATTTCACCCCTCTATACAAAATGGCGCCTGAAAGATACAACTCCGATAGTTCTGACGCTTCCCCCTTGGGAAAGCCTCTCAAATTTGAATTCTCCGGCAAAACTGCCAAGAATCGCTTTCTGAAAGCTGCCATGACGGAACGCATATCATCCTGGGATCCCAAAGACCCCAAAGCTCGAGGCATTCCATCCAAGAACCTCATTAACGTGTACAAGCGCTGGGGAGAGGGAGGCTATGGTCAAATCCTGACCGGGAATGTCATGATTGACTACGATCAGTTGGAAGCCATGGGGAATCCTATCATTCCTCCCGATGCGGAATTTTCTGGGCCCCGCTTTGATGCATTCAAAGAACTTGCAAGTCAAGCGAAGGCGCATGGAAGTTTGATTGTTGGGCAAGTCAGCCACCCGGGTCGACAGTGCGAGAGCAGATTACAGAAAACACCAATTTCTGCTTCTGACATACAACTAGAAGGTAGGCAAATCATTGCCCACTCTTGACAGTTTCATACTAAGTCTCTTCAGGTGAAGTGATGGGCATGACATTCGCCAAACCTCATGCAGCATCACAAGAAGAAATCCATGCGGTCATTAAAGGCTTCGCCCATGCGGCCGAATTCCTCGAGAAAGCTGGATATGATGGCATCGAGCTGCATGGAGCTCACGGATACCTCCTTGCACAATTTCTCTCTCAATCTACCAATAAGAGAACGGACAAATATGGCGGGTCACTGGAAAACCGTCTTCGATTGATCCTCGAGATCACAGATGCTGTGCGAAAGCGTGTGTCCAGCAGCTTCATTGTTGGCATCAAGATCAATTCTGTGGAGTTCCAGGAAAAGGGCTTCTCTCCCGAAGAAGCACGCGACTTGTGCCAAGCCCTCGAGAAGGCAAAGTTCGACTACGTTGAGCTTTCAGGTGGCACGTATGAAAGCTTGGCTTTTGGACACAAGCGAGAAAGTACGAAGAGGCGAGAATCTTTCTTCATCGAATTTGCAGAGGAGATTGTGAAGCCTCTAACCAAGACCAAAGCCTACGTAACTGGCGGGCTGAAGACAGTCGGGGCAATGGTGAAGACATTGGAGACTGTCGACGGCGTTGGGATTGCGAGACCTGCTTGTCAAGAACCCCATCTACCAAAGGATATCCTCGAAGGAAAAGTCACAGCGGCTATCCATCTCAAACTCGACGAGAACAACTTTGGTCTGACAAATGTAGCGGCTGGCACGCAGATCAGACAAATAGGCAAGGATCAAGAGCCCATCGACCTCAGCGATCAGAAGAATATCGATAGCTTCATGAAAGATATGGAGTCTTGGGGTCAGAAGATGGGAAGTGACAAGGAGATGAAGGAGTATGGCTACATTGATTTGAGCCAGGCAGCAAAGCCTTATGGTACAGTATCAGCATAGATGATTTAGAGTAAACACTAGCTAGAGTATAAATCTAGACTACTTTTGATCGCTATATCAATGTTTGGAATCTTGAGTGTTTCATTTTACTGCCGCCGTTGACGTACTATCACGTCCAATTCAAAACTAACCAAAGTTCGAGAATGGTTTCGAGAGGGGCCTTTTCGTGTCTATCAGAAAGGCCAATATTTGGTATCGAATATCTTAAAGTTATCTAGGTATGCACGAACATTCAAAGCAGATTCGTCATACTGCCCAGGTAAGACAAGAGACACGTGATTCTCGCTTACCTCCTTTTCTTTTTGAAGCTCCGACTGTCGATTAGCGGTGACGACAGCTGGATCTTGCTATTCTTGCGCTTTTGGTTGTCGGAAAAATGAATAGGACATGGAACCCCAGTTTTCAAGATGAGAAAGAAGTTCAGGACATGAATTCTATTGATGTACAACGAAGAGAACAAACTCTCCAACTACCATCTCAAGAATGCCTTCCGTTCAGATCTCTGAACTCACCTCTCAAGCTCTCGATTCCGTTGGATCTCACCCCCTTCACCAATTCAGCCACTTTTGGCGCAATCAAATTCTCGTCAAATCTAAAGTATCGGTATGCATCCTTTCCTGGTAAGGAGTGTCCAAATGAATGCATCGAGTATCCTGCATCGGCGTACCTCTCCCATCCTTGAGCAGCATATGCCTCAACCACTACTCGAGGCGCATTGCTCCTATATTGCAACACTTCACGTTTGTACTCAATCGGCTGTTGGTCAAACAGTCTTTGGCATGGGAAGCTGACAACGCGAGCCTTCAATCCAAATTTATCTTCAAGAAGCTGGGCAGTCTTGACAGCAAAGACCATTTCAGCCCCAACGCCAATAAGGGTCACATCTGCGTTGGCCTTCTCCATGAGGACATACGCGCCCTGTTGTACGCCATCACGAGACGAGTGTTGCGGATATTGTTCCAAATCTTGTCTCGACAAGGAGATCATGCTCGGTGTATCAGTAGCCTTCATTGCAGCAATGTATGCACCAGCTGTCTCTTCGCCGTCGGCGGGTCGGATATATAAGAGGTTTGGCATAGCACGATATAGAGCTGCCAGTTCGATAGGTTGATGTGTGGGGCCATCTTCGCCGGTGCCAATCGAGTCATGGGTTGCAATGTGGATCTGCTGCAGACGTTGCAAGGCGCCCATTCGGATACCTGGCGCGGCGTATGTGTAAAACATGAAGAATGATGATGTGACCGGGATAATGGTGCCTTTGTTGAAAGCTGCCAAACCGTTAGATATTGATGCCATTGCATGTTCCCGGACGCCCCAATGGATGTACCGTCCGGAGTAATCGCCATGGATCCCACAAGAAGTGCGCCGGTCTGGGTGCTGGAAGTCGATCTTGCCTTTCCAGATCATGTTCACGGAAGGTGAGAGATCGGCTGTGCCCACCATGAAATTCTTGATGTTCTGGGCCAGAGGATTACAGACCAATCCTGATGATTTTCTTGAGGCTATTGGGCTTGTAGGAAGATCACTCTTGGCAGGGATGAATTTCGTCCAATCATCTGTACACTTTCCAGCTACTCGCAGAGAAAATTCTTTGTGAAGTTCTGGGTAAGTTTGTGCATATGAATCCACCAAATTGTTCCATTCGGCCTCAAGTTGCCTGCCTCGAGGTTTGGCTTCCCGGAAAAAGTCGTAGACCTCGTCGGACACTTGGAAGTGCTTTGTCTCATCCATACCGAACTTTCGCTTGATGCTGGCAACATCTTCAGCACCAAACGCGGCTCCGTGTGCTTTAGCATCGCCTGCAGACTTGCTTCCGATTCCAATTACGGTCCGGATATTGACCAAAGTTGGCTTGTCTTTGCTATTCCTTGCGGAAACAAGTGCTCGGACGATGCCCTCGATGTCATGATTGCCGTTCGGGACATTTATTACATTCCATCCGCAAGCCAACATTTTCGCGTTGATGTCTTCATTGTTGCATAGATCAACGGATCCGTCGCAAGTGATTTGGTTATTGTCGTAGATCATGACCAGGTTATTGAGTTTCCAATGCCCAGCAAGTGAAATGGCCTCGAGAGCAACACCCTCCTGTAGACACGCATCTCCAATCATACACCAGGTGATGTTGTTCACGACTGGATATTCCGGCCTATTGTATGTAGCTGCCAAGTGCTTTGTAGCCATAGCCAGCCCAACGGCATTCGCAACACCTTGACCTAAAGGCCCCGTAGTCAACTCAATCCCAGGATGTTCGATTTCGGGATGCCCGGGGCAGAAAGAGTCTGTTCGCGAGGAGTGGTAGGTTTTTAGTTGTTCGAAAGTCATATGTTCATATCCAACAAGGTGGAGAAATGTGTACTGGAAGAGACAAGTGTGGCCTTTTGATGATGATTAGCACCCGCGGTATCTGCATGTTTATCGACATTTATCCTTCTGGAAAGAGAAAGAAAGAAGAGGGCAAAACTCACCATTTGAGAGCACAAACCGGTCTCGGTTAAAAAAGTCAGGATTTGTTGGTGAGTACTTCATCATGTACTTCCATAAAGCAATGCCTGTCTCAACGTCAGCAACGTAGGACTTGTAAATTGTAATGCAGATGTCGGATATTGGGTGTTCCAAGAGCTGCCTGTATTTGAAGCTCCGCTTCCAGCCCCCAAGGGAAGCTCCACCTCGATACGAAAACATCAATTTTGGGAGGGAGTTGGTGTACCGATAGCTGCCATACCCATGGCACTTCCTGGGTGTCCACCCCTGAATTGTTCGCAAAGATCCGCAATGAGACATCTGAAAGTCTTCAAAACGCGATCATTCAACTCGGTACCTTCAAACTTGAAGTTTTGAAAGGCAGGATCAGAAACGCCATATGTGCATCAAGACTGGGCATGTCCAAGGGCGCATCTCGCTAAGGTGGCTATAATTGCCAAAAAGGGGTTGTTCGCGACGACGCCCCATGAGCGAAAAGTTTATCTCCACAATGTTGATGAGAGACGGCAGAGGATGTAAAAATAAATGTAGCATTAATTTCACTGTCTTGGTAACAGCGCAGGGTGTAACTATAGAGGCTACCCTGAAGGCTTGGTCAAGATGACATACACCGCTTCAAGACAAATTCAATTGCGCAAATAGTCATTCTAATATTTATACTGGAAGGCTTTGCTACCCTCCTCCAATTATTTGCTCAACGAATCGAAATAAACCTGCATTCTTGACATCAATCATCAAAGTAAAAATGCAAGAACAATAGCATAGACTGAAAGCATTGCGTTGGGCAATATGAGTTGAGTTCGTAGCCGCTAGGCTTTAGCTTGTGATATTTGGCTCCATTACAAAGACAAGAATTTCGAGGGAACAGATTGTGGGAGAAAGGAGCATGTTCACGAGATATCGTTGGCAAATGGCGGCAAATCACATTTTCAAGTCAAGGAAGAATGAAGGCAGATGCTTGATCCATGATTGCTGCTACCCAGAGTGTCGTCTTCCAATTCCCTCCATACCAAGACCTTATCCAGCCGCAGAATTGAGACTGTTTCACAGCATCCAGTTGATCAATGTTCTCCATCTCCCAAGGCAGCCCTCCACCAACAAACGAATTCATCACAATGTAGTATGTAGAGTTCGAGGAGGTATTGTTTGCAGAGTAGATGTGGTGTGAAGGCTTGCAGCGTTCGAGAAGGTGTCGTTTGCAGAGCTGATGTGATATGATGGCTTGCAAGCTTCGAGGAGGTGTTGTTTGCAGAGTAGATGTAGTAGCAATGCAGAGTTCGAGGCGATAGATCTCGTAGAGTGGAGGTAGAAGGTATGCCAGAGCTCGATGAGGCACGCAGACTCGATGCATGATTCGAGTCGTGTTTGTTTGTAGCATCCACAATCGCATGTGTTGGAGGTTTGTTTGTGGGATTGTCGAATGAGAGTTGATCGGAGAGGTTTCGAATGAACTGCTACTTGGCAAAGACGGGGTTTCGTGGACATGATTTTTTTGATGTCTCGGGGATCAAACTGCTTCGGGTTAGTAAGGAAAGCAAGCAAGCAATAGCAATGATGGAACACCAGTGGGTGTCAGGATTCGTTGCGGACCGCTTATCTAAGCGAAAACACCAAAATCGCGCATCGCGATTAATTGTAAACAACACCTTAATAACTCACCATGGCACCAAACACACGCGCAGAAGACCGTTTCACACCTCCCCCGGGGCCTCAGAAAGGCTATCCAGCTACTACACGAAAAAGGATGCGCTTTTTTGACGCATACGACCGCGATCATTCCACGAAGCCGGTCAGTCAGATTTGCCTTGATGAAGAAGTTAGAGAGAGTACTGGTAGATATTGGCTAAGGTAGAGAAGGAATTTAGGCTATCTAGCGATGCGCAGGACACGGAAGTTATCTGATAGGCTTGGAATAAAGTCAAAGGTCACTAAATCTATGTGCAAAATGCTTGTAGATTCGAAGCAAAATCCAGTCCGAGATTAGCTCTACGAAGCTTAGATACAATTCCATAATATACCTGTTTAGAAGCGCCAATTACAACGGAAATTAAAAGAGCATACGCGGAACGCTCGCAGGTATAAAATGGCTTTCGTTAAGAAGAAAGTTTTAGCCAAAAACAAAGAGAAGCGCGTAGTATACGGTGCTAAGCATAAGGACGATATAATCGACGATTATTAGAGTTATATTTGCTTTACGAACGAGGCATATGTTGATCCTAAGTCGCAGTGTGTAGGAGAGATCTTGCGAGAAGAAGGGCACCGGTATGACGACGAGAATATTATGGAAAGGGAGGAAAGACAAGGTATAGCTTTTTATGTCGCTGCTTGGATCTCTTAGCATAGTAAAGCAGAGAAATTAGAGTTCTATAACGACGAAGAAGACACTACCGAGCGCCCTCCTATGCCTTCTAAGCCACGCCGCTGCCCGACGACCGAATCCGAAGCTGAATATCAAGAGAGATTGAAAAAATAGGAGGCTTTGAAGCCACATACGGTTGAGAAGAAGGTTTCTGGCAATTATATGACTTAAAAGTATTATACGGAGCGTCTATTGCCTATTTATATTAATGCTATTCAAATTTAGCGCGCCTATAACTCTAGTTCTTGGTATCTTCAAGAGGATAGGGACCCTTTTTATAGCATGCGCAAAGCAGGTATTGCGCAAGCACTTAAGGACTAGAATTATATCGTTAATATTAAGCACCCCGCATAGAGCCCTGATTTAAATCCTATTAAAGGCATTTGGAACATTATTAAGCAACGTTTGCGCCGGAGGGTGTTTTATACAGACGAGGAGATCAAGGCAGCTTTACAGGAGGAATGGGACAAAATAACCTTAGAAGAGATCCGTAAACGCATCCGTACGATGCCTGGGAGATGTAAGCGCCTTACAGAAAACGGTGGAAAGGCTATCAAGACTGCATTATGGTAATGCGCTGTAAAATAATGAATTTTGATGACCTGGTGCCCCTTTTTGTTTTCGCTTAGATAAGCGGTCCACAACGAATCCTGACACCCACTGGTGGAAGGCCGGATGTGCTTACCAAATTCTGACAAGGTTTCGGGAATTGCGCCACACTGCAAACTCTTTCCAGACGACACTCCAACATAGAAAAACATTCTAACATCTAAACAATACTCTAACATCTATCCTTCGGGTTAGTTATGGGTTGCGACATAAGCAACAGGTACTTACGACCAATGAAATTCTCGCATCTGCTGTCCAAAAGCACAAAACAGCCGCCACCACGCAAACTTAACATACAGAGAACAAGACCCTAGATCTTGTCCTCACCGTGAGATCGAGGCTACCTCGAAATCACTCCTCATAAGGAGGACGTGGTGGTGCATCGGCACCACCATTTCCTCCCGGTCCGGATCGACGCGGAGGCTCGCCATAGTCGAGGTCGTCACGAGAACGACGAGATTCATCGGAATCTCGACGACGACGAGGGGGGGGACGACTATGACTGGGATTGCCCCTTGGTCCCAGAGGCGTGGCGTTGGTGCTGCTCTTCGAGCGGTCAACCAAAACATACGGGGGGCGTGGATGACTGCTCCTCGAGCGGTCATCCGAGCGGCGAGGGGGAGAGGGAGTTTCGTTGGGAGGCTGGATTTTCAGACGCTTCGCGTCTTCGACTTGTCCAACTATGACATCCCATAGGAATGGCCGCAAGTTGGGGTCGATGCGCCTCCAGAGACGACGATTTTCGAGATTCTCGAGGTTCTCAGGCCGCAAATGGTCGGATACAGGTGCTCCATTTCTCGACTGAGCTTGCCTCTTGACATTTCTGTCAGAATCATCATCTTGTCGGTCCCGCTTGCGACCTCGTGGCTCGAGACGCGAAGGATCTGCATCATAGAATGGAGGATCCTCACGCCTATCACCATTGAACCAATTGCGAGGAGGTCCTTGAGAGGCATACCGAGAACGAGACTGATGGTTGACATTGTCAGCCTTCGGCATGAACGGGTTGGCCTTGCCAGCCTTGTTCACTCCTCTGGTGACCTTTTCAGCCTTTGGCACGAATGGGTTGACCATCTTTGTTAGCTCCGGCGCCGTCTCACCCGTTTCGGACAAAGGAGCATCAGCTGCCTTCATCTTCTTCGGTTTCTTCGGTGCAGGAGGGTTTGGGAGCGGTGGCAGTGGTGGACGTGGAACGCCGGAAGGGTATCTGGAAAGCTCGAAGAAAGGGCCACAATGCTGATCGTAGTCCTCGACTGTCCAATCATCTTGTTCCCGATCCCAGAATGGGTCTGACACCCTTTCGTCGAGGCCCTGGTACATTTCCTCTTGGTCATAATTTTCCATAGCAAAATTAGGAGTCTGAGGTCGGAGGAGATTGCCATTGGCTTCTCTCCTCTTCCAGCGCTCGAAGTCAAGGTGCCATGGATACCATGGCATGCGTGCAGGGGGCTTGCCGTCCCGAGAAACAACGAGGTATAGATATGCTGTGCTTCTCTTAACCCTGTTCTCGCTGCCATCCCTGAGTCTTGGGCAATCGGCGGTTCTGTGGGATCTCATGTTACACAAGATACAACAGTTCCTACTAACATGGCCGTTACTGAGATGCGCTGAGCAATGTCGAGATGTGTGACCCTTTCTCTGGCACTGTGAGCAATCCACCTCCGCTATGGGGGTTTTCAGCTTTTGGCCCTTGCTGGTGAACCACTGGCCTTCGAAGTAAGCCTTGCTTTCATCGATGACTTGGTCCAAGGATTTCTCTTTGAAGTAAGCCTCGCTTTCATCAAAGATCTCATCCAAGGTTGCTGCGCTTTCGTCAATGATTGCATCCAAAGCTTTGTCGAGTTGAGGAGCATGAGCATCCTTTAATGTCTTCAAGGATGGACCTTCGTCGTCGGTGTAATCGATGAGATACTCGTCCTCATCTTTCCCATTGCCGAGATTCAGATCTATGCCATCCTCATCGGGAAGAGCAGGAATGCCGCTCAAATCCATCTGGTCAGCATTGGCTGTTACAGTAGGATTTGAGTCGGAAGATTGGCCAGCTGGAACTGACGAACCTGGAATGCCCTCGGCGTTACCAGACCCGGAAGAATCAGGGGCGGAAGATTGTCCTATGTTCAGGAGAGTCCATACTCATCTCCATCGTGTCAAATTTGCGGCAGTGACAAATTTGATGGTGTTGATGAATGTTGTTGTTGAGCGAAGCCAAAAATTTCTCGCGATCTGTGTTATCGAAAAATCGCGTGCGTTTGGTCACATGACGACCACAGAATCCACCCCTCCAGTTTAGATTCACCGCATCTGGGGACAGAAGCTACTAGAGTCCTATCAATATTGGTAAGTCATGTAGTTCTCATGTCTACGAGGCAAAGAGCTTATTCACTGTAATCGATACGGCCTAAATATCCTACTTGCAGCCTTTACCAGCGAGTTATGTAAGACAGAGTCTGCGATGCGAGTCACATAGGGATCAAAGACAAGGGAACGGGACCAAGAGTGCATTGCTAATTGTCGCCATTCTATATCTACAACTACAGAGGCTGCTGGGTAACCCAGGTCAGAATCTTCTCAAGACTCTGGTCCTGACCCATTAACATCGGAATTGGCTTCATCAACCGGCTTCATTACGGAGCCGCCGAGCCATGATGCAATATCATTGCCAAAGTTCAAGTAGACCTGCTTCCTGGTGACCTCGTCAGCCAATCTGCTGTTGTGGTCTTGAAGGGCTTTTGTCGCAGCGTTGACCTCATCAACTGCTTGCTCTGCCCTTTTCTCTAGTGACGTGCGACGATGAAGTATGGCCTTGCCGTCCTCCAACCGCCGCTCCATGTTGGTGTCTACCTCATCGGACTCAAGCAAGTCCGCTGCGGACTGTAATGCCTTCACCCTACGAGAGATCACCGTTGTGGAATGGTCGAGGTTTTCTGAAGCCCAAGGCTGATCAATGATGGCTTGTTTCTTCTCGTCTGAGGTATCTCTACCTTCGTCGAATCCTCTGCGAGCACCGCCAGCAACAGGATTGAAGCCGCCCCATTGGATCATCGATCCACTGATGAGCGTGAAGAAGATCTCGCCTAGTGGCAACATTTCCTGCTCCCAGACCTTGACGATCGGTACTCCAATATGAACCATTTTTATGCTCAGGAACTCCAGACAGCTCACTGTCAGGCGCCATGTGTCTGGTGTGCTAGTCATCCTTGACTTGGGCGAGTAGTCCGACATTCTCTTCTTCAAGCTCTCACTGCATCCAATCTGAACTGGCATCTGCAGTTGTCGTATATCACCAGATGGATCGAGATCTTTGCGGATTCTGTTTGACATCATCTCGCAGAACTGTCGCCCTCCAGATTTCTGCACCAATGGTCTGATACCATTATTGGCATCTGCCAGAATCTTTTGCCACGTCTCATTCCTCTTCTTGCAGAATTTATAATATATCTTCGCAGCGTCAACCGCAGCTTGGCGCTGTTGCGTGCTAGAATTGGGACCGATCTTGTGGCCTTCGCCGTCCATGTAACTGCAAGTGTCAGCATGTTCTCCTCGCTCTCGCAGTCCATCTACGTACTCCGTCATCAGCTTCTGCAACCTCTCCCAGTCGTTCGTACTGAGGCCTTTGCCATCACGTTCACAAACTAGGGTATTGAGATAGATGCCTGCAAGGTCGTCTTCCGGTGGGAAAAGTTTCCCAAATTCAGGATCAGTGTGGTATCTGTAACCGATTGTTCCGTCGATGATTGCTTCAATCACTCGTCGATGCACGGTTCGGAGAATCTCAGCCATGTGCCAAGTCTTGTCGAAATCTTCGATCATGTCATTGGAGACTTTGCCCACTATATGCTATCAGCAGGGATTCGCGATAATGCAATTGAACGTCTTTCCTTACCTCTGGTTGCGCCGGGAAGCTTCTTCTCGACGGTGTAGGCATCTTCTGCTGCCATGATATAACCTTCGTCTACGAGGTCATCCGATGTCCCTTCGGGAGAATCGTTGATCCTCGAGAGTCTGGTTTGTCGCAAGGGTCGAAATGGCATCTCTGCCGTCTCCTTGTAAGGATCTTCGTCGCTCTGTGTTGCTGCCATCTTTGATGGTTTGCTGTACAGTTTCGAGAGTGTGCGATGATTGCTTGGTAGGTGCTTTGTGTCGCGTCGGTTAATTTCACACTAGCCAATTCGTCAAACTTCCTCTCTCTTTCCTACTTTCGTGTTTCTTCAATCATCATCGAATAAGACGACAACATGGCTGAAGACTCAGACACAGATTCTGATTCCCAAGTCCAGAGCAGCCCCGATACAGGATTTCATTCGGGACGGCAATCCCCCGAGGACAAGAGTGGCAGCACTCCATGTCCTGCTGGATCAGATGCATGCACTCTCCAATCGAATTTTCGGCGTGGATCATAATGAAATCGATATCGCATATGCGGAGGAGATGCAAGCAGCATACAAATCCTACGAGGTAGTTTGTGAGACAAACGCCAACTGGGAGCAACAGATCACCCTGCTCGAGGAGTAGCTCGATCTCTTTGAGGACAACATCGGAGCGATGTTGTCCAAAATCAAGCAGATCATTGATCACCAAACTCGCCCTCCAAATGCTTTGTTATCTCAGGCGTATGCTATCATACAAGCTGATGCTGACTCACTTGACGGGGCTCGAGACCTGCATCCCGACCTGAAAGCCATACTGTTCAATGCCGAAGCGGCAAAATTCGAGCTTAAAATCACTCGATTGAACTCTGAGATTGACACACTCAAGCAGAAGCTACATGTACAGTCCACCAAGGGTGTTCAGACTGTTTCAGAAATTGAGGCTCGTGTCAATCGTCGTAATCAAACAATTGCGCACCTGCAGTCACGTATCACGACTCTTGCGACCGCATCGAAGAATGCCAATACCGACCTCGAGAACTCGAAGCGAGACTCAAAGGAGAAGGTCGTCGAGATTAGCAAGTTGAAGGAATTTGGAGCTGCTACCGAAAAAAGCTTGTCCACCCTACGCGTCGAGCACGATGAGCTGAGAACTAAAGCATCTGAGGACAGGGCAGCCCTGGAACTGAAGACCGCTGAACTCAATACGCGCAATGCATCTCTCACTGACGAGCAAGCGAGGGTTGGGCGACGCAATGCGACCATTCGTGCTTTGCATTCAGACAAAAGAGACCTGATGAGGCTTGCGGACAAGGTCCCATCGCTAGAAAGCAAACTTACAACTGTCGAATCTGATTTCAAGGAAACAAAGGAACAGCTTGTTGACCTGCAGGCAAACTTACGAGAGCAAGAGGATAGAAATGTAGATCTCGAGCAGAGAATTGCCGACTTCGAACAGGAGTCATCTGAGGCGAATGACGAGATTGAGAAGCTCAATGGTCAGATCGATGATCTGACGGAGCAACTCCGAGTCGCAGTCGCAGATCTCGGACAACTCAAGCGAGATTCTGGCAAGGAAGCTATTGATCTCAAGGAGAAGCTGAACGCTGAGTCCAGGAAAAACGAAACTCTGGACAACGAGGTTGCCAGATTGGACAAGAAGCTAAAGGATGATGTCGCTGCCCATGCCAGTGCAACGTCAACCTTCACCGACAGAATCACAGATCTGGAACAGACTGTGTCTAATTTGACATTGGAGAAGAATAGATTCCGTGACTCCTGCGAGGAACTTCAGAAGAACCTCAAAGAATCACGAGCTCTATGCCAACTTCAGCGTTACAAAGCATGGGATCTCAAAGGGGACCTCATCTGCGAGAGAGCGGCTGCGACATACCTCCGATCTCGCTTCGATCAAACGACATCTTCATTGGAATCAATCACTTTGAAGTTGTCATTCTGGTGCTTCGTTCGGATGGGTACAATACAACACTCCAATCTTTCAAAATCTAATTGACGGAATTCATATCTCTGTGGGGCCCTGATCTCGCAAGATATAACCCTCATTCCAGTCGAACGTTGGGCATCGAATGTCGATTTCGTCTCCGACATCAAGCTTTTCAAAAATCCTACAAATGGTTTTGACACCTACGCCAACTATGCAGTCTTTCTTTGCGCTAAGTGTGTTACATATCTCAAGAATTGTGAAGGAGGAGCTCGAGAAACAGCTGTGACCCGCTGGACAGAGCTCCTCGATCTGCTCGACGATTGGTATACACAAAGGACAGACGAGATGAGACCGATCCTCACAATACCCGCCGTTCAAGGCGAGGAGCATTCACCATTCCCTACTGTACTATATGGAAACGGACCAGCAGGTTAGAACGCACTCATACCCTCATCAAATCTGGCTAACGAATAGCAGTTTCTGGAAATCAATTGTATCATACAGCGACGCTGATAATGTTACAAGCAAAGCCCAATGGGCTGAAAATTCAACGAAAGCAGGTATGTTTGAAAGCAGAGTAACGCATGGAGAACTCTCTCCCAGGAGATCCATCGGCAATTACCTTGCAGCTTTGACGCATCTCAACCCTCAGAAATCAATCTTCTGGCACGCTCGTCAAATTTGCGCCATCTCAGAGTCAAATACCCATCAGTACGTACAAACTCACCGCCAAAGAACACACCTAGTCTGCCGAGAGCTAAGAACGCAAGTTATAGTAGCGCATGGACAAACTCCATTCAACCAATCTGGATAGCAGGCAAAGTCATGAGCCATCCCAGCGAACACAAAGCAATCTTGGATGTGCTGGAGAGGATTGAGCGAGAAACAGGGTGGGTGACGAGTTGGAGGAGGGAGGATTTGAGAGCGTGGTGGGGGATGGGGATGAGTGATAATTCAGATGTTGAGCAAATGATAATGAAATGAAGATATACACCCTTTGAGCAAAACGTACACGGCTAGCCATGCGAGAGGTCTCGATAGCCTCTTCGGTGAACTATTTGGTCAATATCCTTCGTCGCGATCGGGTGCCAAGAAAACAAGAAGGGCAATGCTGCTTGCCCAATACGAGGTGTGCTATATTTAGCGTGCGGCGAGGTTTTCCCAACATCGCGTTACAATAAGAGATGATAGTTTCTTTCTGCTGGTGATAACATCTACAATGATGACGGGCGACAAGGAGAGATCTCTTGAAAGTGCGAACCTTCAGGAGGAAGAAGATGCACAAAGTAGCGACTCGCTGGACTTCGCGCCATATCACGATGATCCAGAGGAGCCTGAGACAGACAGCGGCAAGAAACGCTCGCCACTACCCAAAGATGAGGATTTGAAGGTTCCAAAGAGCAGAAGAACCATAATCTATAAGATTGTGATTAGTTTGGTGACCGTCATCCTTTGCTTCTTGATTATCTTTACTGTTCTCAGCACTACCCGCGAACGCCGCAATGAACAACAAAAGCAGAAACCTACAACATCACCTCGGCCACCACCCTCAAGAGACTTTGCTCTCAATTTTCCAGAACAATACCCGGCGCTCGACTCGAAAACATCTTCAGCAGAATGTCAAGAGGCTTGGCAGGCTTTGACAGAGATTCCTTGCCACGATGCAATCTGGACCCTTAACTGGGACAGTGGCGTTCCTCAGTTATTGGGACCGTCCCTCGATCGATTCGTTCCGTTGATCTGCGATGCTAGGTGTGCTTCTGCATTGGAAGCAGCGAAGGGGAATATACAATCTGCCTGTTCAAAGGAAGACACATTCGCTGTGGAAGGATACAAAGGGAGGTTCAATCTGGAGCTGTTGGAATCTGGACCTTTAGATGTCCTGGATGTCTTGGTCGAAAGACAGATTCATACCTGCCGAAAGAGTCCTGCAGGCGATGCAGAGAGAGGATTTTGCATGACAGATCTTAGCTCCAGATGGGGGATTGTGGATGGGTTTCGCGCGAATGCGACTCAAGGTCTAAGATTGTTCTTGGCTGGTACAAATAGCAGGAAGACAGAGCCAGCAGGAAGACACAGAGGTAGGCAGGGCTCTGGCGGGTGGTCAGAAAACTACAACTACTGGAGAGAGGAAAGAAAATTTGGTCCTGGCAGGGGAGAAACGACGTGTAGCTGGTGCACGTTGGAGTGGTTGAACGGGAAGCTTCCTATGTGGAAGGAACACATGCTCTCTTTGGATGGAAAATTCATGAGCCTTCCAGAGTTCCTTCGAATGTGGGAGGATGCCGGGAAGAGGTGTGCTAGTGATCGATTCATGGAAGCATACCACTCTGCTGTTCAAGCATATATCGATCAAGGTGTACTTGATCCCGACTGGGAAACGAAGGCCTCTGGTGATATCCCATACTTGATGCAACACGGTCCAACATCAGGAGATTACCCAGCACGAGACGTGGATTCGATACTTGAGACAATGAAGGTTTATCGAAGTCGCACTGAAAACATCAACCCAACTGCCAACGCCAGGATCAAGCACCAAGCCACTGTGAATCAATACATCGGCTGCCTCGAGTCTTTCAATTTCGCCGTCCAAGATCTTCAGTGCTATCCGTTCTTGTCCAAGGATCAGATGTCCGAGTACGTGTTGTGCGACATTCACACAGCTCAGCGATCATGCTCTGCAAGCTGTCTCGCCTCCATTGATGCCTTCAGGCGAAAAATGTATTCTGATTGTCCTGGCGCCTTCACAGGACACAGATACTCTCAATCCCTCAAGTTCGTCGGCAAAGATGTCGCATCTTTCGTTGAGGATTTCTTCGGTCGTGAAAGTACCATTTCGAGCTTCGAGACCATTTGTCGGCCTGCTGATAACTGGGGCTCACGCCGAGGTCCACCTTGTGCTGCTGTGTTTGCGCAGTGGGGAAGACAAGACTGGGTATTCCAAGAATCGAAACCAGAAATGAAGGATCTCATCGCGACCACTCGTCGCCTTGTATCCGAGCTTCCTGAGATGCCGCCACAACTCAAGGCTTGGAAGCACCCTGGGAGGAAGTTGACGGTAGAAGAAGAGCAAATTAGCAAGTATTTGATCACCTGGAGGAAGAAGATGGAGCAAGGCGTCTGCAGTGATTGCATGTGGCGGAACTTTGTTGAAAAGAGTACCTGGTTCCACGGCATGCTTCCTCGGGGCACTTCAGAAGATGTAGCGATCGAGTGGATCAAGACTGCTCATCATTTGAGAGAGGAATGTGCTGCCAGAGGACGGAGTCTTCAAGAGTTCGAGCTGAAGGCTGTTGATGAGATGTGGAAGAAGTAAGTTTGGCACTTCAAACATGTCGCTTTTGCTAACTTTAATGGCAGGACGTATTCTGAGGAAGCCTGGGATAAGGCGTTCAACGAGGGTCAACCGCTACCTGCTTGGGCTACGGGACGTGAGGAACTTGTCTGATTTCAATTGAGCGTTTGCGATTATATCACTCTATATCAGTGATAGGTGCACGTAATTTCCTCTAATCAATTGTCTTGACCCGTAAATCCCCCAGGATTTGAGGGACAATTAGGTTCTCCAGATAGTACGTACCAAAAATCCGAATTTGGTGCAGATAGCTGTCGAAGTGATTGAACTTGGTTGCTGTTTGTGAATAACTCTGAACGAAAAGGCCATGCTTCATTTTGGTCATGCCTTACGACTTCTCCACGCAGTATCTGTTGTCAGCGACCAACCCAAAGTAAATGACTTGCATCCAGATCAGAATTTAGGTCAACTTCACCATACTGGAGTAATTTGACTAGCAATTAGGGCACGAAGTATCACGATCATAGACTGGTTTCGTGAATAGATTACTTATTACATTATTGCTTTTCCAATACGACCTTATTTCCCACCATCAACATAATACGACAGCGAGTAGTTCAAGAACGCACACTGCGGAATATCCAAGAATGTACTCGTGAGAGCTGGATAATCCATCAGCTTCATCGGTCCCTGCATACTACTAACTTCTTGCCAAGGCCCAGTGTCTTGAATAGCCCGAATACTTTTCGTGTACCCTCTCGTTGTCAAGTATGCCAAGCTGGGATTTGGCTGTCCCGACTTGACGAACTCTGCAAAGTATCCAGAGACAAGCTGCTCAGAATATAGATCATTTGCATCTCGGAGAGTACTGAGTGTTCCAAACACCCACGGCATATCCGATCCGTGAAGCTTGAAGTATGGGAGTTCAGGATTCCCGTTTGGATATCCAGGCGTGACTGGTGCGCCTCCAAGATTATTCGGATCGTAGCCATTAATAGTGCGATCCATCTTTTCAGTTCATGTCAGCAAGGTTTGAAGCAAATGACAGAAGTGTCTTACTTGATAATAGTACGAAGATTGAAAAGCGCCTGACTGTGATGCTGCAAACATTGTAGCTTGATCAACACAGCGGAATTGAATGTCCGTCGCAACTCGTTGTGAGACGTTGAATGAATCAAGTGTCACATTACCAGTATCGTAATATGGAAACAGACCACTGTTGATTATGCTCTGGGCATAAGCAGCACTGATTCCAAGAGATGCTTGAATGCCAGCAAGTTCGGACGTGACGGGGGTCTTCGGATATGTCGAGAAACTGGCACCATCATTCTCCACGTTTCCGAAGATGACCGGGACATGAGCGGTTCCTGGATTCCGCTGGTTGACGATTAATTCTTCAGTATTGACGTAGTATCCATCCTGCACAACATATCGAGCGACTGAAGGAAGCTCTACCAGTGTCAATGCAGGGACCGCTTTGAGGCAAGCAATCTGGGCCTGGAGAGCAGTCTGATTGCAACCAGCCGCGTCAAAAATGTTCTGACCTGCGACAGCGTACGATTGATTGACCGTATAGTATAAACTAAACGTTAAAATATTCGAGTTAGTACACTTCTTTTGAACATGAAGTGAGTATCTTGAGAATTGTTTGACTTGGAGCCTTTACAAGCCGGAAAGACAATCAAAGCCCAAGAGAATTCACCATCTCACCTGTACGTAGTCGCGTAATCTCCATTTATTCCTAGATCAACTCCGCCTCCGAGATTGGACATCGCAACAGCTCCTTGATACATGCCAATTGCAGGTGGGGACCCAAGAAGAGTTCTGACGGATCCAGCGCCAGCCGATTCTCCATTAATTGTGATCTGTGTAGGATCAACTCCGAAGGATGCGATGTTCTTCACAACCCACTGTCAATCGTTAGCATGTGTCATAGATCCTTCTTGAGTATCATACTTGAAGCGCTGTGATCTGATCTCCGATTCCATAATTGCCCGTGATATTGGTACCAGGTATGGCCAAGAATCCCAGCGTTGAGAGACGATAATTGATGGTCACCGTGACGATATCCTCTCTAGATGCCAAGTTGCCACCATCGCTCAATGAATCAGCACCAGAACCTCCTGTGAAACCTCCACCATGGATCCAGAACATTACTGGCCTCAGATCACTCATATCTCCTTGTTTTGGGATATATGGCGTCTGAATGTTGACAAACAAGCAGTTCTCACTACCAGAAGAAGCCTGTGCACATTGTGAGCCATATGCAGTGGCATTGATCGTTTGCCCTGTAGCCGTGCTTGGTGTAGAGTAAACAAATCGTTGAGGAGGGTTCGCGTATGGGATTCCAAGGAAACGAAAGGACTTCAGATTCCTGAACCCAACGTAAGTGTTGCCATTAGAAGCAACTTGCACTTGGTTTGTAGCTGTAGCATAAGAATTGTAAGGCTCGTTCTGTGTACTGGACTGAGTATACAACACTGGAAGGTCCACAAAGCCCAAAGGCATCGAAGCAAAAGCCAAAGTCTTCGTGAACTCTGAATATGTGACAATTCCATCTTCGATGTAATATGCCTGGAAAGGAGCTGCTCGCTGGGCGAATGCGAGGTATGCAAGTGGTTGCGATATATCGGATTGATGTGCTTAAACCGTGCTTTTCGAGAGGAGCTTCTCGTTCAATGCTCCACAAGCTGCTGGAGCATTCTTCCCACTGAATTCATCGAGCAAGAGGAACCCAACATGATTGGCATCATCTGTGAAGTTGAGATTGTTCTGAAAGAGTAAGGTGATAGAAGTTCCAGTATTGCAGAGCGATGCAGCTTTAGAGAAAGGTAAAGAAAGGCAGAGCGCCAGAACTTGCACTTACAGCTTCAAAGACATGGTGAGCGACACAGAATCTCATTGAAACTCGGCAACCATCCGATCTGTATGACCTGCAACACCTCATAATTCCCCTCATAAGGAGGCACCCCGGTTTCAGGAACCATTGCTGTACCTCATCAGATGAAGATTTAGCCGGCCGCTTCCGGTGACATGGAGATTCTGTACCAAGTTACGGGCATCGCAAACACTTGTAGGCGTCATGAACAGGGTACTCATTCGCGCAGAGCTTCACTCATCCATCGTCAACTTAGACCAAATGGCATGGAAAAGAAAGTACACCACATCCACCCCTGCATATATCCGGGCCGTCGAGGTCTTCGATGGGAAATCGATCTTCCGTGTCTGAGATGTGGGGTAGTGATGGACTAGAGTACGGATAAATGTCATGGGCATTAACCGGCTAACCCATACGGCCGAGCATTGCTTCTGTGTTCGATGTCCAAACACTTGTCTGTGCCGATGTGCGAGCTAAAGAATGGGGAGCACTCTTCCTAGTTGAAAATGACGAACCTATGATCCTCGTCGCCTCGTGCTGTACCTGTCGCAGATAAACCTACTTAAGCCAGGCTCGATTTGTTCTGGAAATCATGCAGATGCGGGGAGTTGCACCATTCACAAGGCCGGTTGACGAGACACAGGCTCAAAGTTCGAGACTGAAGTCGATTGCGGGAAGATGGTGAGTCTCGGCGGGAGGGGGAAGTCCGAAGACTTGCCACTTACCAAAGCTACGGAGAGACACAGCGAATATTCCTGCTAGTCGGATGAGCTAGCGAGGAATAGTGTAGGATTGTTATTGCTGTTGAACATCATGCGGATGAGGATATTTGTTGTCAGCTTCGTGCCACAGTTCAATGTTAGCGTGTGGCTTGTGTGTGGCTGAGGCTTTACGTTTGTCCTAGGGTAAATAAGTCCCCCCCTGTTATTCACTTCTAGCACTTTCGACCCCACAATTATACCACATCTTAGCTTCTCATTGACCCAATACCCTAGTTGAGGCTGGCTTGAAAACCCTCAGGGGTGGACTTATTTACCTAAGAACAAACGTATCTCGAAAACTTCAATATAACCACAATTGTCCGGAAGGACTAGCCTGTTTAACACAGTCAAAATGTCGGGGTCGTTCATTCTCCACGAAATGTTCTGCTTCTTAGGTTTCAAGACTGTACTGTAAATGCACAGAACACAAAGTGCATTGAAGCCCCGCAGTCCTAGCACCAAAGGATTTTGCCAGGCATCTCGCAGATCAAACATACTTGACCGATTTGCATTGAAAATCAGCCATGTGCCGTGACGGCACCGACATCTCAAAGAATGACTAATTGTTTGAAATCCAGTGTCATCTGATGATTCGAGATCACAAGAATCCACTTCATGCCATGAAGTGAGGATCATTTTAGTTTACGCTCGAGTGTATGCAAAAATGTGGGAACAGGACGACATGCAAATCTCGAATAATAAAGCAAATCCCTGAATGCCCTTATCAAGGTACATTTGTCTACTTTGTTGATATCGCAGAAATTGGAATGGAAGATAATAACGTTCTAGAGTTTGTGGAACAGCATCAGTGGGACAAGCAATCTTTTCGAGGTAAAGAAGAATTCGCAAAGAAGTTCGTTTTCTTCTTCTAACACATTATTTCTCAAATTTTAAGTCACACTTGGGACTTAGCCCACTTAGCCCACTCATGATGTCTGACAGGCTCCAGAACCCTGAAATCCATAAGGGGCGAGATCGGAAGTGTTGAGTTTGGGTCTATCGTATATACACACGTGACTTGGCGCTCGATTCGTTAGAACGCGTCAAATCAAGCGCGACTGTAATTACACCACTACTTCTTCGAGCTCTTGTCTTTGTCCACATAGAATGATAAAACTCCCAATGGCTGCTCTCTTCTCGAACCATCAACATAATATCTACGGACAGATCAATCGCCATCGCGTCGCGCATTCGAGCTCAATGGCACCAAACGATGACGACGAAGATTATGGCTTTAGCTCTGGCGATGAAGCAGAGTTGATCGCTCTATCGCAAAGTGCCAGCACGAAACGAAAGTCCAGCGCGGAACTGCCTCCTTCAAAACGAATAGCCCTTCAATACCAGTCTGCCAACAAGGCCCTGACGGAGAATTTTGGCATGAAGGAGTTTCGTTTGCAGCAAAAGCAGGTCATATCACGAATCTTGAGTGGGAAAAGTGCAGCAGTCGTCTTTCCAACTGGTGGTGGCAAGAGCCTGTGCTTTCAAGTACCGGCTCTGGCCTTCGCCGAGGAGGACGAATTGGCTGGCACACGCGCAGAAGGAGAACATGGAATAACACTGGTGGTTTCGCCCCTAATTGCGTTGATGAAGGACCAGACAGATGCCCTCCTACGTCGTGGTATCAAAGCAGCCACATTCGATTCGACGAAGTCTCGAGAGGAATATTTGGCAACATGCGAGATGCTTCGAAATGGCGAGCTGAAGTTGTTGTATTGTGCCCCCGAGCGGTTGAATAATGAGGGATTCATTGAGCAGATGAAGCATGTCCGTGGAGGGATCCGTCTTCTAGCTGTGGACGAAGCACATTGCATATCTGAGTGGGGACATGCCTTCCGTCCTGACTATCTCAGTAAGTATTGCCCCAAGCTTTGCCGTGTTGGTGTTAGTAGCTGATGCGTAGCAGAGATAGCAAGATTCGCAGAGGAGATATGCGCAGAACGTGTTATCTGCTTGACGGCAACAGCCACACCCCGAGTTGCAACAGATATTTGCGAGACCTTTGGGATCGACGAGAGTTCCGGTCTTTTTCGCACATCAACCTTTCGCCCCAATCTTCAACTTCTCGCTGAGTCCGGGGTGAGTAAAAAGGAACTACATCCCAAGCTTTTCAAATTCCTCAAAAGCAACCCTGGATCATCAATCGTTTATGTTACTCTGCAGAAGGACACCGAGCAGTTGGCTGTAGAGCTTCGAAGAAAGGGCTTTAATGCTAGACCTTTCCATGCAGGTAAGCATATGACGGGGTTCCTGGCCATGCGTACTGGGTCTCTCCTTTGGCTCTTCCAACCGTACACTAACACCGTGTCTTGTGCTATAGGAATGGGCGCTCCAGAAAAGGCAGAGCTGCAAGATGACTTCATGAGATCGAAGGACCTTATCATCGTTGCCACGATCGCTTTCGGGATGGGCATTGACAAGGCATCAATCAGGAACGTCATACATTTCAACATCCCAAGCAGTCTTGAATCTTACAGTCAGGAAATTGGCCGAGCTGGAAGAGATGGCAAGTTGAGCAAGTGCATGTTTTATGTCTGCGGCGAAGATCTTCATCTTCGAGAGATGTTTGCTCGAGGCGATTTACCTACCCGAGCGGCCATTCGAGGAGTTCTTCAGGAGATCTTCACCCCGATGAACACTTCTCAACCAATTGGCAACCAACTGCAGTTCAGCCACTATTCTCAAGAGAGGGATTTTGATATTCGCTCAACGACGCTGAAGAATATATACGCCCAACTCGAGCTCACCCACCACCTTATTCGAGCAACTACTCCGATTTACAGCAAGTACACATGGAAGCCTGGTCCAGGATTTCAGTCAACGCTGAATTCGGACAAGTCACCAGCGGGAGTTGCTATCAAGAACCATGCCAAGTACGGGAAATCGCTGTATTCATTCGATATGGACATGGCTGTGGCGTCCTCCCATCTTCCGAGAGGTGACATCCTCAAGAAATTACAAACCTTTCACGACAACGGAGATCTCGAGCTGAAGCCAGCTGGTGTCATGAGCGTGTACAAGATCCTCTCACGACTACCCAAGACTGCGCCTGAAGTGGAGATCCTCGTTGACGTCTTGTATGCTACATTTCAGAAGCGGGAAGAAGAAGCACTCGCTAGGACTGATGAAATGTTACAGCTCATCACAGCCAAGGCATGTTTCTCTAAGTCACTTGCTCAGCATTTTGGTGACGATCTTCTGGATGGTAAGACAGAGTGTGGCCAATGTACGTGGTGCACGACCCGCAAAGCTGTTGAACAGCGATTACCTCCACCTGTCCCATTCAACCATTCCGCCTGGAATGCAGTGCTTGATGAGATCGAGGGTAGAGATGATCCACGACTTCTTGCAAAGGTTGCTTTCGGTATAGGAAGTCCAAAGATTTCCTATGAATTGAAGCTTTCTAAGCACGGTGTCTTTGGCTCGATGGACGATCACAATTTCCTGGTATGTCTCCTGTCTCATGTTCCGAACGATGCTAACTCCAGCAGGATCTTTTGCGCGCTGCCGAGTCCGCCTGCTCGAATCCTAAGACGTCGAGACCCAAGCCCAAATTAGCTCCGAAGACGACAACTCAAACGAAAAGCTCATCGTCGAAACCTGCTGGTAAGACTTCGAAATCTGCTGGGAGGAGGTCGACTCCGAAATAAGTCACTTACGGGAGCATAAGGAGCGGATAGTGAGCTGGGGTGAGATGTTCTCCCCTCGAATTCACCGGATCTGGGGCAGGTCATTGCGTTTTAGCATCTACAGATGGTTTTTCTGCACATATTTGCATTGCCTTGGGACTTCCATTTGTCCTACGCTGGGTGGCGTTGAAGAAGGGTATGTTATTCGGATAGTATGCCCTACGGCACTGAGAAGTTCGGCCAAGTCTTATCATTTATGTTAGCTGGAAGTTCTACTCATTATGTACGGGAGAAGGCCATGTTGTGCACTCAAGTCTCACCCACTGCGACATGAAAATTCGAAGTCAACGAGCATTTATTTCAGCGAGGGTATTTTATGTAGTTCAGCATAATCGTCGTTCAGCAAGCCCCGCCTTAAAGCGGCCATGGCCAAATAAAGTCTCGCGCGTCCATGCAGCTCAAGTCAGCCATCAACATTCATTTCTCGACCACAATGCTCGTCCAGTCATCTGCCCTAGTCCCACGCTCTTCATCGTATCATTCCACCATTCATCATGTCTTACAAAAGTCCGTCTTTCATTCTGTCAGCTTGACCCACAACATCCGGATCGAAAAGCACTCACCACGATTACAACAGAAGTCCAGCGACCATGACGCCAAGTGCACCCATGATGACCTTTCCACTTCCAATTTTATTGCCGGCATTGCAAGGCTGTTGATAAGGAGAGCTGCCGCAGGAGTCACGAGCTTCGACTTCCTCTTGAGCAGAAATTGGGGCGATTTCGGACGTTTCTCCTCTGATGGCGACTGGAGCTGGAGAGAGTTGAGTGCCGACAGGAATGACGTGGGCGATGGAAAGGGAGAAGAGAGTAAAGACGATGGTTAGAAGTGCGATCTTCATTTTGAGATTGATGTTTGGTGTTGGCTAAGAATGTTTTTTGAGGGTATGTACGAAGGCTTGGTTGCAGTTGCTGAGGTGTAGACTTGAGGACTTTGAGAGCTGTGTTGGTAAAGCTTGTCTTTGGATGGAGATGATATTGATTTAAGTTGAGTTGATTTGATGATATGAAGTGTTGATGCTAGGGGGGACAGGTCGTGAAGAGGAGAAGGGGTTTATATAGACAGACAGGAAAGACTCAAATTCATTTGCCATTCCTCTTGACTCACCAAAGACGTAATTGCCATTCACGTTGACTCAAGGAAATATTTCACGCTTAAGGAAGGCGTAAGTCGATTTATTTCTGAAGGTATTGCATTTTCAAGGTGTATTCACCTGCAACGTCCCCTTGACCTTACCCTCTAATGCCTTTCGTCATCCATTGTGGCATCGTTCAAAGCGTTCTTGTTCAACAACTCGTCATGTTTAGCATCTAAAGAGTTCACCGCATCTTCCATCGCATCGTATTTATGGAACAATACCCAGAACAGGCATCCAACAAACAACGATCCGACACAGAGACCAGTGAATAGCCACAAGATATCAGGATCTCCAACCAAAGGAGTGAAAGCTTCGCCGATAGCATAACCAAATGCATTTGTCAATAGGTACATTGACTGGACGAACGATTTCATGGATGGCGGTGCCTTCATGTAGGCGTACTCGAGACCAGTGACGGACGCAAAGATTTCAGAGATGCCAATGAACATATAGGCTGGTGTCTGGATTGCGATGTGGATGTTGTTTGGTCGGGCAACTTTGGTATCTACCAGAGCAGCAGGGCATTGAAGTGGGTGTCCGTAGCAGGGACCAGCTTGGTATATGAAATGCTGCAGAACACTGGGTGATTTAGCAAATGAAGCTTAATTACAGAAGAGGAAAGACTCACGCAGCATACAACATTGACATCGAAGCGACAACGAAACCGAAAGAAATTCGAGTGATTGGTCGGAATTTGATGTGATACTTCTGTAACATTGGATACACAAGTCGATCCATGATTGGGGCAAAGAATAGGATAGCAATAGGGTCAAAGTTCTGCATCAGGTCGTTGGGGATTCCATGTCCATTCATCTGTGCTGCTTGCGAAACAAAATTGCCTGAGAACTGAGAGTACACGACCCTTCAATGTGTTAGCAGAGTTAGGGGAACAATCGCGGAATCGTACCAATAGATAGGATAGAAGAGAAAAATCTTGCACGCTTGAAGAGCACGCTTCAATTCATCAATGAACAAATCATTCCAGGGTGTAGCATGTTTTCGACCGAACTCTTCTTGGTATGAGGGTTTCGGAGCATCCATATTGCGGTACTTGACCATAATTCCGATGGCCTTGAATGCGTCTGTGATGATAGATCCCTGAGGCGGTCGGACAATATACTTCTTCCGACCAAGGACCAAGCAAACGAAGCCGGTCATGAACATGCACAAACACAACAAATAGGCTGACCAGAATCCAATATCGCGCTCCATGTATGGGGTGGCTAGTAATGATAACGAACCGACATTGATACAACAGTAGAAGACAAGGTAGATTCGCTGAATCGTGACTGCAGGATCAATGATAACTCGCTCTCCGGTGTTGAGAGTCTTGACGGCCATGCGCTTTCGAGTATACTGATCGGCGATGAGGGGCGAAACGTTCGCTTTGACACCACCAGTACCAATTCCGATGACCAAGATTGCTGCAATGAAACCTCCCAATCCTGCTCCGTTCTCGAGAGATACTGGTAGAGAAGTCAAAAGGAGAATCAAAAGCCCCATGATGTAGACGCCCGCAAAGACCACAATTGTTTTGTATTTTCCGAGATACTGATCTGCTACGATTGCGCCGAGGATAGGAGTGACTGAAAGTAAATTGATTAGACAGCTCTGAAAGTGTGGACTTGAGGTAGGCTTACCGTAGCACCAGAGGGAGAAAAATGTGTTCAGTGCAGTTGCGGTCTGGTGTTTCTGCCCCAGAGCACCCCGCCCCAGGCTGCCATCAAGAGGTCTCTGGATATAGTTTTGAAATAGTCCCTGGGCTCCGTAGAATGTAAATCGTTCAGACAATTCCACAATTGCAACCAACCATGCGGAGATGGGGAGATTCTCGCCAACTACGGTGGATTAGCATCAACGCAATCTCGTAGGATCTATGTCTATACTTCGTCTCAGAGTTGTTTTCTCCTCCTCGCTAGGTTCCTCATCATCTGGAGTTTCTGAGTATGTCCTATCCGAATAACGACGGATTCCAATCGCTTTTCCATGTGGGGCTGAGCCACGAGGGGCAGAGAACCCAATATCGGTATTGAGTTTTTCAGGATCTCTGGGCGGATCGTTCCTGACTTCTGCTTCCAGAGCCAGCTCGTGGATTCTGTAGGGGATCGTTAGAGTATGTAGGGGGGTAGCTTTCGCGGGGTCCTTACTCTGCAGCGTGCATGTTGTGTTCAGTCATCTTGGGCAGAGGTGATCAATGCTGGTATTGAATGAAAGTGTACGGACGAGCTTGAGACAATAGAGCTGATATAAGTCCGTCTTCTACGACAGTAACGTTGCCCCAGTCTTCTTCCAGAAGCCGTTGCTTGGCGGTGTTAAACAGAGTAAAGTTCAGTGACTGGTCTCCTGTTCCCCGCAGAACCAGGTATAGGCGAGTTCCACGATTCAGGAACCGATCGTATCGTTCAGATCCGTCGAGTCTTAGAAGGCTAAACTGAATATGAGGGGCAGACGGAAATTTGACCACCTCAAGGCCTCGGTTTCGCTGTCTGACCGTGATCCATTTGCTCGGATGGCATTTAACGATGTGCCTCAATCACGGACCGACGAAGCTAAGCCCGTAGAAAAGTCTCATTGCGGAGCTCTGTAAAAAACTTGCAAGTGCCTGATAGGGACCCTAGCATGACTAGTGGCGGCTGTGGCGATGATCGACATCATAGCGTGGAACCTTGACATAACATTTTAATCACATCGCAGATTGGATTGGTTCATTTTCGCTCCGAGCGAATTTCAATAACGAGGCCAAGACTGCCAAGATCCTAAGCATCGTGAAAAACATGCCAAGTGCTCGAGCTCCTTCTCGAAAAGGCTTGAAACGACCATTGATCATAGCCGACTTAGCCGACTTATCGATTGTAAGAAGAAGTTGTGGGAAAGGTTGAAGTTCAAGAGTAGGTTGATTCATGCTGATCACGTTTCTGACCACTTGACTTGGTCTTTTCGTTTCGTCCATCTGCCTTCATTGATGGATATCGGGCAACAATCTGAGAACAAAAAGATATATCAATGGTTCGCGAAACGCAATGTTTGACAGATTTCGCGAATGGGGAATGAAGTTTCTTCCGTCTTACTCGAGTCGACTGCCCAGAAGACTACCAAACCGTCGATATATTACTAAATATCATACTTAATTTAATGTCGAGCGCCGCAGAAGTCAATTGCACGCCGCAGAGTTGCAGAGCTATCTGGATGGAAGACAAAGCCGATGTAAAGCGGAGAACTTTCCCCGCGTTCCCCAGGAATTGGTGGAATTGGCGTGACACATAGTTATACAATGAAGCTTTGACATGACGTTGTCATCTGGAATAGTTTCATTCTTGTCTGAATTTGGAAGGTCGAACAAAATGCAAAGAGATTGAGTGGGGACAGATCGACTCCTGATCGATGCCCGGGAGAAACTTCTCATTGAGAACTGGTACTTGAATCCAACAACTTCACCTTCGAAAGGAGGTCAAGAATATTCAGAGCATTCCAAACATCGCACTCCTGCGGAAGACAAGCGGGATCATTGAATTAGCATCGATACTTGTATGCTCAAGCATGGAGGTCGAATGAGATCTTCGCTACTAGCGTCAATTCTTGCTCAGTGCAATGGGGTGCGTTTCCAACACCGCTCTCGGGGAGCCAGGCAGCTCATTCATTACCACAGGAAATCAAGAGAGTTCATGTCGTGTGTTCGAAATCTCTGCAGCTGGTTCACCAGATTGAATTCCAGACCGCCAAGGTACAGAAGTGACGGAGGATTCTTCGCTGCGAAGTCTCCACGGTTGAAAATCTGAGGCTTGAATCACCATCGAGGATTCAGCTGACGATGAGACTCAATCCCTCAAAAGACCATGTGGATTGTCATCAGCTTGAGATGTGCGAAGGTGACCCCTGAGATGTTCCAAGATAGAGAAGAAAGTCTCCTCGAATAAAAGGAGTTACACTTGCAGCCGCACTCTGCCGGAACAACATCCTGAGCTATTGAATTTCACTGGGAACGTTAAAATAAAGTTAAAGGTGGCAGAGATAAAGTTGAGGCGGTTCCAGAGGTTTGGAAGACAGGAGATTGCGGACTTCCTGTTTAGTCTAAGCGTCTCACGTGTTTTCAGTCAGCAGACATGCCCGAAATGGACTTTCTTATCTTTCCACGTGAATCACTTCAACACGCGCGATATCTACCATCTAGGACTCCCATTGCGGCGCACCTCATGCATCGCTAGAAGCGGAGTGGATCTGTCCATGGCATCAAATCCACAACCTGGAGGCAACAATAATGTGTCTATTGCGGCCAACAAGATCTCCACTAATGGTTGGACCCGGAAAGAGAGACCTTGTGACTCGTGCCGTCGACGCAAGAGTCGATGTATCATCCCTCAGGATGCAGAAACTTGTATAATGTGTCAATCGAGGGGAGAGCAATGCACATTTGTACAGAATCCTCAGCGGAGGAAGAGGAGGAAGGTGGAGGAAGACAGTACGGGGAGTCCAGATACCAGCAAGCCAAGGTCAGTTCAAATCCTCAATCCGCTGAGGCAACTTGCTAAATCCAAATCTTAGATCACCCGAATCAGAGAGAAGTGAGCATTGAAACTAGTTTTGAGATCTAATCACTGACTCCTTGACCAGATGTCCACGCCAAGCCACCCATTGACGACTACGACTCGCTTCCAGGGCCTTCACTCTTGAAGCAAACGCTAGGTCTACAGAATCGACAACATGGGCACTATCTCGGCCAAACTTCAGAGTATGATACTCGTCTTATCAACCTCTCTCCTTTCAATGGTCGTGGAGAATATGTCAGCACACCCGGAACTCTCCGACGGGTCAGCCCTCAGACCCACTTCATCATGAAGTCTGAAAGTCAAACTGAAGTTGATGATGAACTGGCAAATCTGGACCTCGTCGAGAGCATCGTTCAACCTCACGGTAGAGCATTGGTCGATCTCTATTTCCGTATCATTCATCCCAGCTTCCCCATCATGGACAAAAAGGTCTTTCTGGAGAAGTATGCAAGAACTCATCGCGAATTTACCCCGCCTGTCCTGGCCGCTGTGTATATTCTGGCCCTCAATTGGTGGTCATACAGTCCTGAGCTCGTCAATCTTCAGAAGCCAGATATCCAGAAACTGGAGAAGTTGGTCCCGCAGATGATGAGTGTGGTGCTGAACCGTCCAAAGCTCTCCACTGTTCAAGCGGGACTTCTTCTTCTGCAGCGGCCAGACGGTGATTCTTGGGCTCTCACTGGCCAACTCGTGGCAGTCGCACAGAACTTAGGACTTCATCTTGATTGTTCGAGATGGAGGATTCCAGAATGGGAGCGAAGCCTTCGAAAACGACTTGCTTGGGCATTGTTCATGCAAGACAAATGGGGAGCGTTGATACATGGTCGCCCGCCACTGATACATCTCGATGACTGGTCTGTCAAACCCCTCGAGACAAGAGATTTTCCCGAGACCGAAGATGAGGCCGAGGAAGAGGGAAGTTCGGACATTGAGACTGGACGACTGACGTTTGTTCACATGATCTCCTTGACAGAGATACTGACAGAAATTTTGGCTACTTTCTTCACTGTGCGAGCGACAGCGAATTTGAGCAGTGAAAGGGAGAAAGCTATGATTGTGACATTGGAGAAGGCGAAACCGATTCAATTGAGGCTGAAAGATTGGCATTCAAAATTGCCTCAATCTCTGGCTATCACTCAGACAAGAGCCAGGAAGCTTTCTCCAACTGGTGAGTAGAAATGGTGAATGTAGTGACGTCTTCGCTGACCATCTCTAGGCTCCCTTCATCTGGCGTACTTTGCCACCGAAGTTACTCTTCACCGAGCCATCATTCGATTCGATTCGACATACATGGATGCGAACATTCGATCAATCACGCGCTCTGCTGCAAAAGCTAGGTTCACATCTGCAATTGACCTCGTCAGCAAGTTGGAGCCAGCACACCTTCAATGCTTCTGGTATTTTTGTTCTAGGGTGAACCTCGCCATCATCGGTACCTTTGGCAGCTTGCTCTGGGCGACGTCAGACAATTCAGAAGAAGCCGAATTCTACAAGGCTCAGCTCGCAGAGTACAGATGGACATTGAGAGTCAGCAGTAAAGCTGCGGAATTCATGAAGTTCACCGTCGGAATGCTAGATGCTAGTCCTGTGTTCATGAAGGAGAATGGTTCCAAGACCACCACTCCCAGCATGCCTCGAGACCACTCTCAGGACAGCTATCCGTCCGAGGGTCATGCGACATTGATAGGTCAGACTATTCAGGATTTCGATCAGAACTTGTCCGTCAAGAACTCTCCGAGTGTGGCGACGTCGACTGAGAACATGTACCAGTACGACCAAGATTCTGGTTTCAACATGTCAACAGACCATCGTCCAAGCTGGTCCACCTTTGCCAACAATGTCAATTTCACTGCTGGAGACGTCCAGGATTGGTCCCTGGATCAGCTGTACAATTTCGAAAACTTTCAAGTGGCCGAAGAAATGTTTGCCAGTCGAAGATTCATTGAGGAATACGATGAGACTGGGAATAACTTTGCTGGATTCTAGTACCAACGCTGAACGGTCTACAGCACCAAAGCCATCGCCATCAACACAATTGACATTTTCCAGACGCCAAAATCAAATCTACTGCCGACTCCTGGAACATCACCGATAGGAGTGGAGCCCTCAGTCGAATTCTGTGCTCTCAGACATCTCATGGATGGAGATATTATGCCACTTCCACCCTCGAAATCATGACTTGGAGACTGAACAACAAGGATCGGCCAGATTCGAGTCGCTGCAGTCTCGTAAAATGTAAGGTTCGCGGGGTCGTGGAGTTCATCGGTGGTGTATAAGAATAGACCCCCTGATGTATTGTTGGTTGTGGTGATGTCTGAGTGTGTCAGCTTGGCTTGCTACAGTCTTCGGGGATCTTACTGGTGGCGATGAAGCCCGAGTCAAGCGACCCCATACACGCTCCAGGAATCTGGGGAAAGGCCATGCCTCCACAAGCACCGCTCCTTTGATTGCTGCTCGCAGCAGCTACTGCCCTAGCTAGTGAGATTGCACCAGTCCACGCAAGTACACATTCATCCCCAAAAGTCGCAGAACAGTTTCCGTTATCTTTTTGTCCCTTCACTGTCGCATTGAGCGCGACGCTCTCCATCACGATGACGCATGTATCCCAGCTTGAGTTTGCTATGAACGCTCCGTCCGAATCCAACGATATCACAGAATTCGTGATCACCGAACCATTGGCGCCTGGGATATCAGCGACTTCTGTTACGTTGAGCGAAGCAGTCCAAGAGACAGGGCTGGCAATGTCTGGAATGTTGGTCATATTGACTCCACGTAGCGACACTGAACCGGTCGCATTGGGGTGTTGATTGGCTGTTTGGTATATTGCAACATCCTGGGATGGCCCGGCACCGGTACCTATCTCCCCTGCCACGAGGCTTATGATCGAGAACAAGATTGACAATTTCATATTGCTGATTGAAGGGGTCTGAGGTAGGGCTAAGAGTTTGGGGAATTGAGGGTCTTCAGAAAGCTGGTGATAGGAGTATATATGGTCTTGAGAGCAGAAGCCTTGGCATGATGAATATATTCTTGGCACGAAGAATACGAGTAATCAGTACCATAACAGAGATTAAGGCTGTTCAATGCGACCATTTCATGTCAACAATGAAGAGTTCTCAACTAATATGTGGCAGTGTGAGCTGCTAAGATAGCTAGCTCATTGATCTGCAATTGTTCTTGTCGGTTTGCATTTATTATGACGGTGCCGAGGCAGCGCGATTGAAAGCTGAGGGCAAAAGTACGTCAAATGTCACTTGACTTTGAGTCGTGGCTGCATCTCACAAATGCATGGCATCCAGCAAGTGTAAATTTTATTTCAATAGACGGAGTATGCAGTGCTGAGGGATAATGGTGTTTTGGTGAAGAGTATTTGTAGCGGAGGATTGCGCCAAGAACCGACGTCGATGACATCGTGGACGGGTTCTAAACGAACTTGTATGACTATTGGTCGACCGCAAGTGGCTGCTGAAGTTTCGGAAGATGTTGCCGCTGAAGGTGAGGGACTGATAGACGCTTGAGCAATGGTAAAGTGGTATCTTGTCTTGGTAAGATCTTACTTCTCGTCGCGCAGTTTCCAAACCTAAGTGGAACACATATTTTGGTCATGGGTTCGTCAATTCAGGCGGAAGCATCTCCAGAAAATGTTTATGACAGAACGAGATTGACGACGATGGGCTGCCTGAACACAAACTCCAACATTCGATCGCTGCTGAATCTTTCGAAGAGAACAGGGGCGGGATTGATTGACCACTGATTGAACCGGGGAAGCTCAAGTGAAGAAACATCAAGTGAAGAAACATCAAGTGAAGAAACATCAAGTGAAGAAACATCAAGTGAAGAAACATCAAAGAACACGCTACGAAAACGAATGAAATGAGCTGATGGACACTGATTCATTCTGCTGATGATGTTTACATTGCTAGACGAAAGTGGGCTTTTCGCAAGAGAATCGAATGTATGTATTCTTGCCATCCCCTCTGCACATATTCAACTCCCCATTAAGCATTACTGATTCTAACCATGGAGACCATAACCCAACAGATTACATTGCGCATGTATCCGCTCTGCCAAATTTCATCAGTTTGGGTCTCGGGTCTTGGATCAGTGAAGACTCACTTCTCTACGCCACCAAGCCCAAGGTTCTTGGGTCCCTTTAAATTTGGATCGTGTCGCCCTCAATGGTGGCACGCTTCGATGGAGTGGTGCATGGGTTCTCGAGATAATTGACACAGCAGTCATATTCTCTGTCACTTGTCAGCACTTGTTATGCACGTCATTGCTAGGCAATGGAAGGTTGGAGTGAACAGAGCGTATCTTAGGGTAGACGTACGCGCCATTCGGACAGACCGCTGCGCAGTTGCCAAACTTGCAAGTAGATGTTTTCGCATAGTGAAATACTGAAATGGTTGGTGAGCATGTCTCGTTTCAATTGTTGAAAGTGAGCATACTTGGGAATTTCCAAGCAGGCGGATTCAAACCAGCACTTGCACTGCCTGCCACGAGCAGTGTCAGAAGTAGACTTTGGAGCTGCATGATGAGTTGGAGGTAGAAGATTCTGAATTTGGATGAGATATGAATTGACTAGGCCACTTGGCGAAAGCTTGAGGGGACGACATCGTTTTTAAGTGCGGGGAATATCATTTCTTTTGCGACTCTCGGGGCTTGATTTATGATGAAGGATCGAACACCGAGACGGGCATGAATTCTGCATGTTATCAAGCCATATATGTGTTGGTGTATCCGTCTTTAGATAGAACGTAAGCCACGAAGAAGCAGGAGAAACAAATTGAGTTCGGATCGACAACACAACATCGCAAATGTACCTTGTGGTGTAACCGCACTATCGAATGTCGGCAGCGTGCGCATGCAGGTCCTAGCGCCAACTTTCATCTAGCTTCGATGAATGGAGGAGCTTGCGGCTGAGGACACTCCTGCTTACGCTTGGTGGCCGTGGGGGTTCCGCTTGGGGATAAGATCAATGCAGGCGATGATGAGGCTTGCTGGAAGATAAGAGCGACGACCAATGGTAACAGTGGAAGAGAGAAGCCTGTCGGAAGAAAATCCGAACTGGCGTAGATACAATGAGACGAAGATGCGTGATACGAATTGTCGTTGACTGACGGTTGGATCCTGTTGTTACATGATCCCTCAGTATGTGGATGTAACCCTCGATCCCTTGTGCTTCAACCCGCTCAGCTGTCCAGAATAGGTAGCGGGTGGCGCCGTAGAACTTTCTTTTTCGGAACATCACAAATCCTCTTGCATAGTGAGCTCAAATCGACCACTGCGGCATCACTAAAGGATTAACAAACCTGAAGCACACTTCTGCACAGTTTATCATCCAATCGCACGAACTCGTGCAGGCAAAGCTTGACCATATTGGTGACTTGTTCCTCAGCGGCTGAACCACAGCCATGAACATCCAATATATTGGTACAGCAACGCAAAAGCCTCGTCGGCTCAGACTTGCTAGATTCTTCAGTCTTTCGCTTTAGATCAAAGGCGGTTTCCGGTTCGTAATCACAAGCCAGAACAGTGATCACAAGTATAACGGAACGGAATACGACCAAGAGAACAATCTGCAAAAACAAAACAACGACAGTTGTCACAACCCGAAAATTCACTAGGAGGTCCCACAATTGATTTCAAGATCATGCTTCAGTCTTTGAGATACATACCGAAAGGCAGAATGTAAATCATACCCTTCGTTGGGTGAATGACCTCGCCAAGCAAAGAGCAAAATAATGTCCCGCAACTACAAACCGCATAGCAAGCTATCGCAACGAACGAAAGTTGGAAGAGCGAAACCAGAGCCGTTGGGAGCAGTAAGCCGCTGCCATGATTTACACCATTTCCTTGTGTCCAGTTTCAACTCCAGAACTGACACCCTTCGACTCATCTCGATCACTCTCGACCCAAACTTCATCCTCAAACTTGTATAGTTCTTCACAAGGTGGCGTGTTCTTTCGCATCAAAAGCCATCGCTTGATCCACCATGGCAGAACCTTGGTGAGCTGATACTTGGAGTGAGTTCTGATGGGAATACCAAACACATAGTCAAGCTCCTCCAAAGTTCGTTGCTTGGTCTCATACAAGAACAAGAAGATCATGCCGAAAGCAATCATATTCATCGCCGCATAGAATCCGAAAGCACCCGAGACACCGAAAGCCTTCAGTTGACGTGGGAAGGTCAGGGAGACAACGGTGGCCCAGAAGTTGTTTGTCGCTACGGCCCAGGACATCCCAACTTCACGATGGCTCAGGGGGAAAACTTCTGCTGAATATGTGAAGGGAACTGGACCTTCACCTGGGGAGTAGAAGGCATCGTAGATGTAGATGAAGAATGTGACGAGACCGAGATGTGCCCTGCTGCTTTGAGGGATGAAGTAGCACATTCCTGCAGCAAGAAGACTCCAGCACATATTCGGGAAGGTGAAGAGAAGCAGACCGCGACGTCCGAAAGTATCGATTGTCCAAATCGCAGGCCAGGCGAAGACGAAATTGACGAGACCGAAACCGAAAGAGGCAAGTAAAGCTCCGATGTTGCTTGCACCCGACTCGGAGAAGATGGTGGAAGAGTAGAAAGCGATGATGTTAACTGATTGGTTAGATAAGAAGACATGGGATCGGACAACACTTACTACCGCACATCTGCTGAGCAATCATGACAACACCTGAAGCTTGAGTGGCTCTGCGAAGTCTGGGAATGGTGAACAGTTCGATGAATCGAGTAACCATGTTGCTGTTCTTGGAAAGTCCCTTTTCTTCCAAGAGGACATCCTCGTAGACTAGCTGAGCGTGGATGAAGTAGAGGTCACGGGCAGCTTGAAGTGGGGTATTTCGAAGGCGCAGAAGTGATTCGTATGCCTTGCCAACACGCTTCTTCTTCAGAAGCCAACGGGGAGACTCAGGACAAAACCAGATTCCGAGGATGAGGGGGACCGCTGGAACGAATGCAGAGGCAAATTGTAGACGCCATGCGATATGGCCAGAGTTGGCGAATACTAGATTGGCGCAAGTTCCTAGGAAGATGCCGAAAGCAGTCCAAACTTGCCACGACATCACGAGTCCACCACGAATGTTTGTAGGAGCAGCTTCTGCAGAGTAGACGGGGACTGTGACCTCCTTGAGACCCATACCGAGACCAAGCAGAACACGGCAAGCCACGAGTTGTCCCCATTTCTGTGTAAAACCGGAACCGATCGGGGCGAGGAGACTGAATATGGCCGCCAAGAAGATGGTGCCTCGACGACCGAGATAGTGATTAAGAGGGTCGGAGATCCAGGCGGCGCTGGTATTGTTAGAAAGGTTGGTTTGTGGGGAGGTTGACATACAAGAGGCAGATGGTAATGTAGGGTGCTGAATTGACGAATCCAACGATCCAGGAGTTTGTGTTGCAGATTGATGGAGTTGAACAGTATGTTGGGTCGTCAGAGATGTTCATGGCAATTGCAAAGGTGAGATTGGCTCCATTGGACCCTGCAAGTGTTAGATATGTTTGCTCCCAGCTGTTTCGTTCCGTGCTTACCAGTTTGATCCCAGCCTTGAATGGCTGCAGCGATTGAATTGAGGATGATTGTCACGTAGAGGATTCGAGGATGCTTCCATCTGTGGGTGGTCTGAAAGTGTCAGATCGATCTAGTGATGGAAGAGGGAGTCTACCTCTTCGTGCAAGACTCTGACGTCCTCCGCGTCCAATTCGTGAATGTTATCAACATGATGTGGGCTTTGCGCAACCAGGGCTCCTTTGATCAACCAAGGCGTGATCTCGGTGAGGTTGTTCTCTGTCGCGAACTCTTCAACATCTTGAATGAGTTGCTCTTTGGGAATACCGATGAGAGGGTTCTTGATTCTGGCAGTGTCAGCTGGATCTTGGCGCAGAGGTGGAAGACCTACTCTCCGGTGACGTTCGCGTTGATGGCTGCAACGCTCTCCTTGCGACGGCCCAAGGACTTGCGTTCAGGGACTGAAACCTCAGGGCTGTAAATGTCAGCCAGAGCGCGTTCCACTGTCAATTGACTTACGACGAGATCTTCTCTGCGTCAGCCATTGCGGTCCGATGCAGTGCGGAAAGTTGAAGAAGAGTTGAAGTTGGAGATGGCTGTTTTATCCGGGACGAGGAGGTTCATATAGTCAGCACCTCAGGTTTTGGCGAGATGAGCGCCGCAAGGGAAAAAAAAGGTCGATACAGGGTTTGGACCCTGCTTATGCAGAGAGAGATGTGATAACAAATGTAACCATCGACCACGAGACCAGACACGGCGGACCACCAAAGAAGGAGTTCATCATGGCCCGATCGATCCTCCTCGCATCCTCACACTCCATCGGCCACACCGACATGGAGGAGCCATTCAGAAGGCATCTTGAGGGTTTCGAATGCCCTCAACAGAAGCTTAATCCACACAGAGCTCCCTCTAGCCCCACACCAGCGCTACCCCGCAATCCCGCAGATTGCGCCATGGCCCAAGCTCATGCAGCTCGCGCACTTTATCAGGCTTTGGTGTGATTCTCAGCCCGTCTTCTGGAATGGTCGGTCTACTCCATTGTTGATCGCTCTTTGTGCTAATCTTGACCTCTCGGCTGTCACTTAGTTCCACCTCCCTCTACCGTACCTAGCTTTTATCTCGTCGTTTGATCCTTCGACGTGCACAGAGAAATCATCTCCAACATGAGCACTTCAATTCATACCCCGCATCACATATAACGTGATCCCTTCTCCGAAATCGGGGTGTGGAGACATCTCACCTCAACGATAGCGAGATGCAGGGTACAAATCTTGCTGCCTTCGGGGAAATGATGCCAAATGATGCGCAGGCGCAAAAGAGGCGTCAAGCCACAACACTCAATCTCACTGAGGGCAGCCACAAACAAGCCACAACATTGTACATTTATTGCTGCCTTGAGGCCTCCACTTGTTTATTCTCTTCTCTATCCACTTTGGAGTTGGAAATCGTCTGATTCGGGCCGTAAGTTTGTCAGAAGAACTCTACTAATGGCAGAGAATGTCCAGCTGAACCTCGTCCCTTGCGGTTGAGAAAATGTCGGTGTAAATATCATCTGCTCATGCGACTTTTGGGATCCACCATCAAACTCTCACCTCATGGTGGAGAAAAATGCGATTGAAATGACCGAAAGAGGAATATGGAGTCTCCGTGAGATGAGAAACTATCAGGATGCTGAGCTCGAAAAAGAAAAGTTATCCCCACCAGTGAGGAGAGAATGAAGCACGAAGGGAAGAGCTCCCGGATGAAGGCCCAAGCGTTGTACATGTGCTCGGGCTTTTCATCCGCTGACTCGAGAAGCCATCCGCAACTGAATCTCTGTGCGATAGTTGAGGATGGTAGGTGCTTTGGGAAGAGAAAATACTTTACTTGGGAAACCAGCCATAACATTACTGGAAAAGCGGAATCTGACCCAGGTTTTAGAAGTAATCCTCCTCAATCCTCCAGTACAACAATGCTCCAGCAGCATCTCAGCCAAATTTCCTTTCATTGTATCCCATTCTTCCGTCGTGGGCCCCAGCAGCATGTGCATCAGCACCGCGCAAAACCACCTTGTAGCCATCGCAGAGTCTGTTTGCAGCACTGCTGCGAGGAAGAATAACAGGGAGTTGGCAGATGTGACACCGTAAGGAATACCAACAACAAGTAATCCTACGACGATATGTATATTTGGGACATTCAATCGTGATTCAATATTTTCCACTTCATGCCTTCGTGAGAGTGTGTTTGGAGGAGACGAGGAGTCGTGGATTCGTAAGAGGAGGATTGAATCGACGGGAGAGACGGAAAGACATAGAACTGGAGAGGGTGCCGGTATATCCGCAGGAATCTGCGACCTTGATGGTCGCAGATTGGAGGGGAGGCTCTGAGATAGAGGCCGATATTGAGAACTAGGGAAAGGCATCGAGGTCAAGAAGAGGCTTGGAAGCTCGAGGATTTGGGGGTTTGGTTGTCGCAGATTCAGGGCATGCGATGCGGATCCAGAGGCCAGGCTCGAAGTTCCCTGAAAATATGCTGCAGATCAAGGAGGATGGTCATACTTTAATGCTATTTTCAATTGCCTTCGAATAATGTCTATCCTGATCGCAGCACCGTGGCGATGGATGTGCTGTGTACCCCTAATCATGTCAGCTTCTTGCTAATTATCGATTGTGAAGTATCTTGAAATGGAGAGATCTTAACTGGTTGTAAAGTATCCAGCTGTTGAGGGACTTTGAATCTTTGTACAGATCCTATCTGCGCGCTCTTTCAAGCTAAAGAGACGTGTCTCGGGGTAAATTTACATTGCAAGTGGGGAAGGTGAGGCTCGGCGGTAACTAAATTTTAGTGCTTGGCATTCTCAACCTCACTACACTCCATCACTTCACGACTTTTATGGTGTCAATGGCACAAAAAGATTTGGGAATACACACGATGCATTGAAAGTATGTAATTTACACCAACCTCATACTCCAATTGCTCCCACACAATGTCCATCAGAAGACGAAAAGAAAAGCCATGACCTTGTCGATTGCTTCCTCTTCTCACTAGCCTTACCTTTGCCATCTTCATCGGAAGAATCAGCACAAGTAAGCACAAGCAGGCAATATATATCAGAGGGCACTGATAAATCTAAAATCTACCACGGCTCCCGTGATAGATTATTCAATTGGTATCAATTACCCACGACACGGACAATGAAAGGAAGCTACTTAGCTATGCGATGTCTTCCTTCGATCCGAGTCGGCCGAAGCCCTCGTAATCAGATGAGAGATCCATAGAATCTCCCGGAAGACTCTCCTGGGAATCGTCAAGGGCTTGCTCGGTATTGATGGTGCCAGCATTGCTCGCACCATCGCCGTCAACTCCATCTCTCTTTGGATTTATTGCCTGAGCAGTGCTCAAATCGACCTCGTTCTCAGCATTGCCGAAAGCCCCTCCTTGCTTCGGCATTACTGACGAAACCTGGTTTGCGCCAGTGCTGCTTTCAACTTTGTTTTGGGTTCTTTCATTAGAATTGGCGACATCGTTCAGCCTCGCTGAAGGATGACCCTCCTCAACGTCTATGGAAACAGAAGGCAAGCTTGAGGTAGCTGGAAGTGCAGCCGACTGAGCATAGCTCGAATCAATCATCGAGAAGATGAAGAAGGAGGCGGCCGCCTTGGGACTTATGTCCCATGTCGAGTTCCGATTTGCGTGGGAGGGGGTGCTCAACGAGGTTGAGCAGCTTCACCAGTACGAGAATCCGGAGCGGATTCAGTACTTTGCAGAGAAGCGGATGTGGGAGAAATTGTGTAAGTGTTCTCCCCTTCTTTGATGGAAACTGCTAACTATTCAGTCGGCCTAAGCCGTCTCTTTCCTCTCGACGATCCTGCCAGTCCGCCGTTGAGGCTTGCTCCTGGCTATGCCGGAGACAAAGAAGAGAGAGAAGCCGCCCTGGCCGAAGCTGAGGGCTACCTTCGAGACATAAATGCATCTATCGACCGCAATCGTCGAAGTCTAAGCTTCTGCTGGCGGCCGGGTACGCGCGACGGCCAGAAAAAAATCTACCTCTAGAAATGGGCGGATTTGCGGCGTAAATCCAGAATCCGTAGGCGAAATGACCCTGGATCAGGGGGAGGGCACAGACCAGTTCACCATAAATCCTGCACCATAAATCCAGAATGGTCCTGGCGCTGGGGGAGTCCCCTCTACGGCTACCAGCGAGCAGAGGGGGGAGATCTGACCATCGGGGGCCATGGGTGACCCTTTTATTTACTTGTCGGAGTGGCAGGTGCTGCTCTGTACGTCTTGCGGCTACTGCCTCCGGCCTGGACGTGACGTCTGGGTTCGACACCTGAGGCAGCACCCGCACTGCTTGAAAGGGGCGTCATTGAAGGCTCTCGTGGAGCTGTTTAGCAGCTACGACCTACGGGCGGCAGAGGCAGAGCCAGCGCGGCTGCCAGCGAAGGCCATCCCGGGGCTAAGGCTCCTCGACGGCTTCCAGTGCCTGACCTGCTCAGCCCACCTCACAAGGGATTGCAAGTCGATGCAACGGCACGTGTCGAAAGCCCACCAGCAAAAGCTAGCGTTGTATGAGAAGAGCCCTCTGTGGCGGGGGTGCAAGCTTCAGACTTTCTTTGCTGAGAACCGCTGGGTTCGGTATTTCGTGGTAGAGGAGGGAGAAGCAGCTGCTAGAGGGAGCTCCGAATGCTCTTTTATAGCTGGCTTGGATTCGAGGGAGGCAGACTTCTTTACGCAGCTTGACGAGGACGCAGCTATTGTAGGTGAGGATGCCAAAGCAGAAGCCAACACCGTTTATGGCTTCGGTAGCCATAAATCTGCTGTGGTGCCGTGGCTTCGACGGACGGGCATCGAGGAGCACACGCGGGGCTTGAAGAAGGACGAGATGCACACCTCTTTTGCGGTGCCAAAGAATGCCGAGAGCGAGCCCGAGCTGTTCTTAATGCTGGAGGTCATGGACGAGATCTTTACAGAGGCGCACAGCTAGTGCTTCGACGGCCCAGACTGCATGTTGACTTGGCCACGGCAGCTGGCGTTGAGCCGCTTCCATACTGCCGCTGGCCCAGGGCAGAAGACGCGCGCGTTCGACCCGAAGAAGGAGCCCAATACGCTCAAGACCAACTTCGGCTACTAGAAGCAGTTCTTGACTTACTGCTACCGGGTGGCCTACCGCGGCAGCCACTTTACTACGGCCGACGACGACCAGCGGACCCCGGAGAGCTGCATCCAGCTCACGGATGGCCAGGAAAATGCGTGGGAAGCGGCCTCCCAAAGCGCTATAAAGCAAGACCGGCCTGCGCTAAGAAACGCCATGTCGGACCTCTCAATGGCGCTGGTCTGCCACGAATTTGGAGGCAATCGGTACAACTCCCCACTACTCAGCTTCTGCGCTATGCTCAGCGTTAAGCCGTACACTAAGACTTAGAAGGAGCCGGGCAACTATAATAGCTGCTTGTCTGGCGTGATCTAGGTTGCACAGCTCATCATCTTCCACACTAGCGCCTGTTTGGAGAAGGCGGAGCTAGGTGATACACTCGAGCGCATTGAGCAGTATTGCGGGAAGTTCTTGAAGCAGGACACCAAGACTCCCATAGGCGAGATCCTCAGCTAGCGCTTACTGCTGTTTACTGTCTCGAAGGAGGTCGTTGGGCCGCACCAAGCACAGTGGGATGTGGACGAGAAGGTCCTGACCTACCGAGACGTTGATTTGCATATGGATCACATGCCGCGGCTCTTACTCTCCGACTTCCAGTAGGCCCAGCACCTACTCTACGACGAGCTGATGTTCGGGGCCCAGAACCTTCCGCGGATGCGTGCTTGGGCTTTAAAGGACAACTTGGACGCCGATGCCTTTGGCTAGTTCTTTGGCTAGCACCGGGAGAACATTAAGCTAGTAAAGCCGCTAGCGAGGTCTTTGCTAACCGTTATCCAAGACTCGAAGCCGTTGTGGGACTCGTTCCTGGATGCCACCGCAGATGGCGCCAAGGTCTGGCGGGGGAAGGCGATTAAACGGTATGAGGCCGTGGCTAACGAGTTCCTAAAAAGGCTCTTAGTCTTGATCTATATGGGTTCTGGCCAGCCTCTGCGCGAGAGTAAACTATTCTCTGTCACCTGGTGTAACACCTAGCGGCGGCGAAACGTCTACCTCAAGCACGGGCTAGTCATACTGCACACCACATACCACAAAGGTTAGCAGCAGACGGGTAAGTTTAAGGATAATATCCGGTTCTTGCCTACACCTGTTGGAGACCTCTTGCTAGACTACTTGGTGGTTGTCATCCCGCTCCTCCAGGTCTTCCTCCGCCGGTCTGCCCCGCATGCCATTATCTCTCCGTACTTATGGTGGCAAGACGGCAAGGTTTGGGCTGACAACCGGCTCACGCGGTGCATAGAGCAGGCGTGTAGTCGGGCCAGCATCCCCCGGCTATACATTGCTAACTAGCGGCAGATAACGGTCAATATCGTTAAAACTAAGTTTGCAGCTAACATTGGGTGCTTTGAGGTTGACGACGGGGCTAACGACGAGGATGCCGAAGAGATTAAGGCTGACATTCGGGTTATGACCAAGCAGCGGAACCATAGTACGCGGACTGTCAACCGGGCATATGCAAACTAGCACAATGCTAACTTTGGGAACGTGTGGGATGGCCTTATCCGTCGGAATCTGCGTGCTTTAACTCTGTGGAAGGACTTGTGGGGGCTTAACTAGCTGCTTGGACTAGCTAGGAAGAGGAAGCGGGATGGTAAAGATATTAGCGGTCCGCAAATGCTTAAGAAGATCGCTATGGGGATCTACCGGCTACGGAAGAAGTGGTTAGCTGCGGCTCTGCTAAAGAGTGCAAGAAAGCTGTACCTGGATGACACACTAAAGTGGAAGTTAGCAGCCTAGGAGCGGGCTATGACTACTATTATATTATAGACTAAGTAGGTGGTAGTCATCATGGCTACTAGCGAAGGGAAGAGCCTGCTGTTTATGCTGCCCTGTATCCTCCCTGATGCTAGGGTAACGATCTTAGTCTTGCTACTCGTGTTTCTGCGAGGGGACCTCCTCCGCCGAGTCCGAGAGTTAGGGATCGATCACTTAGTGTGGTCGCCTGGCGAGCAACGAGATGTGCCCTTGGTGTTTATTACAGTTGAAGCAGCATGTACGGAACAGTTTCGGACCTACGCCCACAAGCTCGCGGCTACGCAAGACCTTAGCCGCATTGTGTTTGACGAGGCTCACTTGACTATCACAGCGTCCGACTATCGCCAGGCTATAGTTGACCTCGCCCTAATCCGCAACGTCCGTATGCAGTTTGTTTACTTGACAGCTACTCTACCTCCGACAATACAAGCTACATTTGAAGAGTAGAACAACTTAGTGAGCCCCAAAGTAATCCGAGCATCGACAAACCGGCGAAATCTGTTCTATATGGTACAGCGGGCCACTAGGCGAGGGAGTCTGCTCGAAGAGGGCGCGCGGAGGGCAAGGGACGCGTGGGAGAATAGCTAGCTCTTGGATCGGGCTCGAGATAAGATTATCTTATACGTTCGGACAAAAGACGATGCTGCTACGCTGGCCGAGCTACTTTGTTGCTCCTAGTACATAGCTGATACAGGCACAGCTGAGCAGAAGGAGGAGCTGCTGAGAATGTGGCTTGCCTCCTCGGACCAGCCGTACATCGTGGCCACGTCTGCACTAAGCGCTGGCTTCGATTATGCCCACGTTCGCTTAGTTGTACACGTCAACGAGCCGTCGTCTTTGGTCGACTTCGCCTAAGAGTCTGGTCGGGCCGGGCGGGATGGAAAGGAGGCGTACTCGCTGGTCCTCCTCTCACCTACATGGAAGCCGCAAGCCGCTGAGAGTACCGTGGTCGAGAGAAGAGCCCTGCACCGCTATCTCCTCGGCTAGGACTGCCGCCGGGCATGCTTGAGTGAGCACCTCGACTCCGAGCCGTATTGGCGACAGTGTTAGGATGACGAGGACGTTGTATGCGATGTATGTAGCGCCGGCCTAGCTCTCGCTCCGTCTCTCGCTCCGTCTCCCGAGCCGGCCCTCCAGTATACTGGTAGTGCGGCTATCCAGGAGAAGCGGCGCCGAGCCGACCTCGAGCTAAGCCGGTACCAGGAGGACCTACTTGCGGTTCAAGGCACGTGTCTGCTCTGCAAGGCATTCGGCGATGCTTGGGACCACGCCTTCCCTACGTGCTGGCGTCGGTTCGAGTTCTTTGAGGCTCGCAATCGTGTTAAGGACCAGAAGCAAGGAGGAGGGCCGTGGATTACTCCGTACCACGCGTGCTACTAGTGCTATAATCCCCAGGCCGTCTGTTAGCGCGCGGAC